ATAACCCGCCCCCGCCTCCTCACAACCCTCTACGCCTTCGCCTCTCTTACCGCCCTCCTCTACGGCACATCCACGTACCTCGTCACGCCCATGCTAGCCTCGCTCACCACATCCCGCCTCTCGCTCGCCTCAACCGCATCGCAAAACCTCTCCAAACTAATCGCGAAACTCGAAGCCGCCGTATCAATCATCCCGGAAACCCACCAATCACCCGTACACAAAACAGACGCAGAAGCTGAAGAAGAGGACGAGGATCCCAGTGAACTATTCCACCGCGACATCGGCGTACAAACCTCGCCCCCACGTTCCCGTTCTAGCTCCGTGTCTCCTGCTCCTGCTCCTAGTCTGATTAGTTCGCACGTGGAGAGGTTACAGATGTTGAAGACGCATCTGCAGGAAATACAGACGGATAGTACGAAGGAGGGGGATAATACGGGGGAGTTGGAGACGACGATGGGGCTGCTGCGGGAGTATTTAGACGGGTTTGCGTATGCGGCGCCGAGCTATGTGGGGAATTATGGGTTTATGGGTGCAGCTGGGGCTGGGGGGAAAGATGAGGATGATGAGATTGGGAGGGTGAAGGCGGGGATTAGGGGGGTCAAGGGGGTGTTGCTTAGTGCGAGGAGTTTTCCAGGGGGTGTGAGGGGTAGATAGTAGCCGATAAATGATGAGGTTGATTCCTGCCGAAATATGAGTTATACCTTCGCTGATATGACTGGAACATATTGGTCGTGTATCCGAGAAGACTAGATTTGCCTTGAGATTGGTGAAAGAACCGATCGTCGCCGACGAGAAGGGTCTTGCACGGTATGTCACTTGTCTTGTGGAGTGTTAAATCAAAATGCCTCGCTTTTCCATTGATGAGCTAAACTAAACAAGATGAGAAGATCATGAAGCGTTACTTGAAGGGTGAGTTTTGTTGGTGAGAGTAAGGAAACCCAGGACACAAGGAGACGGCCGTGAATAGAAACACTGTGGTTCCAAGCAAATAAACATGTTTTGAATGGTTTTGGGAATAATAATGAAATGTAAACGATTCGTCAGGGAAGACAAGCAAGGACCAAGAAGAGATTCAAGATCTGAAGATTTAAGATCTGAACCATTCCTGGTTTCCAAAACTCAACTCCATGTTCATATCGTTCGAGCCTCCAACCGATTCCATAGCCTCTTGTGGTATAGAGCTCAGAGGCTTATTCAGCGCAGCTTTCTTCTCAAGTCGATGTTGACTCCACCTATGGATGGCATGGTGGTACGAGACGGAGGATAGATCCAAAAGAGCACCGCATCCAGGTTCAGTACATTGATACTTCAAATCCCGCTCTACTGGCTGATAGGTAGGTGCGTCTAAGTGCGATTGTCTGCGATGCTTGATCATGTCCTTCTCCCTGAAGTAGCCCCGCCTTCCCACACGATCACACCCATGAACGTCGCACGGGAAAGGGCATTCATTATGCTCCTCGCGCATATGCTTCGTGTACGCGCTTTGAGTTGGGAATGGCTTGTTTGTCTTCTGGATGCTACGAGGTAGTGTCTTGAAAACCTCGTCGCGGTACTGAGGGCACTCTGGATGGGTGCACACGGGAAAGAAGTACTCTAGCCTAGATGTAGAGTCCTCTGTCGACTCATCGTTCATTTCTAGGTGGTGATAGTTCCGTATGTGCTGAGTTAGGTGATCTCGACGTCTAAACCCATTGGCACCGCGGTGACGCCTGCAATATTTGCAAGGATATTTGGGGTCATTTGTGCTTAGTGAGTTGAGATGTCGATTCAGTACATCCAGTCTTGAGAAGAGTGCACCGCACTCGCAGGAGTAAGGTTGATGTTGCATTTGCTTGGCATGGCGGAGAAGATCTGATTGCGACGCGAGTGATGCCCCACATTCAACACAGTCAAACGGGGTAGGAGTAGCGAGACGGCCGTGACCATTAGTATGGGGCGTCTGCTGATGCGCATCTCGTTCCCAGGAAGTAAGAAACTCCTGATTGCATCCTGTGAACGAACAAGTCCAAGCAATGTGTTTTTCCTTCCTTGCGTGGGCATCTAAATCGCGCTCACTCCAATATTGAAATAAGTTGGAGAATTTCTCTCCACAAGTATGGCAAGTAGATTCAAATCTTCGTAGTATGTCAGTGTTGCAATCTCACAGTACGAGGCTAGTTAAACTTACTTGTCCGCGCCCTCGGTTCTCATCTCTCTCACACTCTCCAAGGTAGTCATGGAGACAGCGCCGTCGCAATCATTACTCAGGCCGGCATCTTGAACGGAGCTCGAATTCTCGATCTCAAAATCCAGGGCGGGATTCTGGCATTCTTGAGAGGTGATTGGGGGGAGGTCTAGGTCGGTAAATGTGGGTCTTGCGGACCAATCTGCCCACTGGTCGGGATTTGTGGTATCCTTGATGGGTGCACCGAAATATCCATCCATGCCTTGACACCTTCGGCGTTGACTTGCACCCTCTTTGTTAGCGATCAGTAAAAAAAAAAATGCTTACCTGTCTAGACCCATGCCGTTATGCATCGGGTCAAAACAGGCATCCAACAGATTGACGTTCATCCAATAATCGAGATCATAAGAGACCTGGTGGTGTGGTTCCGACATGGCGCTCGAGAAAGCGGCGTGAGATTTGAGGCTGGGAGTGTAGTGCAATGGCGTAAATTTGGTGGTGATAGCGATGAGAATTCGTCCGAGGGGATTCTCATCCTTATTCGCATGCTAGAGAAACCACTCGCTGTTTGAACACTGGTTTTATCCAGATCCCTGACGGCAGAGTGGTGAGAGGGTGGTTGAACATCGCCCTGTTTTGCGGTGAGTATCAAGTAGTGAGGCGTTCTGGCGAGGCAGGTTGGCGATGTGGTTGGTTCACATGAGGTGCGTCGTACAGAAAAGGGTGTCTGCAGAAATCAAGACACACAACGAAGAAGTCAGGGCGGAACGTTAGGCGTTAAGGTTGCAAGGCTGTTGGGGGATATGAGGCAACACAGAATAATAAAGGAAGGAAGGTGGAGTTGATGAGATCGATTAAGCGCTTGGACAAGGGCACGTGGTCGTCCTCAAGTTTTGTCCATTCGGGGCATCACCTTCATATACCTTCAGCATCATAATAAGATATACCATATTTAGACTATAATTCATGTTCCAAGTTCTGTTAGTAACTTGGGTATATAACATCGGCACGTGCTCTTGCCCCTTTATATTCTTCCATGTCTTATCTATTCCCAGTCCCAACTTTCGCTTGACCTCTGAAATCTCTTTAGTAGGTAGGTATCTAGGTAGGTACTACACTATTATCAGATATCAAGACATGCTTCGTTGACTACTAGGAGGAAGAGACTTCTCACGCATTAGAAATGCATTTGAAAGCGACGTCTAGGTAGCGGCGGCTCTTTCGATAATGATAATAGGTTAACACTAGGCGATAACTTAGGCGGCAGTTTAGGTGAGCACTCACTCCTACTACCCTCTATCGTTGAAATAGTCGACCAGTTTCTCTAACATAGCACAGAAGTTCCAATTGTGCTGCTAGTTGGTGACGGCTCGAGTGCCTCTGAAGCCGAAGTCGATGCCGATAACGATGACGGTAGTCCTCGTGCCGAAAGAGTAGTTAGTAGCAGACGAGGGTCTTCCCGATAGCCTAGAGACTGCCACCGACCCGACAACTCTAGCCGCTCTTTCCAATCCCTATGAACGTCACGATATTAACGACTTCCTCGAGTCGGCACAGGACTTGCAGCACTATAAACCAAGCCTTCGACGTTCGATTTCATGCGCCATTATACTTATTCCTCTTCCTGTTCCTCGAGCAAGCCATTGCACAACCACAGCAGTGCCCCAGGTCAATTTACGATCCGTGCTAGGTCCGAGGCCGCGATGTGCTCTTCTGTTAATTACTTTATAGTTGATATAAAAATAACTATTAATTAATATTAGTTTAAATGTAATATACTAATTTAGCTTAAAATCCATTATAGGTATATAATTATATTTTTAAATACACAAAAAGAACAACACCGACTTAGGCTTGATTCTCTTGTAAAAATCGTTCTAGAAGCTCTTCCGCAGCTTCCTTTTCCTGTTCCATCGTCTCTCTGCTCCGTTGCTTAATAATAACCTCATTGCATAGCATATCAGGGCAAATCATATCCAGGAGCATGTACAAGCGAGACAAGGTCTCGATTCCTTCGAGCGTGCTCGGCCTTTTTGCACCAACCTCTGCAAGTTGACTGTCCCACATCTCTGCTATGTCCCATCTAACGCTTCGAGATGAAGCAGGTAGGGGAGAGGGGAAACCGTGTAGGAGGGCGTGCCGTAACGAAACGCGGTCTGGGTCCTGCTCATATGGACCAGGAAGCCGAGCGTAGCTTTTATGAAAAGACCGCAATACCTCATCTGCTGCCAAGCCAATCTGGGCCCAATCAAAGTCAAGGATGGCGGTTATTTGACCAGCTTTCCTGTCAAACAAAAAATTATTCATAGCTGTGAATTCAATGTGCTCAAATTAGTCTATTGGATCTGCACGAAACTAGAGCAGATGTTTAAATATAGCAACTGAACGTACTGAAATCTCCATGAACAAGTCTCTTCTCAATGTTGATATTTCGCAGCATTCGATCAACATCTTCGGTGATGAACCTCTCCAGCTTGGCACGAGTGTCTTTGGCTGTCCAGCCACGAAGAATAGGACTCTTGTCAGTAGCGGCAAGTTGTTCATACAGGACGCCCTTGACCAGCATTGAATATGTCGTGAAAGGTCCGCAGGAAAACACAGTAAGTGGGGCACTGACAATATTGCCGTCACAGTCAAAATCCAGACCGCCGAATCCTTGGATGCTCTCTGGCAACCCATACTGCTGCATGGCCCAAACAATACTCGCAACTTCCTTCAGAGTTTTGTTTTTGTCATCCGAGCTCATTTCTTCGAATTCTGCATCGAGCGGAGTGCCTCTCATGTGTTCCATCAGAATCCAGCCCTGATCTTTCGCAGCACTTGCCCAGCCATAGACGGCGGGGACGATCTGTCGAGGAACGAGGGCTTTGCGGGCGAGGGACATTGCCGCAACCTCATTTTGTACTCGATTTTGATTGTTGAGTCCCGCGGCAGCATTACTGAGACGCATGACGACATGCTGCGCAGAATCTGGAATCGCAACAGTACCGGGCTGGGCAGCTGGCGCATCAAGCACTTTTCGGCGTTGGGGTGAGGGAGAACGAGAACGAGAGAGTTCCACGCGGTAGACGAAATTGTTGTAGGGGAACATGCATTGCGGATCATATTCAATAGGGTCAATGGCAGCAATACTCAATCCATACTGCTGTCGAATTGTAGTTCGAATGAAGTCGAGCCGTTGTTTAAAGTTAGTGTGGTTCATTGATGATCTGCTTTATTCCCACGAGAAGTTAGGCTGCCGGATGTAGTCGAAGGGGGTTACTCCAAGTCGACCTGAAGAATGGCCAAGTCGACGATACGCGCATAGGTCCACTTGCCGAGTACTTCCACCACTACCGAAAAATAGAGGCACCTGAGGTACCTAGTAACCCGGCCTATATAGGATTATATGCATTAATCGGGTAAATCGAATAAAAGAATTATAGTGCATAAAATGTATAAATGAACGCGAAAAGTGACTTGCAGCCCCACCTAAATTATTAGTAAAATAAAGTCACTTATAGAGAACGCGCTGCACAGCTATTACTATATAAGAGACGCGCTTAGTCATATAACTATAAAAGCTCTTAGCTAGGTCTATAAATCCTAATTATCCTAATACTTATTATTATATCCTTAACTTATATTATATCCCCTTATTATAGTAACCTGTTATAAATCTATAAGCATGCTAATGCCTATACAGTTACAGGCTGTCTCGCCGGGTACCTCGGGTGCCTCTGTTTTTTAGTGGTGGTGGAAGTACTTAGCAAGTAGGCCTGTCCATGCTCGCATGCTAGTAATGCGTCCCGAATAGGAGTAGCGTCAAGTCGACCTAGCCATTCTTCAAGTCGACTTAGAGTAACCCGTTGAAGGGTGATGTGGCTTGCAAAAGCCGGTGTGGAGTGAGTGATCAACAGCTCTAAAAGTAAAAAGACAAGATAAACAAACAAAGAACCAACCAACCAACCAACCAACCAACCAATCAACCAAACAACCAAACCAAACCAAACCACACCCAAATCGAATATAGAAATCTAAATCAAAGTCAATCCCAGTCCAGACCTACCCCTCTCACCTCCCCATTCACTTCACTTCTATTTTCGCTCCCTCCAACTCTCAACACCTCTGCGAAGAAGAAACAGTCCTGGTGCGCACCCATTTCTGCTCTTATAAGATTCATCTTTCATCTGCATTCGCGGTTGGTCGTCCTTGTAGGCTACTGCAAGAATCATTACACTCAATTTCAGCATGGCTCAAAGCACGGACTACGCTATCGAGCACAGAGAGCGCTTCATCGTTAATCTGATGCGACAAGAATTCGGACGTCAGGTACATCACAAGCTTCCTTACCATTCCCGGTCTTGAACTTGACTCTTGTACTCTTGTAGGTGATAGGCACTAGCAGGCTTGGCCGGGACTCGAACAACTTCGTCCACCTTGTCGAGCTCGCCGAATCAGTCTACCAGCCCGCAACGTCGTCGCCGACAGTGTTCAAGCCAGAAACATCCAGTCTGCTGGCAGGTACTACCAAGGTGGTCATTCGAATATCAAATCCCCAGGCAATGCTAAACGAGGATGTCCGAGTACAGAACGAGGTAGCTGCAATGTGCCTGATGAGACAAGCCCTCTCCACCTACAAAGACAGACTGATTCCCAACACGTATGCCTGGCGTTCATCAAAAGAGAGCTACGGATGGATCCTTCAGGAGTATATGACAGGCGTCCAACCCGACAAAGTATTTCACGGCTTAGACAGAGATCATAAGCAGGATATCCTTCATCAGATCGCCGACGTATTCAAGCTGATCCAGAGCTACTCTCTTCCAGAGTCAGTTAAAGGTTACGGAGGGCTTGCTTTCAACGAATCTGGCGAAATTGTCACGGGACCGACGACAATCCCGTGTGGTGGACCATTTTCTGAATTTCACGAGATGTACATGCAGATGCTACGCCGGCAGCTGATCGAGTCTGACACTTCGGAGCGGATCGCAGGATGGCGCCGGAACGATCTCAGGGACCGTTTGGAGCGTTTTGCAACAAATGGGATTGCAAAGCAAGTCAGGGAAAATTCCATCGCTCGTCAGACATTGGTTCACGGTGATTTTAGTCAGTCTATGTCAAAATTATATAATGGGAAATCCACCCAGGTTGACCAAGCATTAGATACATTCAATATGTTATTTGATCCGACATCGAATCGTTTGACGGCGCTCCTTGATTTTGATTTATCTCATATCGCTACACCAGCAGACGAGTATTTCTATTCATTCCGAACCGTCGGCGCTTTGCTAGCTGGTCCTTTCGAAGAGGGCGATGAAGGGCAACTTCGCCGGTGCCTCCTCGATGGGTTCGATGGGAATGTTCCTGATCAGAACGGTAGAGAAGTGAATTTTGAGATCGCTCAGATGATGGACAAGGAGTTTGTTCGCGCTGGTGTGCTCAGACCCGCGGATATTAAGGGTGCAGGAGAGCTTGCTGCATTGAAATGGTTTCTTGAAGACGTCTCGCCTCCATATTTCTTCATGTCGCGTTGGCTGGCACACATGGAACCTGAGAAAGTTGACGAAATGAAGACAAGTATCGAAGAAAATCTTGGAAAGTACCTGGAAAGATGGGGTTTCTGAGGCCTGGCGATGTATCACGCTTTGAGATGCGCAGAACCTATAGCGGCTCCCAGAAATCTCAAATATAACCATTTCGTAGCTCTCGCTGCAGGTGCTCTATGTCTCTCTGCGGCAGCTTGACATCCAGAACGGGATTAGGGGAAAGGGCGGCCTATAGTGGAATAGAAAACATTCATTTTGCCAAATTACCAATCTACTTCTGTGGCGGTTAAAAAGTAACCACCCCCCCGAACTTTTACCTCCCTTGGAAATGAGGGCTCTTAGTATAAGATTGCAAAATTACCCAGAAATGAATTATCGCTCCCCCAGCACGCCCTACAAATCCCGTCAAGTGTCGCTGTGGTTACAGGGACCCGGTCGCTAAAATCCAGCTGTTTGACCACTATATAACCAGGCCTTACAGCGCGCTTTAAAACCTACGTCTACTGAGTCGGTGCTCTATCGATATGTCTCCGGTTATTTTATGCGTATTTATTAGGTAGATAAGAATGTTTAATCAGATTGTATTGTTATAGTAAGGGATACATTTCTGGTTTGAATAAGATTTTCACTTATCTACCTATAGGTAGTAGGTATCTTACAAAATGTTAAAGTTGACCATCTTCTTTCATATCACGCACAACCTTACAAAAAGTCCAGGACGAATTTTTATTTACATAACCAGAGCTGAAAGCAAGATATAGCGGTCAGCTGCACATCATTCCGTTCCAACCGCCAGACTTCTCCGACTGCCAAAATTCTCCAACTTCAAGTCTATTCAGCAGGTGGCATAGAAAAAATATCCCTCAATAAGTTTTATGTGTGATTCGGAAACTCGTCAGAAGCGGCAAGACAGAACTTTAGGACCCATGGCCAACCCATCGTCTGAGGCTTCTAACAGCCTTCCTAGTACGCGACTATCTCCCTCCTTTTGATCTGTCCATTGTCGTACAAGGCTGACGTTGACCATAAAGCCCCAAACCCTTATTCTGGGTATAAGTGGACTTACTTCACATCTCTGGATGGCCCACTTCGCTCACGAGCTGAGCGGTTTCTCACAACAGTAGACTGGCCTGCGCTTCTAGCTTACGCAGCCGAGAGTCGGAATGAAATTGCTGCCGTCCTCCTTTCTGATATTGGTCTCGGTTACAATCATATGGTTCGAATCCTTGAATTTGGAGATGGGAAGCGATTGGTGGCCCGACTACGCATGCCTCCTCTTCATGACAAAATTGTCAGCGATGACATTGTGGCAACAATAATAAATTGCGAAATGAACGCAATGTTTCTTGTGCGCCAGAAAACCGACGTCCCTGTTCCCCAGATCCACGCTTTCGAGACAACAAGCCACAACGCCGTAAAGGCGCCATTTACATTGATGGATTGCTTGGATGGCAATGTAGGGATGGATTTAGGTATGCAGGTACCAGTAAAGCATCAGAAACCCCTTTTCAAGAGTCTAGCAAAGATACATGTAAGTGACAATCCATAAATGACCACTATATGTCTAAACGCTGACGTGCTCTCTACCTCAGGTCCAGCTTTCGGCAGTACAACTTCCTAAGATCGGCACTATTGTCTCTATCAATGAAGATGGTACTTACCAGCAAGGCCCAATACCAGGGATCGGGGGCCCATTCGATACTGCCACTGAATTTTTCAAAGCATGGGCAGCTAACACTGAATTCGGTATGCCTGAAGAGAAATTACGAGCAGCATCGGGCCCATACGCAGAGGAGATTTTACCCTCTGTCTCGTTGTTTACCAAGTCCATCACTAAGATAGCCGAAAGACTGTCCGTTCGAGACAAGGGCCCATTTCCCCTCTGCCACGGAGACTTCGGCCATAACAATATCATTGTTGATGATGAGTATCGCATCCTCGGAGTAATTGACTGGGAAGGAGCATTCGCTGGACCGTGGGAGCTATTTGGCGACTTCCCCTTAACACTCCAAGTGATCCCACCTGCCATGGATTTACCATCTAATTATGGAGAGGATGGCATTCCTGAGGATGACAGCTTGAAACAAAAATTCACCGACCAGAAAGAATATGTGAGGGTTATACGAGATGAGCCGGAAAGCCTCGGGGCTCATGTACTGCTGTCGGAGATAATAGGGAACTTCAAAAGGCAGCAGTTGATAACTGCGATGAGATTGTATCAAGACGGAAAGGTCGGATGGTACTCTAAGCTGATCGATCAATTTTCTACCTAAAATAGCCTCAGATAGCTGTTCATCATGATAAACTACGATTGAAGAGCCTTCATCATCGATTACATGATATGATTCGCGGATGAAATTATGATACTATTGTGATTCAAGACGCCCAAACTGGCTCATACGAGTCTGGATCACAAATCCACAATATTTGTCAGAGTATCGGGATCCCGTGGAGGCTAGCTGTGCATGGCGCTAGGGGAGTTATTGCAAATGGAGAGGCTCCCGCCTCTCTTTCTCTCTTTAGCTTTTAGTTTTATCATCAATGGGCCTGGTTGCTTGCTTATTCTGATATCATATCTTCCCCTCATAATATCTAAGTCATTTTCATAGATATACCAATAATTGATGTTTAGTAGTCGCATGAGTGTTCCAAATTCTACTGTAACATAAGATTAGACAAGGAAGTTAAAGGAACCACCTGTTTATTATTCCAAAGCCTTATTGACTGCTACGCACCACGTGATTACCGAATCCTTAAAGTATCCCTGAAGCAAGTAGGGCATGGTCGCGTTGGCTTAACTGAAATTTAGTGGTTATATATGCGTGTAGTAATCCTTGCCAAGTACCTTGGCATAGCTTAAAATAATCGTCCTCCGCCAACTCTTTCGTTTGCCTTTTTTTAATATCTTCGCCTACTAATTACTACCACTACCACCCAGCTTTGTGTTCTACACTTCCCGCAAGATGATGCCCGCCAACTATATCGCTGAGAGAAACGTTGAGGACGTGCAACAGGAATTCATCCGCAAGTTCGTTGAGGCAAAACCCAAAATTGTATCCTTTGTTGATACTTGCCTTGGGTGGAATAAGGCTGGAGAGTTCCTTCGATTTTTCAAGGGCTCATTTAACCTCAGTATTGCCGCTCGAAATTGTGTGACTAACGAGCGTGCTGTCATTCGCTTCCCGATTCCGGGAAAGGTATACGATCTATGGCGAGTAAAAAAGGTTAAGCATGAGGTTATGGTTATAAACTATCTTCACGAGCATACGAGCATCCCCGTTCCACGTGTGTATCATTGGGGTCTCACTAAAGAGAGTCCACAGCAGCTGGGACCGTTTATAATTATGGAATATATGGAAGGCGAGAACCTTGGCGATATCCTAAAGAAACCGACCCCTAACGAGGCGGATCTTGCGATTCTGGATCCAGATATCAATGAGACCAAGCTCAACGGCATCTTCGAACAGCTCGCTAGCTTTATTCTGCAGCTTTCACGCCTGGAATTCCCGCGTATTGGCGCCATTTCTAAGGACGCTGTATCTGGGGAGTGGACTGTTGCTGAACCACCACTGACATACGACATGAACGAGGTCGTCAGCTTCGCTGGCTTTCCCGCCGAGCACTTCACGACGATGCCGGTGTTCGACCGTTCGAGTGATTACTTCGCAGCGCGTGCGCAGTGCCTACAAATAAATCTGGAGACGCATCGCACCGTAGCTTACGATACCAAAGACATTACCTGGGGCCGGTACGTTGCGCGACACTGCTTTGCCAAGCTGATCCCGACGTATGGTATGATCGACGACGCCGGGCCGCATCGGCTCTTCTGCGACGATATGCGGCCTTCGAATATGCTTATTAACCCGAAGACGATGGAAATCACCGCCTTACTCGACTTCGAGTTTACGAACGTGATGCCGGCCCAATTCGCTTACGATCTGCCCTGGTGGCTTATCCTTCGGGAGCCGGGCATCGAGCTGAGCGAAGGGGAGGCTGCAAAGCAGGAATTTCTTAATCTCTTCGAACCGCGAAAGGAGCAGTTCATCCACGCAATGGAACGCGTCGAGGCCAGGTCAGCCCGACCAGCTTGGGAGCCGCTCCTCTCGGCTCGAATGAGGGATTCGTGGGACAGCGGCCGGTTCTGGTTTAACCTTATGTCGCGAAATAGCGTCGACGTCGACCAAATCTACTGGCAGATACTGCATAGAGAGGGCCTAGGTGACGCGATGTTAGACACAGTCACACTTGAAGGGAAGGAGGAATTCCTTAAACGAAAGGAGGCCCAGTTCAAGGCGTATCTGGCAGAGAAGCAGAGTGATACACGCTTCAATGAGTAGATTTGGAGGAGCAGGGTGGGATGGACTCTTTGGTCCTCACTAGGTTTTCTCGAATCTTCCCTTTTGCATTTCCTTCTTTCGGGAGCGTACGAAGTACATTGCGATATGTCGATACAAAGAAAGTCTCACGGTGAAAATAAAGACCCTGTTGAACCCCCCTTCTTTCTTGTCGTAAGTCGTGATGGAAACAGCTCCAGGACATAGTTCGACAATCCTCCTGCATAGCGCGTCAAAGTCAAAGGTAATGTAGCGCGAGTCACGCTCCAGCTTGTCGCGACGAAGCCATCGGCCGCTTGTATAGAGATGAGGATCATGGCCTATGTACATGTCAGTGCACTGATGTGACGAAGAGAAACGGGGTGGATTGTGAGGATGGAGCTCACGAGCTGCTGGTATCGAGCCTCTTGTCTGCTCTGGAGAATGGGATTGTGCGTGATAGGCGGACGGCTCATGGAGCTTCCGCGAATGTAAATGAAGAGACGATATTTTATCTACAGAAAATGTACTGAAGAGTGCAAGCTGCGTTTGAGAGGTATGGGGCACCGAACAACGCGTAATCCACTGCAATCCTAATACTATCCCCCCCCTCTTAATAAATATTAGATCACGTAAAGTCCCCATAATACATAGAATCCTATGGAACTGAATAGCTAGAACCCTTGCAGTGGCCCGTGAAGGGTACTTGTAAAGTCCTTGTAAGGTCCCACTAGGCCCTAGACGTAGTGATATCATTTGCTGAATTCCCCCTATTTACGCGGTGGGGCGAAGGATCATTAACATTTATTTAGGGGGGGGGATAGTATAGTACGACTCATAAATGTTTCTTATTCTGGAGGCAGTGGGAGGTACGAACGCTTGGATCGAAGATATTTTTATAGTGCTTTGCAGGAAGAGTGAAGTCGGATTCCAATTGGTTATATTGTGGTGGGGACAAAAGGGGCTGTCACGTGAAGTGGGGTATGCAGCTAGTACTGCACCGTACCTTATAAAATCGGACACTTTAATAAACTTGGATTATTATCCATTCTATGATACACTCTTTTATATAGACTATTTAATATACATATATATTTATATAATAATAAAACTATAAGTTAGATCCTAGCCTAGAGTCTGCGGTTATGTTGTCCCTCCACATTTTCCTTCATGAAACGCTTCGGGGGTTGTGATAAACGCGAGGGCCGAATCGAGTAGGGTATATATTTCTCCTTTAATCAATTTATTATTCACGTTCTGCCAATACACGTATACGACAACAATAACAGTAATGGATTCTACTCACAAAACCCTGCCTACTTTCACAATCTTCCGAGGCTCCAAGAATCCAGGAGCTTATGTCTGGGTAAGTACTTTTCAAAATCATCTATGACGGGGGAATTCTAGAACCAAACCATAATTCCCCCCGCTCCTCCCAAAAGCCACCCTGATATAGTAATGCTAGTTTTGATCTAAAGTGTATTCCAGTCACCTTTTGTAACCAAACTCGAAACCCGACTGCGATTTGCTGGCCTTCCGTACCGCACCGATGCAGGATCACCAAAATCCGCTCCTAGAGGCAAGATTCCCTACATGACCATTTCGGAGCCCAATACCAACGCGCCGACCGCGAGTCTCGCAGACTCCGGAATCATTATTGAAAACCTCAAGGAGAATGGGTTTCTGGATGATCTGAATGCTGGACTCTCGCCCAGCAGAAAGCGCATGATATGGCGTTGAAAGCGTTGTTAGAGGATAAATTGTATTTCTATCAGGTATGTACAGTACCCTACTCGTAGATGATCTAATATAATTACCTAGACTGGACTTCTGGACCCGTTTTCTTCGTGGGGGGAACTTTCCAGTAGTTGGGTGTTGATACTTACGAGTACTTAAATAGGTCTACGAAAGGTGGCATGAGAACTATTACATTATGCGCGCGAACGTTTTTGGCTTCATGCCGTACCCACTGCAAGTCCTCGTTGGCTTGCTCGCATACCGCAGTATGAGCGCGACGTTGTACGGACAGGGCATCAGCCGCTTCTCGGCCGAAGAGATATCAGCGTTCAGGACGCAGATCTGGGAGAGTTTTGATGCGCTTCTTGTGGGATCCAAGAGAAAGGGATCGGTTCGCGACGATAGTCCATTTTGGCTCTTGGGAGGGACTGGGCCATCGGAAGCGGATTCTGTTTTGTATGCTTTTACTTGCTCGACTCTTGTTTGTAGAGCGTAAGTTCTTTTTTTCCCCCCTGAGAATGCACTGAAGGGTTCCTGGTTTGCTAGGTATGCTAATGGGTTTTTTTAGGGGCCCTGAATCTCGGAAGATCGTGAAAAGTTTCCCGGCGCTTTTGGATTATGCGGAGAGAATACACAGTCGGTATTTCCCGGACTACGCACAATGGGAGCGAGACCTTTGTTGATAGCTGTTGGTAATTGCAATCAAGAACCGTCAGGATGGAAGCGGGAGCTTTGGTATGTTAGATGCCTCAAACAGAGAGATCTTAGTTCCTCGTGGGACGTTTCCTTGTACGCAGCGGTACTGTCACCAATGGCAAGAGCAGTAGGGAGAAAAAGAGGTTCGCCGTGGTGGACTGAGAATAACTGGTTGCCTCTACCCCACAGTAAATTCCTAGTTGACGGTCAGAAACACAAGATGGAGGAAGTTCCCAGGTTGAGATGTCGTGATCTAGATGCGCATGACTTGGAATTGCACGGCAACAGGACCACACCACCGCCCGGCAAACGCTTTCCGATACTTGAAGATATAAGACAGTTAGCAAAATGATATATATTAACAATGCAGGGGATTGGGTCTAGATTCTTGATAAAAGTTCGAAAAAATACGGTCTTGATTTTGCCTTACACTCACGTGCTAGTGGCTGAAATAAACCTTAGCGCCACGCCACTCCTCCTTTTTTAGCGTCAAAATAGCTCCGTTGATTTAGAAGGACGTATCCTCGTATCCTCATAAACCTTTCAATTTCCATAGCTCTTTCTTCCCAGTCCCCTTCGAGCGCCTCTGCTCTTTACGAACTTTATTCCCTTTAATGATACACCTCTCACTTCCCTTCCTTTCCTGTCATTCTTTATTTGACAGCATTGGGAACTTACGGCTGCAAAGGAATACCGCGTCAGCTTGATCAGCTTGAAGAAAAGGGGACACTTCAACATTATTCACCATTGTCGCATACGAGTACAACCACACTTCACAACCACAATTTCGACTCTTCGATGCAGTTATAAGCTGCCTCTATCTGTTTACGGCTGGGCGCTATAGCGATTCTCTTTCCTATCCCCCAAAATGCCGGTTCAACGCACCTTATTTGGTCGGCCCGTGCCAGCGATATCTCCTCGAAAAATAGTAGTTCTTCTTGCGACAATCTCCATATTTGCTGTTATCACACTCGTCTTCACACTGCCAAGTTCGATACCAGCAGGCCCTTCACTAGGGAAATTTACAGATCACAAGATATCCCTCCCAAAGCTTCCGAAGCAATTGTCTACACCGAGCATCCTCAACCCCTTTCGACCAGCAGCACACGCGCCCCAATATCCACAGAACAGTACCAGCGGAGAGTCAAAGTGGTATGAGAACTGGAATTGGCTCAGTCCATTTTCGTCTTCCGTGACCCTGGACGAAAATCGATCAATCCTTCCACCTCTCAGCAAACGATACCCAGTATACACATACTACGACCACACGTTGGACAAAGATGAAGAGTTGAAAGATGCTGAGAATGAGCTTTTGCTTACATGGAGGAGGGCTTGGTGGGCGCAAGGGTTCAAACCAATTATTCTTAGCCCGGCCGAAGCCATGAATAACCCTCTATACGCGGAACTTCAACAGAAAGAGCTTGAGCCCCCTCTTAAAACCGAATTCTTCAGATGGCTAGCATGGGAAAACATGGGGTCGGGAATACTTTGCAATTATCTGACACTGCCAATGGGGACATATGAGGATCCTTTGCTCTCGTACTTGCGGCGTGGACAGTACGGTGCGACGCATCAGTTGACAAGATTCGAGAAGTTGGGCAGTGGTATATTTCTTGGAGATAAACCGCAAATCACCGCGGCTTTAAAGGCAATTTTGGCAAACAAGGAATTGAACAGCGCCAAGGACTTCATAAGTGCGGCTCCTGAAGATACCTTTTTCGTTGATCCTCACCACGAGTCCCTGGCTTATTACGACGCCCAAACTCTGGACGACAAGTACTCAAAGATCGCAAAAAGTGTTGGTACGGCCAAAGGGCTGGGTTTAAGTCAATTGAATAAGCTCATGACCTCTCATCTGCATAGCACTTGGCAGAATATTTTCTCTTCTGGCATTGCTGTACTAAAGCCTCAGCCTGCACATATGTCGGCAATGGTAGAACCGGCATGGACTCTCGCACAGTTCCTTGCTCAGTGTGCGGAATCCCCTCTGCCAGCATCATGTCCTCCAAACCTTCCAAGATGCAAACCTTGTGTATCTTCCACTCCAATGAAGGTTGGCACGCCGCCAGCATATCTCAACACCTCAAGCCTCTACACGATTGGCACAGTTCCGCATCCGTTCACTTTCGCAGCATTGACTTCTCTTCGAGAATCAATCGATGTTCGGTGGATAAGACGAGAGATGGAGCGGGATACCTGGGTCTCTAGTCTCACCAAGCGCACATTAGGAACAGGAGTATCTGGAGCGCCTCGCGTGATCAAATTCAAGGAAGCCGTGGCAAGCGATTATGGAAAGGCTCATTCCCTTTGGATTACGGCAGAGAAGGATATTCCTCACGATCTTGACTGGCACTTTGGTTTTCCAATCCCAAAAAATACAACGGATACTGGCAAGTCAGAGACTCCTGTTCCTGGACCAGAGCGCAGACCTCAGCCGGTGCAAGATATACAAGACGGGCCTGTAGCAACGAAAGATGAGAAGGTTAAAGAGACGACGATATTGAAGAAAGCGAAAGAATTCATCAAATCAAGAACCGCACCGGAAGAAACGATCAAAGGCGCAATTGAGGCGTGGAACCTGGCGGATACCGAAGCCTGGAGATTTGCGAGGGCATTTTTGGCGAGGAGTAGAGTAGAACGTCTCAAGTGGGAAGATGAGGAGAAGAAGTATGCCGGTGGAGCAGGAGCTGAGCGAGGCAAGAGTGAAGGATGGGGACGATGGTTTGATGATTAAGATACCGGTAATGAGCGAGTTTGAAGGGTCTCTGCTTTTGGGTTGCATCCATTGTACAATCGGCTAGACTGGCTGGCGGGCGTTTTGAGGTTAGGTAATCGATAAATAATATTCTTCGGGCATGTAAAGACTGTATGTACTACTACCAATTCCAGAAAATTCCAAACGCTTCAACATCGGTGTTGAGACCAAAGGCAAGCTACCTACTGTGTTCCTGGGAAGTTGAATCCCACTCTACTTTCCTTTCCTTCATACCTCATAACGAGAAAAAAAAAAACAATCAAGTGTAAAAAGAAACCATCCTTCCATCCTTCCATCCATCCACCCATCCACTCCAAAGCCCCTCCCTACTCGCAAGAAACAGCAGTAGTATCACCACCCATCTCGCCACTCATCTCCCTACTAGTAACGCCTCTTCGCTTTCCATCTACCCCCTTCTCATTACAAGTATCCCCACCCATCTCGCCGCTCATCTCTCGACTCCCCACTCCATTCGGGGCCAGGGAGAATGGAGGGGCAGGCTTGGAGTAATGGCTGATGTATGTAGCGAGGGCGTGTTTGGCGGCTGAGACGAGGAGCTCGGCTTGCTGGAGGGAAGAGTGGAGCGCGAACTGCATAGAATCGACTTCGTTCTTTGCGTTGCTATCTCCATTCGCAATTTCGGTTTTGTGCTCGTTGCCGTTGCTATTCCCATTCGTTGGAGCCGGAGCCGGAGCCGGAGCAGGGATATCAACAGCACTGGATGATACATCCACAGCACCGTTTCCCACAGCACCGTTTCCCACAGCACCGTTTCCCACAGCACCGTTTCCCACAGCATCGCGCTCTTCGAGCAACCCCCGGATATGCGCATTCAACCACACGCCCTCCAACGCGCCCTTCCCCATCCCCTTGGCGCCCTTGATAAAGCCACGGCACGTTTCCGCGCCGCAGAAACAGCTGAAGCCCTGCGCCATGTCCCACTCGGTGCTCGGGTAGAAGAAGGTCAGTTCTTGGCCTGCGCGGAGGCCGGATGGGCCGGCAAGGATGCTGAGGGATGTTGTGTCGAAGATCTAGTGCTTTGGAAGGGGTGGGCATTAGTTTATATGGTACGGCTTTTGCTGTTTGTGGGTGGGGAGGATGGAGATGAGATGAAATGAGATGAAATGGGATTCCGAATTCCCGATGGGGAATTGGGATATCGTGGTTTCTTTTTGGGGGTTTTGGGGAGGGGAGGGAAGGAAATGGAGGGACTAACAACACTAGGCACACAACTATGGTTTATATACACCAAATCGCTATTCAGATTCATATGCTGCTCGCGTCCAATCTGCACCGTAGCGTACGTTGCCTCATCGGCGAGCGTGCACGGCGGGAAAGCCAGCTTAGCAAAGAAGCCGAAGGGCGGGAGGGAGATGGTCGAGAAGGATTTGGTGGTGAAGTCTTTCTCGGTGGAGAATTGGACTTTTTGCACATTGGGGTGCGAGGGTTGGGACCAGAAGGGGGTTAGAGGTGCCATTTTGTTTAGTAGTTGGTTGGTTGGGTTTTGAGTTGACTTGGTTTCGATTTGTGATCTGTGATCTGTTGCTTGGTGGTGTTTTTAATTGAAGTTTGATGTGTCGAATGTATGTACTGAGTGAGGGGTGGAGGTTTGTGTCGGTTGGAGGGAGGAATATGTATGAATGGCATATGCAGGAACAGACATGCCGGTCTGGCGGGGCAGCACCTCGGCTATGGAGGGGTAGCCAGCCCAGCCCAGCCTAGCTCATACCGCAGAATGAACGTGGGGGGGCCCCTTTCTTTGAAGTTGTACTTTCTTTGCATCGGGATGTTATTTTTCAAGACGCAGGTACTTACGAGTAATTGGATGGTTGATACAAAACTGATTCTCTGACTATAGGTAGTAAAATGAACAATGAGTGATTTCCTAAGTATGATTAACACGTGACTTCAGACTCTTGCCCATTGGAATAGAATAGGTAGGTTACTAAGATACTCGAGCTATAGATTGACTATATTATAAGAGAGTAATGGCATATATATCGAAGTATATAGAGTGAAGATCGAACTTAAGTGAATAATTTACAGTAGGGGGTGCTTACATAAGCAGCTAAGCCTCTCGTCAGTACTCGCAGTGAAGTCTACGCCATAACTTTCGAATCCAAAAACATTCGAAACCGAGAATATAGTTGGCTTTCATCTCGAGCCGTGCTTCACATGTTTAAGGTATCTTAGGTGAGCAGTCCGCCTGGTCACATTAGATTTGAAATCTATAATCATTGCGAATGACTCATTGCAAATGCAAAGTAAGCTCTAGAACTTTGTTATACAGGTAATCTTACATACCTCAGACATGTAAGGGCAAAGTACACGATCCGCGGAGAAACAGCATTATATGTTCCCCTGGTGGATACGCCCTAGTATGACACGAAATACGGGGCTTTCGCAGGCAGCTCTGATTCGGCAATTGATGCCTTGGCTTCCACGGCCTCCCACCTGATGATGACTTACCAAATTCCAGTTACTCTAGAAACAGATGAATATATATGGCTGACAAAAGAATATCAATTACCCGGTGGGAGGTTGCATACAACTCGTAAGTCTAAACAATTCCAGCTCTGCTAGATCGCTTTTCAAGCACCAGCTGCTGAGACCTATAAAAGCATCTCATGTCCATCTATTCCAATCTCTCTTCTTTACCACGCATTTAAATTAAAACTTCCACAACAAACCCTCTACCCAATCTAGATTTCATCTTCTATGCACACAAAGAGCTTGCCATAATCTCAGCAAGATGCCAGAGATAAAACTCTACTACGCACCCGGCGCATGCTCCCTAGCACCACACATCCTCCTCCACACCTCCGGCCTCCCCTTCCGCGCAATCCCCCTCCGCGTCGGTACGATCCTCACCGACTTCCCCCCCTCCTTCTCGCTCATCAATCCGAAGATGAAAGTCCCCGTCCTCTGTCTGGACACCGAAGTCATCACCGAGATCCCCGCCATCGCTACCGCCATCTCTAACCTAGTCCCGGAACGCTATTTCGTGGGGAAGACGGATATGGAGGTCGTGAGGGTGTACGAGTGGATGAACTGGCTGTCGGGCACGCTGCATGGAGCGGGCTTTGGACATGTGTTTCGCCCGCAGCGGTGGAGTGTGCAGGGGGATGGGTTGGAGGGGATTAGGGAGCAGGGGCTTGTGGTTGTGAAGGAGTGTTTTGATATGATTGAGGGGAAGCTAGCTGGTGTGTATGCGGTGGGAGGGGGGTTGACGGTGGTGGATGCGTATCTGTTTGTCTTCTATCGGTGGGGGAACGAGATGGGGTTGGATATGAAGGGCAAGTATCCCAAGTACGCTGCTTTGGTGAAGAATCTGCTGGAACTCGACGCCGTGAAGGAGACTTTGAAGGTTGAGGATATTGTGTATAAATTGTAGAATCTACATCTTAAATATGTTGATCCTGTTTGCGGGGTATGTTTATACCGTTCTGGTAGGTATGAATTGTTGGGACCGGGAATGGCGGGATCTTTAGCGAGCTGAAAGGGGGGGTGGGTTCTGAGGTTCCATGTAAGAGATGAGCTTGAAGTATACCTCACCACTTTATCCAACAGCCCCAGATCAGTAGTGATCAGCCTTCTTCCAAACGACTTTAGAAACACATGCGCCAGAGCCTCATCTTGAGATGAGAACCGAAGGTCGACAATCAACTATTCACTTTCTTATATCTACTCGCCCAAAAGCCTAGGCTCTAGTAGTATCTCTTCACGTTTAAAAATACCGTAATCTTGTGCAAGCCAGGTCACAACACCGCAGAAACAAAATAAACGCAAACAGTTCAAGAAAGAGAAAGCTCGATGATGTGTAAAGAAGAGAAAGGAAATAGGCGCGCAAAGTTAGACCGACGTGGTAGACGCTTCATTCATGCAATGACTGCTTGGGAGGTTTGAAGAAGCGGATAGATGGCCGTGTAGTATAGTATGTGTTTGATTGAAGTGCACGGAAGATAGTATTTTAAAATCGAAGCAACAAGCAAAGAACTCACCCTCCCCTTTCCTCCTTCTCACTTCCCTTTCCTCAAAACATGTCCATGGAATGTGTGTTATAGGCTGCGACTTTATATCTCTGCCCTCCTCGAGCCCCCTAAAACTTTAGCGAGTACGGCACCAACCGAAACAAAGCTTCCGTTTAGCTGGAGGCCACAAACAGCACAGTAGTTGAACTCCTTCTTAGCCTTACACTCAATTCCCATATCAAAAACCTTGCACTCTCGAATCCAAATGAACGTTCTCTCTATTATATTTTCGCCCTATGCAAATTAAGGAAAGTGCTACAAATCGGTTCAACCATGCTGATTACCCCTTTCCGCCATCGCTAAAATGCATATCAAGTCTGCCATTCCACTCCTCATCCCCTCACAAAGCCATCCATCCCACCACCATTCAACGCAACACCTCCTCCCTCTACAACCCACAAGCACTCACATCAACTTGCGTCCAGTCCGCATCCACGCGCCCAAGCGCCACCGCCTGTCCACCAGTCAGCTGATCCAAGGCCGCCTGCGCAATATTGAAACCCTCGGCCGCGTGATCGATAGCCAGGACGTTGATGCTGACGCCGTTGTAAGTCAGCGTGTAGCAGGTGCCGCAGTTGGCATCGTTCCAGCCGGCGATGGTCGAGGCACCACCGATGAGAGGAAAGGTGGGAAGGCTGGATTGGGTGCTGTAGCCCTTGGTGATCAGGCCGTTGGTACCATCGCTGCAGGAGACATCGGTGAGGGATCGGGAACCGTCATCGTAGCCTGTGTCGTAGGAGACGGTGATTGCAGAGGCGGTTGCAAGCAGGGTGAAGACGGTGGTGAAGGTTGGGAATTGCATTCTGGTGGGAAGATTGATATCTGACTGAAGAGATGATTTCAAAAGTATTGTTGGAGTTCTGAAGGTGGTTTGATTGATGTGAAGCTTGTTGATGTTCTGATTGATGTTCTGAGAAGAGAAATTAAGAGAAACCTCAAGTCAGTATATATACATTGTTTTGCAAAGGCACGTGAGCTCGTATCCCCAACGTGCCATCTATTTTCGTCAACGGCAGTCACGGGCACTTGCAGGTACGAGATCTCCCCACATTGTGGATGATAGAAACATAAACACGAGACGCTTTGTTGGCAACGTGACGCTAAGTCAGCCTTGGACTCTTGGCAACGCGATGTTGGGGAAAGGGTACGAGAAATAGACGAAAAAAGCATAGCATAGCATATTAAATTGTGCTGTCTGTTTCTCGAAGATACGTGTCTTAGTGTGATAACGCTGGTAAACTCCCTGAAAAGAAATTCTAATAGGAAAGCATTTGTTTGATACTACGAAAAGTAAGAATAGTTGTTATTTGAAAAGAGAATTGATTAAAGTCGGCTCGGCTAAAAAGCGAAAGCGGCAGCCGGGGTAGGTTCCGGCAGTCTCTGGATAGGTTACTACTAAAAACAGGGGATTTCCGACTTGAGGTGAAGACTTACCTGCGTAACATCTACTTGCTCGGCGCGGATCAGGCAGTCGCTATTAGATTAATCTCTAGCAATAACCACGCAGACACCTCGAGCGGTGACCAAACCTCGTGTCCGGGGTTCCGCAACTCCACGCCGAGTGCTCGCTTGTCCGGCAGAAGTAAGGTTCCAGCCGCTGCAGGGCTGTGACCGCCAGTCCATATGCTATGAGAGCTTCCCTCATCCCGGTCTCCAAGTTGGAGGATAAAGTAGACCTCAAAAGACCAACCATGGATGCTAGAGCTGTACCGGGCCATACCAAACCGAGCTGGAGCCATTCCAACCGACGATTAATGGCAACAAGGGCGGCGCAAATTCATTCCAGGTGATATGCTATCATGATACGAGTACGAGCTGGCGCCGTAGCGCGAGTGACATCTTCAAAGGCCGGGACAGGAAGTTATAGATCCTTTTGCGATAGCTGGTCCATATCCTTCAGGGCGAACAGGCTTTGGAGAGTATCACCGCCATACTGCTGGGGCAAGATATCCGCAGAGTTTGCAAACTTGTCGAGAATATTTCCAAGTTCTATAAATTCGACCGAGAACTCCTTCGCGTCCATTTCCCACCAGATCGCGACCGAGAGTAATTTGCGGGTGCTTCGCGCGAATAAAATCTGGCTTCTCATCTGTCCACTCCGACAGCTTAAGGGTGCCTGATGATCCATTGCGTGAGTTGAGGCCCGCTTGCACCTGGTTAATATAGCTCTCGAGCTCTTCGTTTTCTCGTCTACGTGCCCACTCCGTCTTTACTTTTTCTAGCGTTAAGTAGACGTCAACAGCCTGTGTCTCACAGTCACCTAGTGACAACTTATCCGCTGAGATTGGCCATAGCTCCACGAAGTGAAAGGCAAGCCGGCTGCCTTCTTCGAAATTTTCTCTCGATGTGCTGCTTCACGAAGAGACCCTGGTGCAAACACGCAATGGGTTCGGACAATGAGTCTCCCCAGCATTTGCAAAGAAGGCCATCCACACGATTTGAAGTCTACGAAGCCAGCGTAGGCTAGCAGCTTCAAGTTCTTAAGCTCATCGATAAAGGTAACTGCAGTGAGCGAACAGATAGCGTCCATATCGTGACTAGACCCAAAGGCTAGCAGCCCAGAGCGGAATAGCAGAGGAGCTGCATTCTTGGAGTATGAGGTAGTACATCTATCTAGAAAAGTTGTTTTAATCAGTGTTCCAAGCGTTAGCATTCTTGCTTGCTTGTTCGATTTGTAAGGTAGGGTTGGTTATATATATTGATCTCAACAGAAAGTACAACTATACGAGTGTTCAGGTGGATTCACTCACTACTACGTTAAAGACTCCAAGGAAAGAAGAAGGAAAGAACGAACCCGAGTTTTACTCGTCCTCGTTTTAGTTGCACCGCATTTTCAAGTGACTACTTAAGACTTTGATATATTCCAATAGTAGTACATAATTATGCAGGCAAAATCGAGCAGTAATGCGTAAAGTAGCCTGAGAAAAAGAGAGAGAAAGAACTAAAGTTTGATTTAAGCATACAGTAATTCGCCTTTCCCAGTCTTATACATCTCGTGGGGAGCACCCTCTGCTTCTGCTTGCTACTCACATTTCGTTTTAGCCTTTTAGCTTCTTCGGAAAAACCTGATTATGTGTACAGGAGTGGAGTTAGTAGAGTATTTGATCCCAATTCAATATATCCAGCCGCGATACTAATAGCGCTCACTACGCTTATACCTCCACCTCCACCTCCACCTCCACCTCCATATAACTAGGAATTCCACAGAGGCCACTCTCTTCTGCCTCCCTGATTCATTAGCGCCGTGCCGTCATCAGCAGAGTGAGTAGGCGAGCATGCAGATCCAGAGTATCGGCTTCCGGCCCTAACAATACTAGGACTCGTTAGAACTTTGGTATTTAGGCTCATGCATTCAGATGCTAAAAGTGGGATAAGTGTTGCAGTGGGACTGACGGGAGGGAATAATATTATTGTTACTTATACCATAGGTGCTTACTTACTCTATACAAACAGACCTACAAGTATGGCCAATTTCATTTCAATGTGATAGGGAGATTGTATTCTTCTTTCTGCTTGGCTTCGAGCAGATATCTATCGAGTGAGATTCGAGTTATAGTACGGAGCTTTTTCATTTAGTCATGCCCAAGGCTGGTATCTTAACTGCCTTGGGAGGAGTATATACAGTATGTACAGTAGGTACCTCGCGAATTAGAATGGATCAACACCGCGGTCATATATGGAGTATCTGAAACGCTTTCAGGGAAATGAGAAAGGAAATAGAAACAAGAAGGTTAACTCTACTGAAGTCCTAAATATACTAATGCCACAGAGAAGACAGAAGAAAATATGCAGCACACATCCTCACTATTAACCAATTAGCAGAGCATTCTCCGTGATGTTTAAATCACGCGACCCAATCTGCTCCGCTAAGTCTGCGCATACCGCTTGCAGCTCAACGTCCTCCCAGACCTCGGCACCCGCAAGTTCTGGCGCGACTGCCATAGCCAACGCAGTGAGACCGTCGACAATTAATTCGCAGATAAATTCATTAAATGCGGAGGTACCATGGCCAATCTCATATGAGAGTTGGATGTTCATGTGGTTGGCGTACGGACCATTGCGGCTGTTGCCCAAGATGGGATCTGAATGCTATGTCAGAGATGGTCAAATGAAGACTGGGGACGTGCAAACTCACTAATATGATCAGGCCCTGCACAAACCGTGGCCTTATAATGACACTCCGCCGCGCCGGTGGACTACAACCATCGCAAAGTGGCTCCGGAAGCGCGTATCTAGGATTCAACTTCCGCTCCTCTCTAGTCATCAAAGCACGCTCGACAATTCCACGCTTCACGATACCCGTCCCGCATCCAGATGCAGTAGGATCTTCGGTATCTTCGTACTCGACCTCCTTGCACGACTTGGAGACAGCTTGCTGCCACGATGCGACCGCCGCGGCGATCATCTGATCCCGCTCCTTCGTGCTGTCGTAGTGGCTGTCCTGAATGGTAAACTTGAGAGTCTCTTCGGACGGCTCGCTGCCGACGACTGTCTCAATACTGTCTAATTCTCCAGGCGTTTTTGAGTCGCATGTATCTGAGCTGTCCGGGCAGAGAGCCTTAAGCTTCTTAAAGAGGTCTGAGCGGAGATCGGCACCGCCATTCTTATTGTTCTCATCGCCGATAGGGACGGAGTTGTTAGAGAGAAAGATAGTGGCAGTCGGGGTGGGGGGAGTGGTAGGTGTACATCCGCTAACTGGAGTTGTTGCGCATGAGGGGGTGTCAGCGACGCCGCCGACGAGGGTACATTTGTAGCAATTGGCAGTGTAGACCTGTGACTCGATGGTAATAGGGTTGGCTATATTACTTGTTGGCATTGCGGTGTATGAACAGGACTGGGACTCGTCGGTCGCGTGGGAGTTCGTCAACAACGGCAGAGTTGTAGAGCCGCAAACGCAACCTCGTGCATTGATACCTTGATCAGGATCTTCGTTCTGCAAAGAGCAAGACGGCATTGCTGGAGCTGAAGTCGTTTGGGGCGGCGTAGTTGGACTGGCAGTGATACTGACCGGGCAAGCGGTGGCGTCGCGTTTCACTTTCTTCATAATCCGAGCGGCGAAGTTCTTGTGCAGTGTCTGAATAGATGAGTCTACGTCGCCCATGAACTTTTCGAAGTCCACGGTATTCTGAGGTATGAGGTCTCGAAATTCAAATAAAGGCGCTGTGCGGTCCAGATTGAACATCTTCTCGACCTGAGTTCCAAGGCCACCGATGGATCCATCGTACTGTTTATCGAAAGTGGTTAATAAATCTGGGCTTGGACTGCCTTTGTCGATGTCCTGAATCCATTCCTTGATACTCAGGGTGGTAGGAATGCCTTCTTTGGGATATGCGCCGATATACTTGTATTGCAGATCTCCGAATTTGTCAGTAGTTACTGGGTTCTTGACTGTCCCAGTACAGTAATCCCCGTCGATACTGTATGCTATTAGCTGGGCAAGTGAGCTGCAAAGTCATGCCACCTACGTACCTGACTTGAAAGTTATTATTTGTGAAGGCTGTTTTGTAGCATGCGAGTGTGTTAAAGATATCGAACAGCTCGTCGTCAGCAGGAAAGAATGACTTGACTGCGCGGTAAATTGTGACGAATTCCGTTCGTGGCATGAACGGAATCCACGACTTAGGACTCATCTCCTGAGAATTTGGATCGTCCGGATTTATCGGCTTGTTCGCAGCCTTTGCGTAAGATAAGACCAGAGTACAGAATCCAAGCACTGCATCATTGATCTTCCCGACATCGACTTTTAGTGAGAGATCCTGGAAATAATCTTTAGTGACTAGCTGGGTGTTTTGGCCTCTAGAGATACCAGTGTCGCCATTGAGGATGTTCCGGCCGTCCGTTACGTCTTTTACATTCTCTTTCATCAAGGAGTATAGCGCTTCTAGAGGCATCGATGCAGTGATTTGAGGAGCCCACCAAATTTTGTCTTTGTTCGTGTTTGTACCCAGGCCCCTGACGGTCCAAGGATCTGAGCATTCCTGGTAGTCCTTAATGATAACCTGATTGCTCGGATTTTCACTCCAAGGCGTCCAACTCGCCTGCAAACGTTAATTGTGTCAAGGTTGGAGGCCATTCAGCGAAGTACTTACCAAGTCATCAAAAGCTGCTTTGCCAGCGGCTGCAGCACTCCCATCGCCGACTTTAATGTTCCTGCCATCCAAGACGTACTCCGCGCTGAGTTTCCCAGCGCCCTGTTCAACAGAAGTGTCTACTGAAAGCACAAAGTTCGTCCCAGAACGGCCCTGAACCACCTTGCGTTTTGCTGAAAAGGTATCTTCGAGGCTGCATTTATCGTTTGAGAATTGGATGACGAGAGTTTCAAACTCTGCTCCGATGCCCGCGTCTCCAGAAGTAGTAGGTCCATCGTTGAACTCTACCAGTGCAATGTCCTCATACGCTTCGTCGCAACTAGGGGGATATGCGCGTGGAGTTATCGACGGTAATACAGCCGCCTTTGCGGTAAGCAAAAGAGAAAGAAAAAGTACGGAATGCATGCTAGGCATCTCTGCTCATCGAATAGCAAAAAGTGTTTACGGTTGGAGAAGAGAGAATAGACTTGATTTGGTTTTTGATCAAACAAGAAGCGGAACATGCAGTAGATATATATACCCTCCTTAAGGTGGTTAACCAGGGAAGCTCTTCCCATCTTGCAATTTCGTGAGAGCGTTGATTAGGATTAACCACCGTGCTGCTCATGGCTCAGCAATTTGGTGGAGTATGCCCCATAGATGTCTAAAGGGCTGTACATTACAGCCTCGTAGCTTTTTTTAGACATGACCTGTGTGGCACGACAAATGATCAAGTGTATTAATGTGCTAACACTCGACAGCAAGGTGCTGGGGTATTCCCAAAGTATTCCAAAAGGAATGCACATTACAGCCTGGTTCCTTTTTTTAGACCTGACCTGTGCGGCACGACACACGATCGAGTGTTTATGTACTGATATCGAGTGTCAGCACGGTCAGGTTTTGTTGTTGTTGGCAACGACCTACGCAAATCCTATTCCTTTCCTTTCCTGTATAAGTAAGTAAAATGAATCAGATTAGTATGTTGGCTGCAACGAATCAGAGTCTTCTGCATTGTGATGTCTGCTGAATGTAGGCGTGGCCATGGAAAAAGTGTGTCATCTAGGTAAAATGGAGAATAGGGATCTACCAGCACTCAATACGAGGCACGAGAAGTAGAAGGCTGCATTGGCTATTCTTCCACTCTTTGTATGCCGCCAAGAATTTTCCTCTCCCACCAGACCCCTGTGTTTATGGTGAGAAAGAGTCTTGGCGGCATACAAAGGGTGGAGGGGATACTTATTTGGTAATATTTAAACGTAAGACAGGAAGGAAGGATTGCTTAAGAGGAATGTAAAGAGTGTTGGACTGAGACAACATCGAACCCAGAGAAGAGGCACAGTTGTGAAGGCAGTGTTAGGTCAGCTTGATAGAAGCTATCGTGCTCGCGTGAGCTAGAGCCTACATAGTAATTCACCAGATTGTTGTAAGCTGCTTATATAAGCGTCGACTATCCCCCCCCCCCCTTAATAAATGTTAAATCACGTAAAGTCCCCCATAATACGTAGAGGCCTATGGAACTGAATGGCTAGAACCCTTGCAGTGGCCCGTAAAGGGTACTTATAAAGTCCTTGTACTTCGTAAGATCCCACTAGGCCCTAGACGTAGTGATATCATTTACTAAATTCCCCTATTTACGCGATGGGGCGAAGGATCATTAACATTTATTAAGGGGGATAGTATGGGATAAATCTCTTTATTGCGCTACTTTAGAAACTAAATCCCTAGCAAAATATATATGGGGAGCTGAACGGCTCAAGTCTTAATCTGCCGTAAATCTTCGAGGCATGAATTCCTATCTGACACAAGTGAGATTCCTCGTGGCTTAGTATACGAGGCGCTTTTCCTACTGGTCGCCCTACGACTGCGAAGCACTCGGATCCTTCGAAACAGCTGAAGATAACGTCAGCTGGGGGCGAGTTCTTGGCATAAGGTTGAGCCTTACCTCCAACATTCCAGAAAGGGACAAGTACGAGTATTAAGAAGAAAGCAGCACAATTTGCGTCATGTGATCTGTCCATCAGCTACTCGAGTACTCGTCAAACAACTAAACAACACCATCAACAACAACGTTGACTAGAGACCAACCAGTTTACTATGGCTCTCTCGAACCTCCCACACGAGCTTCTTGACATTATTGTTGAATACTCTCTACCACAGAGCTTCGAGAACTTAGCAACGACCTGCAAGAGAATCTATGCGCGATGTACACCATTCATCAAGCGCCACAACGAGCTGCGCTCCCGCTTCCGAGATTTTGCCTACTACGCCCACGCGCGCGACAGCCTGGTTGCAGCTTCCGACCTCATCAACCTCATCGCCGCTGATCCCATCGTTGCGCGGTACATTCGCATCGCAAACCTTGTGGGGGACAGCAGGTGCCTTTCGCATCTACGTGTCCGTGGTGAACCACCAAAGTCGGTCCCAAGCATTGAGGACGGAGGAGTCATTGTTCAACTGTTTGCCAACTCTACGTATCTCCAGCGAGCCCGGCTAGACTGGAGGGTGTACTATTCTACGTTCGCAGAGGATGTCAGAGAGATGCGTTATTCGCAGCACGGCAGTGCCTTTCTCCTAACGCTGCTCAGTGACACCGAGAACCTCACCATACCAAGGTCATGGAAGCCGAATGCCGCGACGAATCAGCTGCTCGATGTCCTTGCCAAGGAGGCTCGGCAATCTTGCTTTCTGTCTTCCGGTCTTCGGTCAGTCACAAGTTTCCTTGGATCATTATCGAGATCCGAGACTGAAAATTGGGGCTTGAGTTGGGCGAGCCCCTTCCTCGCTCTACCGCATTTGAAGTCGTTTAGCGGTCCTGGCAGCTTAGCAGTCGGAGAAAACCCTAGAAGTCTCGCATTTAGAGGTTCGCCTCATATCGCAGACACACTTGAAGCAGCTCATCTAGGTGGTTGTTGTATTGACGACGCAGGCATAACCGACTTCCTCAAGCATACACCACGCTTGAAGACATTAAGATACTCGCATAGCACACAGCATGACTATCTTCCTCCAGACTGGGATATCTGCAAATTTATCAACGCAGTAGCGCGCGAAGCTGGGAGCCATCTTATCGAACTTTCGATCAACATCCTTGAATTGCGCGGCTCTATCCTTCCCGGCAAGGCATCGACCCGTGGTTTCCAGAAGCTAAAGAAGTTCGAGTTTCCTCTGAAACTTGTTGAATGCAACATCAATGCCGCGGGTGTCACAGGTAATATTGCTACCTCGTTGCAATATTTCTTCAACGGCTCACTAGATCCGTTCGTACGTGACTTGATACCCCCTTCAGTCACGCATCTGTCGTTGAAATCCGAGGGAATGGGTCCTCATGACGGAGCTCTTAATGCCTTGTTCCGTCATTTTTGTGCGGTACGTAGGTCCCAGCTGCCTAATCTCCAAGAGGTACATATCGCCTGTAAACCGGAGGCGGATAACGTCTACAAGCAACAGTGCAACAAGATCGTTGCGGAGGGTAGTAGAGAAGGTGTAGTTGTGCATTTGCAGGCGTATGAGTATTCTGGGGGTCTTGACTGGGATAGGTGACTCTATGGGCGTACTCTTGTGATTTTCTAAGGAGATCTGCTTTAGTTTACTTAGAAGATATAGTACCTATTTCTTTAAAAGCACCTACTAGTTCTCCTTCCATAGTGCTACTTGTCTGGAGCAGGAGATAACAGATCGGTCATATTACTACAAGACATGCAGTCACGAAGCCGTTGCAACTGAGCGTCCTCGGAGGTTACCTGGAAGTTACACGACTACTGATCAAATTCTTTGGCCACGATTATGGCAATCATAATAAGACTATCTTTTCACGCTTCAGCACAGCCGCCGGTGAACTGTTGTTGTTCGCCGTCAGGTCAAATTCTATAGAAGCCCTTACCTCTCTTGGGTACGGATTGATATCAACTGCTGCGACGCATTAGGGCATACGCCCTTGTACCTCGCGGCTCGATCTGGCAACGAATCCTTTGTCAATCTTCTTTTGCCTTACAAGCCTCTCCTCGATAGATATGAAGCTGTCAAAAGCTGGACTCCCCTTATCATTGCAAGTTTGGAGGGTTTCTCCACAATAGTCGAAGTTCTCCTCAAACATAGGGCCAATGTTGATCACGGAGGTCTCTCGGGCTGGACAGCAATCGATCATGCCAGTTGTACTGTACTTTCGATACCAAGCGGTGAAAGTTCTGGTCTGTCAATGTGATATACAATAAGTGGCACCTGGGCTATGTATAGTCTGGAGTCTTGCGGCTCACCGGGACTGTGCATAATCCTTAGGGTAGCCAAGGACAATCTCCACCTAGACGTGAGATGCTATTTTGAGCTGGAAAAGGGTTATTTCGCTAGGAGGTCCTTTAAGTACTCAACGGCAGCAGTCACAGCCACTCGTTGATCCTCACGCCAAGACATGTCCGGGATTGCGGACGAGAATTTTCTCCCGATGACTTTCAACTACTGTATTTCTCTTTCTCTCTCTTCTTCGTATCGAGGAACCGAGTACCTGGCATGATTCTTTGAAGTAGCCAAGCCGGAGATCTTTCCCAAGATCAACCCCCAAAGTAGACAAGTCTAGATGAGAAGGAATCCCGTGAAGACGGTGAGGTTAATATAATTGCAAGGAATAAGTAACTCCGCCAGAGCAAAAATGCTCCACTTCTTGGGTTTCGGTTTACCACAATCCCCAAAGGTGCTCGCTCAAACCAAAGTTGAATTTGTTTTCGAATTCGGATTTGATTTATGAAGCGTCATGGCAAGTGCTGAAGTATCTCACAAGTCCCGAGTTTTCCATCAGCCTTGCAAGCCGTTCGTTCGGACAATGCTTCACAACCGCTTATTTCAGCCCCGTTCGTTTCTCGCAAGGTTGCCTAACAGATCAGATTAGACAATGGATACACATCGCAAGGCTTGTGCGAGTATTCTCGTGTTACGGACTTCAAGATACTTCCTAGTGCCAGTGTGCGCTTCTAGAGTTGTGCGCGTGCAGTTTTGGTCCAAGTCGGCGAGCAGTATGAGTTGTGTCTTTGGAGCACGTCGTTGAGCTTTAGGTAACACCACATCCTATCGAAACTTGTCTCGGATCAACCAACGTCTTGGAAAAACTCAACGGTTGGTCCGGTGGATGGGGCTCGAGAAGGCTCGAAGACTTCAGAAATATTTTTTCCTATTCAACCAGAACCTCCATTCATAAAGAAGTGACCGAAATTTGCCGTTGCCGTTGCCGTTCACGAGTCGAATGAAAGAGATCATGCTCTTAATATGTATTCACAGGTTATTAACAGACACAAGACAAGGCCACAATATCACCAAGGTTTATAATAAAAGGAGCAGTCTCTCCTTAGATTCTCACTACGCAAACCACACCTTCAATATGTCCTTGTGCTTCCTTCCGCATCTACAACAACACCCCCAGCCAGCCAGCTGGTTTCCAATTACTACAAGTATCAGGCACACCCGAACAGCGCAACCAGTCAACTAGTCAGCCTTGTGGCAGACATAGTTTATCGAGATTCCTACTTCCGAACTGTGGTAATCCCCTTTTCTCTCAAGACTTATCCCTTCCCCCTTCCTTCTTACTCCTTACCCCTTTCTTATCAACCCCTCTATCTAGCTATCATCTACTCCATCACATGCAACAACAGCACAGCACAGTACAGTACAGTACAACTTCCGGATTAGTCCTTCCTCGGTATTACTGTACTACAGTAACGTCAAGAAAGTCCAGTTACTGAGAAGCTTCTCAATCTTTTCTTTTTGCACCTGTCCCGCCCACTCGGCAAGATTGCAAAGCACCTACTCTATGGTCTTGAGCAATTCGATATCTGCATGCAGCAGACGAGCGACGAAGCCACGGAGCGAATGTATTCCAACCTCCAGACATCCAAGACCTCTCTCCACACTTGAATAGTAGCTGACGAGTTTTATGTATGCTTATGAGCACTACCTCCGATCTACAATATCCACACACCTCACCTCAGCTCAGCACATACAAAGATACATAATCATTCATCTGATTTAAAACTTTTCATTCACTCCACCTCCTACTCCACCCCCCTACTCCTACTACAACCACGCCACCACTAACCCCTCCCTGCATCACCACCGTAAAACCCAACTCCTGTTATTCGACCATCCCTCGAAACCGGGTATAGCAGACCAGACGTTATATAAGGTAAAAATCAGATGTAACAACCCCACCATCCAAAACGCCGTATTCCAAGTAAAGCCAAATGCAAGGCCCGAAGGTTAAGTTAGATATGATACAAGATTAAAAACAATCAATTAGTCGGGTGGGTCCAAATAATTGCGCCGGAGACCGTTGTGGTATGTGATGCGATGCGATGTGCCGCGCCACCCTGAGATGAGTTTGTACTAGGCCGTGAGATGTAATAGGACATCATTATCGCCTAGTAGTCATCGGATGCTGGAATGGAATGGATATCCAAGTTGAGATGTAGAGCCATTCTGTCCAATTCGGAAGCGAGGTTTGGGCCTCATCAAGGCCGAATGCAAGATATACGAAACTGGCATTAGATCAAAAGAATCATGACGTATTGTTTGGCTTCTGCCTCTTGGTTATCCGCGGGCTCGGCTTCACCCCTGGCTTTGCTTGGGTTCCATTGACCTGATTCTCCTCCTCTGCCTTGACCGCACTCGGTCTCCTACGTTTATTGGTAACGTTTGGGCTCGTATTTGCACTCGGTCCACTAGAGCTGGTGCCGTGCTGGCTGTGTTGTAGCTGCATACCAGGAGCCTGGGCAGGACTTCCACCAACATGAGGAGAACCTGGAAGTTGGAGATGAGCTGCCGCAGGTGAAGCCCCCATAGGGAAATTCGACATACCCGGTGTTCTTGGCCCGGAAGGATTCTGTCCTTGAACCCCAGGGTTATTGCCGTTGATAGAAACTGTCGTCATGTACTGTTCCAGAGCTGGGTACGGTGCCAGTTGAGGGTGCTGATGGGAGTAATTAAAAAGGGGATTCATTTGCACTATTACTTCGGCAAGCTATGTCACGTTAGACAGTAAAACAAGGTTCTTGGAGGGAGAACATACCTCGAGGAACCGAAATACTGCAGGTGGAATCCCCGATCTGGCAATGACTTTAGATTGAGGAAGGTCGATATCAGGGGGCGGTGCAGGCGGTGATTTCATAGCCTTGGCCTTTTTCTTGTTCATTTCCGGTGATTGCTTCCCTTCTGGTGGGGCATTGACTTTATGCCACTCTTTGGCCCAATCATGCACAGGCCTTGCCGCTTCGATCAGCCGACTTCGTGGCAAGTATTCTTCATGACTATTTGTAACAAATTCAAGAAGTTCAATCTTCTGTTCTGCATCAAAATGGGCGCGAAGCGTTCCATTTGCAATCAACTAGGCAACATTAGTATATTTCTGGGAGAGGACTTTGAAGCTTACTTGTGCGCCAGTGTCAAACCAGTATACAAAACTTGACTTTTGGCTTTCAATGTAATGTCCACTATGAGGTAAATCCTTTTCTGTGCCCTTTTCCATAATCAACTGCATGGTCTTGACCCCGCTCTCAAAATGGGTAAAGAAGTATCTCGCTAAGGCTGGGTAAGTAATCTCGTACTGCTTGTTGGCACCATCATCCGTAAACCAAAGAGAATGCCGTAATACCCCTTTTGGGGAGAAAAATCTATCCACGAAACCTGACCAATAGAACAAATCGTCCCTTTGCTTATTTCCCTGTGCTGCCATTTTCTGGGTGCCGTTGGTCATATATGATTGTAAAGGTTTTGAGGACGCGCCAAAGCTGCTTAGATGATCCGCAAATTGCATTAGTCTCATAAGACATTGCCCTCTTAGCTTCTCGCCTTGCTGTTGTCTTTGCTGCATCATAGCAGCTGCAGCTGCTTGTTGTTGAGGATTCATTCCTTGGGGTTGAGGCTGTGGCTGGCCCTGCTGTGGTTGGCCTTGTGCATTGGGTTGTGCTTGTTGCGTTTGAGGTTGGGATTGTGCTTGTATAGGCTGACTTGGCTGACTAGCACTGGCAGCTTGCCCTTGTTGTTGTTGCTGCTGTTGCTGAGCTGCTGCTATTTGCGCTTGCTGCATATTATGCATCTGCTGTTGGGTCATCTGGTTCTGTTGCCCTGGATTATTATTTCCTCCGTGTTGTTGAGCATTTTGTATTGCCATTTGTTGCGCGAGGATGTGTTGCTGCTGCTGGTGCTGTACGTATTAGCCAGAGTCCAGATCAGAATTGAGTAGAGGCTGGGAGGGGCAACAGATGGATTAGGAGACTCACTTGTTGTTGAGCTTGCGCTGCTTGCTGCTGTTCCAAGCCAAGTTGAGCTTGTTGCTGCTGTTGTTGAAGATGTTGGGGCAAATTGACAGGCCGCGCCATGGGTCCAGATCGCATCGCTTGGAATTGCGCCGGAGTCATCTGGCCCATGCCATTTTGCATGTTCATCGGCATCCCACCCCCACTGTAAGACTGCTGTATCATGGCCTGACGCGCGCGCTGTTGTTGCATAATATGTTGTTGTTGCTGTTGTTGTAGTTGGAATTGAGGGTTTCCGACTATAATTAGATAATCCGTCAGCATGCGGGCCACCCAAAAAGTCGGACGTATGTCGGGCTGTAATAAGCCGCATGTCTCGGCCCCGAGGCTGAAAATGAAAACTCTTGTACTTACACATTGCTGCCTGTTGCTGCTGCTGCTGCTGCTGTTGCTGTTGCATCAATTGTTGCTGAGGGTTGAGGTGTTGCAAGGCATGTTGGCTCGGCCCACCAGCTCCAGGCGGCATCCCACCACCCATCATAACTCCAGCCTGACTGACCTGAGGACCTCCTGGACCAGATACTCCCATTTGCATATGCTGCGGCATTCCTGGTTGGCCCTGACCTTGACTGTGCGGTACTGACATGCCTGCCTGCATTGGGTGGCCTTGAGCACCTGGGTGAGGAATTCCACCTGGATGCGAATAGGCCTGGCCTCCTAAGCTTGTCATCATGTTGCTAAGATTGAGTGTCCACCAAGTGGAAACCGAGCACAATCCAAACGTATATCACACATGTGCCTCGGATCACCAAAGGTCGCGTAGTCCTCCTCCGCCCCGCTACCTAGTAGATGCCGTGTGTTGTGGTCTCTACTTCTTTGTATAATCGCGTTTGTAAGGAATAAATTTGTTATTGCCGCTCTTCTGGCTGGTAGACAGCTATCCCGAGCTGGAACTTGTTATATTTTTGCGACAAATAATAGGCTAAATCAAGCTTTCCGTAGAGGTCTTCGTCTCGACTTGGAGCGCTGTTGTACTTGGTCCTCGCGAAATCGTTTGTGCACCTTGTCGAAGTTGTCGCAGAAAGAGAGAAGGCGGGTGGTACGAGTAGGTTCAGGTCCGCCGAAATACTGTAGAAAGCCGTTGTCGCAAAGACCGGACGGAGCGGGTAAATATGTAATCAATAGGCTAGGCAACGAGTGATTTGGAAGTAAGATCTGGTGTACCGCATGCGAATGTTTCAATGCGATATGTCGTGGTCGTTGTCTTTTCTCGTCCGAAGCACTTTGACCCTTGCGGCGCGGGAGAGTGAATTCGAGGTGAGCCCTGGTCACGATATCGGGCGCTGATGCAACATGAAGGGGAAAGGGGAGCAAGCGCAGAAGCCGGGTTGAGAGCAGTTCGCACGCAATGGATGCTGCAGCGAGTGAGTGAGAAAGAGAGGATGGCGAGGAGAGTGATGAGGAGGGAGCTCAAAGGGAGAAAGATGTTGGGAGCATAACGGTGATTAGGTTGTGGTGGTGGTGGACGTTGTTGTTTGAACAACCTTTGGACTAGACATCCACTCCCTCGTTCCTTACTGCAGTCTGCGATGGGATGAATGGGCTTGCTTGGGTAGGCTGGGGCCCAAAGCTTTTTGGCGGAAAAAATGGGGAAAGCTATTCTCAGGCATCAATTAAGGCAGCGGTGGCCTTTCAATATCAGGTGATTATAGCATGCAATCAGTTCACCTTCTGATTTGGGATTTCAGCTGCTGGTTAATATACATATATATACATATAATGAAAATGACAGTCAAGATTACTACCGATGAATTTGCTATCTCGATTGATATGCATCGCTACCAAATGTCTTATGTGCGTGTACCAGCTATCTTAGGAACCACTCGGTCTCTCTAGTTCCAGCTGGAACCTCAAAACCGTTGCAAGGTAAACAACAACCAAGAAGCATTATCTATTGATATCATATAATCTAATAATAAGATTCAACTCCATAGGCAATTCTGGAAGGCTTTAATTGAACTCACAGTCGCAATACTGATGATTGTGCCAGCGTCATGTGATCATCGTCTCCTCAAAGAGGCTAGTACCAAGATGGTTAAAAGAATACGGCCGCTAGCTTCAAACCCACTTCAAAAGAAATATTTTTGTTCTCGGAGCTCCCTCTTCTCAACCACTTCCACCAACATCTTTTTCTTCCAACCAATACAACAATACCGTCAGGAGCTGTCTTCGTCAGCTCCATGTGTTTGCGACTAACTATGGTACGTCCCCAGCTCTGTCCTTTCCTTCTTTTCTCCCACCATCTTCAATGATGACAATTTCACAAAATACTTCTTTTCCCAACTTAATCGCCAATGATGAAGTTTATGCTGTCCGGGCTTTCCATACGTGGTCTGCCTGCTACTTGCCAGTACCGTTGTCTGAGAATCATCTCTTATCACATTCGTATCTGTCACCCAGTGTCGACGCGTTGCTGACTCGAAAAAAGTTTTCTTAGCATCCCCACCCACCGTACGGTCGCGATCCTAGTTATCCCTCGGCATCTATCAGCTAGCAAGGTGGAACCCATCTGATGTACAGCATCAGCGGGGGAGGATCTACCTTCCTACCACTACTACACACCGAGATCTAAGCTGACATGCAGGATCCTTCGCACCTACCCCACAAAGGTCAGTCAGCACTTTTTTCTCTCTCGTTTCTCCCCCTAGCTTTTATGATGAAACACATACCACATTCGCAGTTTTCACTCGAGTCCCGCCTTACTTAGAACCTAAACAGGGACAGATGAGGGGCAAAGTTCTTCCTTGGATGTCTGACTTAAGCTTTTTGATTTCTCAATTCAATTACATATCATATCGAGTTGTTCTTTGCTAACTCGATGGATTCAAAGGCAGGTACAGAAGAGACTCCAATCAAAATTACTGGGTACCGGCCCCAAGACAATTCTCTATGGGAACAAGGTGGGTTAGAGATAGGATATATAGTTTGCAATTCACTTGAATATTTTGATCTGCCTCGAATCCAACCCTGTGAACCCATCTGCTGCATCTTCCGAAACTTTTCCGCAGTACAATTTCCAATAACAGCTCGATCTCTATTATACCTCTAATATCTCTACAGCATTTGGGCTTGTCGACAAACTTTACAGTCTCATTTTTCACGAGCTTCGATGATTTGTCTCCGGTAGTCGGCCTTTCGACACCTCACTCTACCCCTGTTCATACTTCGATTTCCCGCATGCGGGCATATCACTCTATAGCTAGGTATATATAACCATGCTACACGGAGTTCATACCTGTTACCATAAGTCAATCTTCCATCTCCTCTTCCCAACATTCCCCTTCTCTTCACAAGGCAATGGCTCAAGGAAGCTCCATTGAACTTCTACATCGTATCTCTGATCATATATGGCGGGAACCCGACCCCGATCAAGTTGTCCCAGCTCAGAAAAAGAATCTGCCACACAGCGAAAGTACTAGACTTGCAAATGCTGTTGGAGTGGAAGACGTACCTCCTAATGGAGGCTATGGCTGGGTATGCGTGTTCTGTGCATTGCAAGACTAACCTAGGAAGACTTACCCTAGATAGGATCGTACTAATATCATCTGCCTACAAACCGTCGCCGAGCCCATCGGCCTCATGCTTCGGCGATCTCACGGGAACATCTACCTCGACGCCCAAGTATTCACGGGCTTTATGTTCATCGCCGCAGCACTGTACTCATGGTTCATCCGCTCATGGAAAATCACCGATAACGATCGTAAAGAGGGTGCCAAGCGGGGTAGAGAAGATGTAGTAGTAGAAATGAGCGGAAACTACCCAAGGTACCCAGGGTATCGCGATGGAGATACTCCTACAACTTGGATCAGCTACACCTATACAATACTTAGGAACCTATTTGTAGATGGGATTTTAGAGAATTAGAGCGAGTGAGATGTGAAGAGGATATATTTTTAGCAACTAGGGCTATGTTAACCTTGCAATATATGGTAGCCAAGTCTAGAAATTTTTATAATTAGAGTTAATAAATGCCTGGCCGTGTTATTTACAAGACGTGTTTGCGCAACAAACTGGCGATCCTTTTGTACAGTCATTTTCGTTACCTATAAATGCAGGTGTGTTTTTAATGTTGGGTACAACTGCTACTCGCGTAGCAAGCGGGTGAGTCTGTTGTGTAACTGCTCTCGTTATAAGTGCAGGTCCCTGTAGGTGGTGGTGATTTAGGAGATGCGATTCGCTTCACCTCTAGAGACCAAGCTCGTCCAGAGAAAACCGAGACTCCGATTCCGATATCTCATTCATATCCTCATTGCAATGATCCGGTTCTGGCCGATCCGACTCCCCATTGCCACCCTCATAACAAGGATCTGGTCGACGCGAATCCGATTCCTTATACTCATCTTCATCACAAGGATCCGAGTCCGGTCGACCCGAATCGTACTCGGAGAGTAAAGTCCGGCACGTCACCCGCCACAACTTTATCCACTAGAAGCTCTATTAGCTATACTTGAATGTCCGCATAGATAAAATTTACCTTCTTATCCTTGGCGAAGAACGCCGTCTGAAGACGACGCCCAGGAATCCTCAACGCTAGAGGGGGTTCCTGACACTTGTGACCAGCGTCGCAAAGGAAACACCGGTTCCCATCTGGGCGGGTGGTTTCGCGGCAGGGCGCCGTTGCCTTGCCGACAAGAAGACTGCGGATGCAGCCCAAACAGGGGGTCTTGCGGCGGGCGCCAGGGACAGCAGGGCGACGGTCTAGAGGTTTCTCCCTCTTGTGGGAGGGGGAGGGGACAACACGGCGACGGTCCAGAGGCTTTTTCTTCCTTGGGGAAGGGTTGGGGACAACACGGCGACGGTCCAAAAGCTTCTTCCTCCTGTGAGAGGGGTCAGGCACAGCAGGGGAACCGACTGGGGGCTTCTTCCTCTTGCGGGAGGAGGCGGGGATTCTACTATCATCATGATCGTAATCCTCCTCCACCACAGGGCGAGCGAAGCGTTGGGGACCACAGGGGCCCAGAGGAATAACAGGTTTCTCTTTTTCGCCCTTAGCAGTAGGGGTAACAGCAGCAATAAGTTCATCTTCCTCATCTTCCTCTTCGGGGGCAGAGCCCGGAGCAACAATATGCTTTTCCTCTTCCTCAACAGCACGGCTAGCAGCAATAATAGGACCCTTTTCTTCTTCTTCCCCCTTTGCAGCAGGGCTGGCAGCAGCAAAGGCACCCACTACGCCGGCAGGGCGCAAGCGATAAGGGCCAAGCTAAAAAAGTGATGTGAGCTTTCAAATGACTGATGGAATGCTCGACAGGTATCAAAATAATAATATATGCTCTACAACTTACAAACGTTGGGGCAGGCTTGGGAGCAGCGACGGCGGGAATCGAGCTGTCGGATCCGGAGGATATACATTCTTCTAGCTGCATTGCAATGATATTAAACAGCTCAGAGTCGTAAAAGTCAGATGGGAAATCCGCAAGTCCTGGCCTACTATGAGACATTGACATTGCCAACGTGTAATGTAAGCATTTGTAAAGACGTATATTTTGCTTGGCTGTGAACCTCAAGGATTCCTATAGAGATACAGGAGTCAGGAAGGAGGAGAATTTGTTCTGGGGGTGAGGTGTGGTGTTGTTGAGTTGAAGCATGCGGCTCACACGACTGCGGTTGGAATCTCGCCAAGCCCATCGTCATCCTTTGCGAACGCCCGAGCTTCTTCTCCCTGTCTACCTACTCTATTTAGTACAACAGTAAGTAGTACAGTATGCGCCGAGGCACAAAACACGCCTCACAGGCTCCCGACTCTTCATAAAATGGCTGCATAGCTTCAATGAAACCCCGCCGAAGACCTGGTGTAGCTACAGCCGAAGCTGGCACATAATCGCCATGCTCTCCGCCTTTACAGCTCGACCCATTGTTGAGCTCAGGCAGCGGGACAAGTCCAAAATTGAGTCGATACTTGCATATGGTCGGTTGCACCTCAGAGGAGTTGGAACGAAGCTGATGATTTACAGGTGACAGGATATTAGTGGGCTTAAATACAGGAAGTCTGCGAGTATACCGTGTCAACGAGCTCCCCGAGGAGGAGAGGCAAAATGGAGCCCCGAAAACAGATGACAAGTCTCCCTCTCGACCAAGCTCCCCAAACGCCCCCAAGCCTGTCGACCTGCTTCGCGAAGTCGAGAAGTTCTCTACGAGAACTATCGAGCAGCTTGCGATTATTAAGGAAGCCAATATCTTGATATCTTTGTCCAACTACTATGTTTCAATACACGACCTACAGTCCTACACATTGCAAGAGCAGCTGAGCAAGACAAAAGGAGCTTCAACTTTTGCTGTCACGTCGAATATTGTGAAGGATCCTGCGACGGGAATTCCAGAAATCATATCGAGATTAGCAGTAGCAGTCAAGAGGAGGCTCCTACTATGGTCGTGGCATGAATCGGAGCTCTCGCAGGATATGGTGGAAATCTCCCTGGCGGAACCTATACGGACGCTTACCTGGGCATCTGCGACCCAAATTATATGTGGCATGAACTCTGGATATGTGATAGTTGATGTTCTGAGCCAAGAAGTGCAGGAAATTGTTGGACCAGGAGCCATCGGAGGGGCATTGGGTGCCCCAACAGGTCGATTTGGTGGCGCGGGTTCTGCTACTATGGGATACATGGGTCTTGGAGGATATATGCCAAAACCTTTGGCTACAAAACTGGCCGATGGTGAAATGCTTCTTACCAAGGACATCAACTCACTATTCATTACCTCTGACGGCAAGCCAGAAAATAAGAGGCAGATTCCGTGGCAGCTAGCGCCAGATGCGATAGGATACTCGTATCCATATATTCTGGCATTGCAGTCACCTTCGAAAGGTGCATTGGAGGTTAGGAACCCAGAGACATTGTCCCTCTTACAGACCATTCTGTTACCAAACGCTAGCCAGCTGCACTTCCCTCCACCAACAGTCAGCTTGGCGCATGCCGGGAAGGGCTTCCATGTCGCCAGTGACCGGTGCATCTGGCGAATGGGCGCTACAAACTACGATTCGCAAGTTGATGAGTTGGTTGAGAAGGAACGTTATGATGAAGCTATCAGCTTACTCAACATGCTAGAAGATGCATTATTGCGGAACAAGGAGGAAAGACTTCGAGAAATCAAAATACAGAAAGCACAGGTACTGTTTGATCAGCGCAAGTACCGAGACGCCATTGATATATTCCTTGCAGATGATGTGCAAGCTCCACCAGAGAGAGTTATTAGATTATACCCTCGAATCATTGCCGGAGATCTTACTACCATTGAAGACAAACCAAATGACCCAGATAGCGACAGTGGGGAAGGAGAAGAAACCACCAATGGAGACAATGCTAAGACTGGAGATGTGAAGCAAGACATCGTTGGGTCTCCGAAGCCGGCTGGCGTCAGCAAATTACTCAAGGGCCACAACAAGGATACTTCAGATGCGTCATCTATCCGCTCATTCATAAAGCTCGATGCTGAGGACGCGAAGTTAGAAGGGAAAGACCTCAATGCAGCTGTTCTAGAACTCATCTCGTTTCTTGTTGATGCTCGGAATAGAATGAAGAGATATTTGGATGCTGATACAGGCAAATTGGTCCCATTGAAACAGAACGGACAGAACGGATCATCTGAAGCCGCCTTCGAGTCACTGCTTGTTAAGCCTGCATCGGGAGCCGAACAGGATCGAGAGCAAAAGCTACGAGAGACAGCAAAGCTGATCGATACCACTCTCTTCCGATCATATATGCTTGCCCGGGCCTCCTTAGCAGGACCATTCTTCCGAATTCCAAACTTTTGCGACCCTGATGTGGTCAACGAGAAGTTATTAGAAAAGGGGAGGTACAACGATCTAGTTGATTTCTTCCACGGCAAGAAGCTCCATCGTCAGGCACTGGAATTACTCAAAAAGTTTGGAACCGCTGAAGAGGAAGACGAAAACGCACCGACACTACATGGTCCCCAAAGAACGGTTGGATATTTGCAAAACTTGCCACCGGAGATGATTGACCTTGTTCTTGAGTTTGCAGAATGGCCATTGCGAGCCGATCCGGACCTTGGCATGGAGGTGTTCCTAGCAGATACCGAGAATGCCGAGACTCTACCAAGAGATAGGGTTGTGGAATTCCTCGAAGGCATAGATGTTGATCTTGCCGTGAAGTATCTCGAACACGTGATAAACGAACTCAATGATACGACGCCAGACTTTCATAATCAGTTGGTTAGCGCATATTTGAAAGATCTCAAGGCTCGCCAGGATACAGATTCGGAGAGCTGGAAAGATTTGATGCAGAGGCTGCTTGATTTTCTTCGAACGAGCAAGGAATATTCTCTTTCGAGAGCTTTTGGAAGTGTACCCAGGGATGGTAAGTAGTCTGGATGACTCTGGAAATGTTACAAGCTAACTAGCATACAGACCCCAAATTTTACGAAGCTCAAGCTGTGGTATTGAGTAATATGGGACAACATAAACAGGCATTGGAAATATACGTTTTCAAGATCCAGGATTTTGAGAAGGCAGAAGAGTATGTCATTCCCTCTTAGTATTGTCCCCATTCTAATATCTCTTCCAGATACTGCAACCATGTCCACGTCCAGTCCTCAACAGACCCCCTTGTCGCCCAATCCCGCAGGCCATCAACTTCAGGAATAGACGACGACATACCCTCAATATATCACACCCTACTAGCCCTTTATCTCACACCACCGAAACCACATACTCCCAATTGGCCACCAGCTCTCGACCTCCTCTCAAAACACGGTTCTCGTCTCCCAGCTTCCTCAACCCTAAACCTCATTCCCACCACGCTCCCTGTAGCAGAACTCGAATCCTATTTCCGCGGCCGCATCCGAGCCGCAAACTCCATTGTCAACGAAGCGCGAATCGTAGCTGGCATGCGCAAGAGCGAAGTGGTGAGCTCACAAGCTGCACTTCTTCTCGGAGACGGCGTGCCAGGCGGGAAAGGGGGTCGGAACCGGCGTGTCTTGGTGCAGGAAGAACGGGTCTGCGGTGTGTGCCATAAACGGCTAGGAGGTAGTGTTGTTGCTGTGTTGCCTGATAACGAGGTTGTGCATTATGGGTGTTTGAATAGAGTGACTGGGCGCTCAGCGGGTAGCGGGATGGAGGCGCTGCGGTCGGCGCCGAGGCGTTGATGAGTGAGTGATTTTACCGCGTAGTAGTAGAGCTGAGGCGTGGCGTGGGCAGTTGTACTGTATATACCAGCATAACATAGCATATCATAACAATATTCAACCCAACCCAATCCAATCCATCTTAATTGATTCCATTTCAATCCTCCTCAGGAACCTCCTCCCCATAATTATCCTCCTCCTTAGCCTCATCTACCCCGCCCTTTGCCTTGGATGCCATATCCACAGCGTTATCTTCCTCCATCCGCATCGTAAGCTCCTTGTTAATATCCTCCTGCATCTGCGAGGTTGCTTTGCGCAGTGCGGATAGGTAGGCGGTTTTGGCGGAGGGGTTGGAGCGGTTGGAGAGGCGTGGATGTGGGGGGAGGGGTTGCGTGAGGGTGAAGGGGGGGTTGGTGGGGGATGCGTATGTTGTTTTTAAGGTGGGTGTTGATTCGGTCATTGTGGGATGTAGTGTTGGAATAAATTGGGGGTTTGTTGGTTGTATTTGTTGGTGGGATGAATGGTTTGTTATTGTTTGCGGTGGTGGGGGTGTAAAGGATTTATTTGGAGGAGAGGAAGGATTTCAGTTTGAGGGGCTTGGCTGGATGGCTAGTCTAAAGGGTACATGGTAGGTGCGGTACAATACGTCAGGGCCTGGTTCGCAGCAGCATCTGATACAAATACACTATCAACGCCCCCCAAGAGCATACCTGACTCTAGGATGCCCTGTTTTATTGCACGCCTGTCGAGCAGTTGGCTTTGAGTATATCTTCACTTTTGCATTGCCTTGCCTTGCATTGTATTGCGCAAAACACATCAAACCCACCCCCACCCACCACTATACAGTACAGTGGACAGCAATTAGAGGGAGCTACGGAGTATGTGAAACATCAGGGTTTTATGCATACTATACCATACAGTTCACATTTATTTCACAATCACCCACAGACGATCATGTCACAATTACCACCACTACCAGCGACAGGGTATCGAGCTCCGGGGAGTTTCTCGTCTGTCGTACCTCTCTCTGTATCGACCACAACCACAAGCACGCCCAGCCAACGCCCTCCCCTCCGCAAAGTCCACCACTCGTCCTCATCATCGGAAGATTCAAACCTCCCCGCTGTCTCCGTCTCGAAACAGCGTGTACAACAGAATATAAACTTGCCCGCACCTCCACGCCCTCTATACGCCATCCCTCAAGCAAACTCCAGCACCGGCAGTCTCCAGAACTTCTCTCGCCCGACACCCCGCGGTGATCTGCCACTGCGGAATGGATCGCCGCTGACTACCACTGCACCCAAGTTCCCTTTATCCAGCGACCACCGTGGCGGACACAGGAGGAACAATTCGCACACTCAAGGCTCTTTCGAACCCTACCTACCCACAGCTGCAACTTCAAATCTGGGCAGTATGGCGAACTTGAATACGGGATTAAGCGCGAGCCAGATTGCTGCGCAGGCGGCGATGCAGCATCAGTCGCATAATAGGCAGAGGTCACAGACTGTGCCGTCGAATGTTGAGACGGCGTCGCATAGTTCTGGGAACAGACGGCCGAGCAACGGCCCTACGAGTCCCCCATTACTGAGTCTCACAGAAGCTTCTGTACCAAGGGAGAGCAATTTAGGGGGGCAGGTGTATCGCAATGGGTTATTGGCAGGAGGGAACCAGAGCGCAGCGCAAGCCGCAGCAAACGTCGTATTTCCAAAGTCACCGAGCCCCTCACCCGGGCACACCCCAGAATTCGAGCAGCAAAGAATGCAACCGGAAAAACCCATAAAGACGGAGAAGAGCAAAGTCAAATTATTTTCTCGGCCAGGGAAGATAAACGTTAGTAAGGATAGAGAGGCGCGCGTGGGAGCCCTGCCGAGTCCAAGCAAGATGGCCCAATATACCATGGCGTCGCTCCAGCGCAATAATCCCAGTACCAACAGTTTGGCAGATAGCATGTCAATGTCCAGCGCCGCGAGCATGTATAGCCTGGCGAATTCCTCCTCAGCCACCATCCGCGCGTTGATTCGAGTCAGGGTAGTGAAAAGGAATCTTCAAAAGACAAGGAGAAACATAAACATCATTTTCTCTCGAGGCAGAAGCATAAGTTGAGTAGTAAGGATGATCACCATTTACCTCTGTCTTCGGCGGCCAGCAATTCGAGACCAGCGGATCCAAGTGCCCCGAGTAGTTTATATAATTTCAATCTACCACCGAGCCCTGGACCAACGAGTACGAGTTTTGCGAAGAGTATGAGTGGGTTGGATTTGAGGCATGGTGGAAGAGCTTTAAGGGAGAAGAAAAAGGAGGAGAAATCCGATGCGTTAAGAGAGAGCGAGTTATCGTATCAGAACAGTGAATGGCCCGCTCCGTCAAGTATGGGTTCAGCTGGCGCTACTCCTTTCAGCGCTGCTAGTTATCCCAGTAGCATCTACGGCGGCGAAGCTGCAGAGTTGAAAACTTATGGTCTCAACAATATGGGACCCGATGATGCGTGGCCATTTTTGAAAGCTAAGCTTTTAATTATATTTGAGGGAGAAGATCTAAGGTTGCCGGTGGAGGATTTTAATCGTCTTGTCACGTAAGTTGAGATTCTAGGGTTGAATATATGGTACTAACAGTTTAGAATTCATCTTCAGAGGTGTATACAAAAACGAGCGCCGATTGTAATTATTGAGGATCTACGAGATTTACTGGCTACGGGATTCAGCTCACTGGATCAAACCCTAAAAAGGACGCCTGATGAACGCCTCATACCACATTTAGTTGAAATGTGGCTCTTCACATTTACATCCGTTTTGCCATACATGCAAGCAGTGTTTCTACCCCTCGATCTTGAATTCAGCGGCCACGGCCCCTTCATGTCACCCGAAACAGCGCGAGATTTCTGGGGCGCTCTCCCATCCTCCTCAAACGGTAACATTCCCGCCTCGCAAGCCCTAGAAGTACGGCGCATAGTCCTAACCGCCTACCGCGATACCGTTATCCTTCCCCGCTTCGACACGCTCAAAACCATATTCTCCCGCCTCTCCCTCGACTCCATCTCCCTCGCCATACCCCCCACAGACATCCTCTCCACATCCCCCGACTCCTTCTCTGGCGGCCGCCCCTCGACAGCCATGTCCCTCGATCCATCCCACGCTTCTTACGGCTCCCAAACCACCACGCTCCTCGGCGGCGGCTCCTCCGGCGATGGCAGCGGAAACCGCAGTCGTGCCATCTCAAACGTATCATATAACAGCGAACCCTCATCTGGTATGGGCATCCCCCCGCCTCAACGCCCATTCACACCTTCGTCCACGCACCCGCTCAACCGCGGGCAGCGCGAGCAGAAGGTCGAGGATAGCAGCAAGCAGCTTACGGAGACGGTGGGCCGCATGCTACAGTGCATGAGCGTGCTTGCTAGTGTGGGGGTTGGCGGAGGTGGTAATGAGAGTAGTCAGCGGAAAATGGAGGAGTTGACCAGGGGCTTGAAGTTGAATTGGCTTGGGAGGGGACGGATGGGACGGGATAGGAGGGGCTTGGTAGGGGCGAGGGTCACGTTGGGTGGTGGTGGGCTGAAAGAGGGTATCGTAGCTTGATCATTGAGCGCCTTGGTTGGAGTCATCTTTTTTTTTTTCTTTCAACATTACATTACATGGCGTTTGGATCTAGCAAAGCAAGGCGGTGTGGTTATGAAACAGGCAGGCTAGCGGGTTGAATGATTGGCGTACACCTATGACTGGATATTTGGGGTTGGGTCGGGTCTGGATGAGCTGAGCTATATGTGTATGATTTGGCTGCACGGATGGATGGATGGATGGATGGATGGATGGATGGATGGATGGATGGATGGATGGATGGATATGTAACAATAACAAATTCAAAACGACTTTACGATCGAGGAGGTCCCTCATATCTTTCCTCTTGCTTAATGGTTGTCTTGTTTCACTTCATTCCTCCTTTACACTCGTACCGTACTATACGGGCCTATGTTCGCCAAGGCCAATAAATACCTATGTAGGCAGTGAAGTTTCACCGCAAAGAGTATTGAGAAGAGAATGGAATGTAAAGTTCAAGCCAGCTTCCCAAAAGTCTATCTACGACTTTATGTTCTCTATATTATTAGTGCTATCATAGGGAGGCACGACCCCATACTTGCATGAAGGAATCTGCAAGTCATATAATGTGATGGTGTGACCTCCCTTATTTACCCAGCCATTCATACATTCTGGATACACATTCATCCGGACCTTCAACCGACAAACACTGACCTTCGACCTCCGCTTTAAGGTGGGGTAATGTTTCCTTTCTTTCATCCCAAACTCTATATTCATATAGACCAAGACCGTTTAAGCAGAATCTCCAACGCACTTGCCCATATCAGAACCAAGGCTAAAAGGGCCAGAAGTATTAGAAGATCTCGATGGCAGTATTAGGAGTACTACCACAGGAGAGCGCAAGCCACTGGATCCTCTCCCTTCTGGCGATTGTGATATTCTATGTACGCGCCATCTAAGCTTTTGTTGCATACCTACCTGATGGTCTTTAACTGACTTGGCTTGAAAGTTCGTCGGTTCGGCAATCTATAGTCTCCACTTCAGCCCTCTCGCAAAGTATCCAGGTCCTTTCTTTGCGAAGATATCGGCTTTTCCGTCTTTCTACTATGCTCTGAAAGGGACGCGTCACATCTGGATATGGCAATGCCACCAAATCTATGGTCCGTATTCCAATTCCTCTTCCAAGTTTTGAGGTGAGGTTTGACCGAGCTGATTATGGTTCCTCTAGGTGATGTTTTTCGCTTCCACCCCAATGGACTCATCATAAACTCACCATCTGGACACAACAGCATATATGGCACCAGGTCTAACGTCAAGAAGGGAAAATTCTACGACGTTATCCCCCACAACAAGGAGGCGAGAAGCACGCTCAATACTATCGACAAAGCTGCCCATGCTAAGAAGCGAAAAGTCCTTAATGCTGTTTTCTCCGACAGTGCAGTTCGCTCTGCCGAGACGTTTGTCATCAAACATGTCGACCGCTGGTGTGACTTGCTGCTTGACAAAGTGAAAGTCGGCGAATAGACAGAGCCCAAGAACGCAGCTCACTTGACCGACTTCCTAGTATTTGACATACTAGGTGACTTGGCTTTCGGAAGATCTTTTGAAAGCAAAGAGCCCGGACCCAACACCTTGAAAGCGATTCCACACAGCATTGCCTCTTATGCTATGTTCATGTACCCGGTACGCCGCCCCAACTGCATTCATTACCCATGATCATTTAGAATATACCGGTGCTAATTCTGATTAAGATAACGAAGTCGCCAATTGTAAACTTCTGGGTGTGGATGAAACCCAGAGGCCTAGACAGTCTTCTCGAACGTATGAAGACACCCGAAACCAGGAGATTCGCAGACTTTGTACAAGCAAGTGTCGCAGAGCGAACCGAGCAAGAACAAAGGTTTCAGAAGGAAAGAATCCAAGGACAAGAACCCCGGAAAGATATGTTTCACTATCTCTTCCAAGCTCGAGACCCTGAGACTGGTGGGCCGGCTTATACGCCCATGCAATTATTTTCCGAAGCCACACTCCTTATAATCGCCGGTACTGATACGACGTCTACTGCAATGTGTACCATCTTCTTCTATCTTGCGCATAATCCCCGCGTCTACAAGAAACTCACACGTGAAGTGCGGGAGGAATTTGGTGATGCAGATGAGATCGTAGGCGGGCCTAAGCTTGCATCGTGCCAGTATCTTCGCGCATGTATCGATGAGTCCCTACGCGTCGCTTCTCCAGTCCTGCCCGAGCTGTCCCGCGAAGTACTTCCCGGGGGTCTTAACCTCGACGGCACGTTCATCCCAGCAGGCGTGCAAGTCGGGACGAGCGGCTGGTCACTAATGCATCATGATGAGATCTTTGGAGACCCGTGGGTCTACCGTCCCGAGCGCTGGATTGTGGATGCGGAGAGCGGGGTTACAGCTGAGGATGTCTCGAGAGCCCAGACGGCGTTTCATCCATTCTCTATTGGCGCTGGGAATTGTGTGGGTCGGAACCTGGCGATGCAGGAGTTGCTCGTTACTGTTGGGAGGCTTTTGTATCGTATGGATGTCAGGATTCCTGCGGGTGATTCTGTAGGTGCTGGGTCGGAGGAGCTTGGATGGGGGAGGAGGAGTAAACGGAATTTTCAGCTTAGGGATGCGTATGTTGCTGTGAAGGATGGCCCGATGTTGCAGTTTAAACGGAGGGATATTTAATGTGCAAAGGATGCAGAGCTTGCATTACGATTTCTATGGAAGACAGTAATACCCTTTCACTCGAACTTTTGCAGGAGAACAGATGCATACATATGTAAAGCTTCCTCTATATATTCAAAACTATCAAGCAACGACACTGTTCAACATTCACACCACACCACACAACACCCCCAATCCCTGAACCAAATACCCACCTACAAAGCATCAATCCAAGCCGCTGCAACCTCCGGCTCCAACCTCTTCGTATAATCAGCCTCCACATGCACATTCCTCACCACCCCATCCTTGCCCACCAACAGCACAGTCGGAACAGGCACCACAAACGAATCATCCCCATTCCTCCCCTTCAAATCATGTCCAAAGTCGTCAAAAATAGCCCTCAGCTCATCCGGCTGCTCAAACACAATACCCAGCTGCCTCGCAAGCCTGTTCCCCACATCGCTCAGCACGGGGAACTGCAGCTCGTTCTTCTCGACCGTCGACAGCGACGTGTCCGGCAGCTCGGGCGAGATGGCCACCAGCGTGCAGTCTTTGGCCTGGAGGGCCGGGAGGTGTTTTTGGAGGGCCCGCAGCGCCAGGTTGCAGTATGGACACCAGGATCCGCGGTAGAAGCTGATGAGCAGGGGCCCTTTGGATAGGAGAGTGCTGCTAGAGATGGCGGTTCCTGAGGCGTCGGTCAGGGTGAAGGGGGGGAGGGTGGAGCCGGGTCGGATGGCTTTGGAGGGGTCGAAGGTCGAGACGAAGTCGGATTTGGCTTTGATGATTGGGCCGGTGACTGAGGCGGGGGCATTTTTGAAGTTGGCAGTCACGGCGTCGAGTTGGGCTGCGAGAGACATGGTTGCTGGGTTGTTTTGGGTGGTTATTTAAATGCGAGATTGAAGGTTGGAGGTGAGGTTGTTAAGCTATATAGGCTGGGAGTAGAGGATGAGATGACTGAGTTGGATATGTAACTTGAGATAGTAACAGAGATGGATAGGAGGCAAGGAATCTCACTTCAGGTTTGCTGATATCATATCCTGTGAAGACATCTTGGCTACTTATATGAATTATCACAGGAACTGCTTTGGAATCATTTCTTCCCTAACCCAGGTGAGATCGTCGGACTCTGAAAAGGGGTTGAGGTTCAGTAACGGGATCTAAGGGATGTAGGGATGTAGGGATGTACCCGTACGGCAGGAGCGTGTTGGATTTTCAAGTCGCTTGAACTGGAGCGGATTCGTCCGAACTCGTCCGAGGGAATGCAATGCAAAGAGATGAGTCATGATGGTTTTTCCCCTGTCTGATTCTTGTCAAAGGAACAGTACAACGTGCTGAGTGAAGCTATAATTTCTAGATAGGGAATATTAGAGGGGGAGTGGTCGGGGAGCATTGCACGCAATAGCCTATCTATTCTATTCTCGCTTATAAAGCTGCTCGCTAATGTTTCTCCTGAGTTTGATTGGAGCTTTCAACAAACAGCACTCCTGTGTGGAAAAGAGTAAGCATTGTGTTGCAGGTTTTATTGGTAATAAGCTTGATTTATAAGAAAACGGGCTTGTTAGAAATAAGCTAGCTGACTTTCCTTGTGTTTGAGTCAAGTGCCCCTGTCGCTTACAGAAGTAGCCATTCAGGGGCGCTCGTCTAAGTGGGATGATGGATCTCACCTCAAAACCAACGACCTCAGTTTGCGTAAAACACCTTTCCACATCGCATCACGCTATATCCGCTAACCGCCCTCAAGTGATTGATTACCCAAACGACATCTTTTGAATACAGAATGCGGTTAATAGGACTGGCTGACCTAATTAGGGTATAAAAGTTACCCGTTGCAATGCAAACGCACAAGAGTGAAACGAGCTGCGGCCGCCCGTCGAAGCGCATGAGAATAGGCACCAAGAGCTGCGCTGAATGCAGACGACGTAAAGTCCGGTGCATATTTGGTGAAAACCAACGTGTTTGCAAAGAATGCATCACTCATGATGCTCACTGTGCGCCTCAACAGCCTGGCCGACGCGCCCAAGGCTCGGATCAGAGCACGGATAATGAGGGGGCTGTTAATGTTCAGCAGAGATTGGACGAGTTGGAGGGTATGGTCAGCCATATTTGCAAAGCCATTGATCTCGATATCGAGTCTGCAAGTATGGCCGACTTTAGGACGAGCACCCGAGAAGCCCTCAAGCGCCTTCGGGACACTTCAAGCCCGGAAACGAGGGAGGAGGTTAGATCGACTAATCGGAGAACTTCGCTGAGAATATCAGAGTCGGATATCATGGAGGACTCGTCGGAGCAGAACGAGGCTTTTGAAGACGCCCCTTTGATCGCCTTGTTCAAAGATGCTATGTTTATTCAGACGAATGATACGGCGCAAGCTAATGGACGGCCCTTGGGGCGATATGTTGAACAGCGAATGAAGGCCTGCGTAGACGTTTTAACGGGACTGTTGCCTCGGAATGAAGATTTAACAGCTATCTTGAAGACTACACAAAAGTACTGGAACATCTGGCCAATACCACCAAGCGAACTGGTAACGTGCAAAGGAGGACTCCTACCAATTACAGACGTAGCTTCTGCAGAAAACTTCATCTTCGATGCATTAAAATCAGGAGTCCCCACAAGAACCACCAAAGCAGTACTATGGCTCACTCTTTGCATTCAGCAACTTTCAACAGACTTCCTACGCCAACGACCGCTCCCTACATCACAGAACAGTCTCATAGACTCCTACATGAGCGGCGCCGACACCCTCCTCTCCCTCGACGAGGAATCTGGAGGCTCAGTAGAAGGCCTAGAATGTTTAGCATTAAGAGCAAAGCTCTACATCAACATGGGCAAGCCCCGAAAAGCATGGTTGTGCGTCCGCCACGCCATGAACATCGCGATGCAACTCGGCCTCCACCGTCTCGACAAGCCCACCAGCGAGCGGCAGCAGCGAGCATGGGAGCATATATGGCAGAATGACCGCCAGCTATCGCTAATCCTAGGCTTCCCCAACGGTATCCCCGACGCGAATATCCGCACACGGCGAGAATCCGTTTCCCCGAGTCCACATACGCTGCCTGCAAAAATAGCACACGACCTCGCCATAGCAGCCGGCCATATCAGCGACCGCAACCAGAGCCATGTGCCAGTCGTCGACTACAGCATTACGGAGCAGATTGAGCAGGAGTTGACGCAGTGCAAAGCGGCGATTCCGTCGGAATGGTGGGATGATGCCGCATGTACTCCCAACCTGCCCTTCCATGAATTCTACACCCGCCAAGTAGTCAAAGCGACCTACTACCAACTCCTCAAGTTCCTGCACCTGCCATACATGCTCAAGACCCCCTCCTCTCTAAATCCGGATTTGAATCAGGACCCGGATCCGCGGTACGAGCAAGGCCGCCTCTCCGTACTCTCAGCGAGCCGCGAAATAGTGCGAGCGTACCACCGACTCCGCACGCTGACCAGCCCCGACGTAATCATGTGCGACCTCCTCGACTTCCAAGTCTTCGGAAGCGCAGCCGTCATAGTGCTAGACCTACTACTACACGTGCCCTCGCCGTCGTCGCCCTCGTGCATCTACCAAGAGGGGCAGGACTGGGGGCTGGTTGGGGCCGTCACGCGTAGTCTCCGGGACAAGACGTCGCTGATGGAATGCACGGTTGCGGGACAGGCGGCCCAGCTGCTCGAGTATCTATCGACGGCGCACCGTGGCACGTATGCCGGTCCTGAGGGCTACGAGGCTGTGATTCCGTATTTTGGGAAAGTTACTATTGGGAAGATGAAGATGAATATGAATCTTGACATTGGTGTTGAAATTGCAAATCCGAATTCGATTCCCTACCCACTGATTCCTTCAAGCATCAGCAGCGGCGGCAGTGATCTTCAAACAACCCTCGACGTCGAAAACATCCCACAGCAACCGCAGTTTTCAAACATGGTGGAGTTTAGCGCGAACACGTATATGCCTTTTGGTCAGGAGACAATGGCGGGGTGCTTTTACCCCGATACGGAATTAGGCGTTGATTGGACTTCTGTTTTCGACGTGGATAGGAGTTATGACTGGAACGAAGCGTCAGATGCTTTTGGATATTCCGTATAGGTAGGAGGTGTTAGTTAGCTAGCTATTCCTTGTACATAGGTATTTATAGATACGAGTAGTTGAAACAGAAACATCACTCACGCCTCTCAAATTTTGCTTAATGATGATAATTTTGTAACTACCCGAGGTAGATTATAGATATACAGCATAGTACTACAGTTGTGCTAAATGCTTACCTAGATCGGTACTACTCCTTACTTAGTCTTTCCTTTCCCGCATGTCTCCATTCAGTCACATACAGCGTTTTCGTTTCGTATAGTACACGTGACATCCACCCTCCAAAGGGCTGCTTACCTTGGGTAGCTTTTCAGAAGGATTTTAGATTCTAGACTATTGGTTGGGAAATGGGAAGTAAGATGAGGACAACAACAAAGTAATGAAGAGTAAAATTCTTTAGCAAGGGGAAGTCTTGGGCGGCATATAAAGAAGGGTTGAAAGGGTGGGCGAGGAGTGGGGGTTCGTATAGAATCGTATTTTATGCCTGGGGTTTAGTAGGAGGGAGAATAGAATAGGGAACTTCGCTGTCCAGGTCCGAGCAAAAACATAAATATGCAGAAAGGGAGTGGTATTGAACTATGGGCTTTTCGCTACTGATCTGCCGCTGTTGCCAAATTCGTTATTGACTTTTCATTACTCCGTATTAGTGTCTGTTGTATTCTCTTCCCGGCTGCATATAAAGCAGCTCCGCTCATCCAAACCAACGCCAATGATGAGCGTACTCAACATTTCCACTATCCACTAAACTCCATGCAAAATCCAATTACTCAAAAAATAACCATCCGTACCAGATTTTTTCTCAAGCCGCTGGCGCCGCTCCACCTTCCCCATTACCATCCTTATCCGCCGTACTACCGCGTCTCATCGTCATGATCTTGTGTTTAAACTTCTTGAATGGGCCAGCGGTATGCGTCTTTTCCTCTTTCTTATCCCCTTCATTCTCATTCTCTTTCGCTGGCTGCTTCGGCGTGGTTTGCCGCTTGCCGGAACTGAATAGGTCGGCGACGCTCATACGTCTTCGTCGGGTTCCCGGGGATTCGGGCACGCTCTTAGGGGGCCACTCTCCGTCCCGCTTCCAGCCTTGGACACAGCTTCGAGTGACATCTTTTAGGTTCATAGGGCAGCTGGGTGTAAGCGATTGAAGTATGACTTTGTCATAAATGGTATTGTAGGCGTCGGGCGTGATGCTCTTGCGCATGTCGTTCGTAGGTGGTAGTATTGGTGGAGCGATGGGGATTTCCGTATCGTCGTCCTCGTAATCATCATCGGTTTCTTCAAGATCCACTGCTGTCGAACTGCCGTCACCACTAGATTGAGACTGTCGTTTCGGGACCGGTAGGGTATGGGTTATGGCAGGAACATGTCGAGCTCCAGTCCATGCATCTCGTCGCTCGGTGAAGCATCGCATGCCATCGTTCGCCTCCATTTCCTCTCTAAGGCGCTTCTTGCGTCTGCGCTTGCGCTCTTGCCCCATTTTCCGGATCGAGTCTCCTACATCATCTGGGTTGTCGAAGCGGAAGGGGCTTTTTGGACTTCCTGGGGATTTGGGACTCTTGGGAGATTTGGAAGACTTGAGACCTGGCATGGTAGCTTCTGGCTCGCTGTCGCTCCCACCGCTGAGCCACTCGTCCCTCTCCCTCCATTCTAGTCCAACTGGGTTCTCGAGCTCTGAGTGATGTAATTCTGATTCTGTTGTGCTATTCTGCGCAGAGATTGGTGGCGGCCACTCCCATTCCCAGTCCTCCTTGACTACCTCTCCCAAGTATTTCCTTATTGCCTCCTTCTGCTTCGCTCGGTCTTCACTGGCTAGATCCGCCTCGTAGATTGTAATCGCGCTTGTATTTGCCATGGCCCTGCGACGATATGCGACACTCCCGGGCCCAGAATTGCCACCGAAATGCATCTTGCCCTCATGCGAAATATTCTTCGCGGCTGTCGTTCTGCCGCTCACTTTGCGGCGGGAGGGTATTGTTTGGGAGGTAGTGGAAGGTATGGGCTGAGGATGATCTTGAGCAGGAATCGAATATTCTTTTAAGGATGTTGTCGAGACGTTTGGGGGTGAAGCGTCACGAGAGGTACGTGGTACGATGGATTCCCCTTGTGGAGGTGGTGCTATAGCAAGCTTCATCAGCTGTGGTGGTCTAAACAAGCTCGAAAGGTTGGAACTACGAAATGTGAAGTTCCCGCAGATAGCACAAGCACAGCGTAGATCTCGTACCTTGACCGTGATTATAACTACTATGTTCCACCACTGCGGCGTCGTCCAAAAGGTCTGATTTAGTTGCCGTCAATGTCGCACGAACCCCGCGATCGTCGTCGGATGCAGCATTTCGAGATATGATATTAGCAGACAGTGTTGAAGAATCGCTGCGCTGTTGCCGTTGCTGTTGATGTTGCAGCGCATGATGTTCCTCCGGCAATGCCAAATTGAGAGCAGGTGCGTCCAGGGCCGGCTGCCCTTCACCGTTACTCATCACTGACATTGGCTCCGCATCTTGCGGGTGGCCTGCTTGGGCGTTCTGCATCAGTTCATGGCATGATCCTCTACTTGCTGTGCCGATTGGAGAGCCGCCTGCGTTGCCGGGTTTGGCAGCGGGAAGAGCTTGAGGCATGTCGCATGATCATGGAGGTTCAATATTGCGGGCGTGACATGGGGGTAGGGATTTGATTTGATTTAATTTATATACTCGAGTAAAAGGGGGGTTGTTGCCGGTTTTGTTATCAAAAATGAGTTTGACTTTCTGCACCCACCCACCATGATCCGATTTACGATTTAGTAGTGGGGTGGGGAAGCTGCGGCTACTTACCCGTTAAAGCTTAACAAAGAGCTTGACTCGCTGTCAGCACTCTGGTTATAACAATCAATATAAGTCTTTTCCTCAACTGCATGCATTTACCCTTCAACTAGCTTGCTTTTGTCTTACTCGAATACTCAGCACTATTCCAGAACGCTGTGCTGTTCTCTACGAGTATTGATGCATCGCTGCTGTGGAAGTTATTCTCTCTTCGGCAAAGTATCTCCCCACGTGCTACTCGTATGCTCGCGTGACAAGCTCTTTCCTTTTATTCGTACACAAAACTCAAATCACAAAAGCTTCTTTACTTCATGTTGGTATCACAAGGTGTGCACAGGTGCTGGCCTAGATGTCGGTTCGTGGTTGCATTTCTAGGTGTAGAAGAGGTTCTAGCTGAGGTTGCAACGATGAGGTAAAAAGCTTCATCACTGCTTAGTCATCGGATTAATGGTCACGTGATGCACGTGACATATATCCCAACACATTTGAGGAAGAAAACAAGGAGGACAAACCAGCTAACGAGAATCTATGCGATGATTGTAAAAGGAAAAGGGGAAGATCGGCAATTAAGAAACCAAAGTCGTAAGTTTATACATTCTCGTTATCTGGCAGAACTTAATCTGAAGTAGGAATATATCAGCTCTGCGCAAGCAATCTTGAAACTACCTTCTTTAGGGAGTAGGAATGATGGATACATATTGGTGGAAGATAGGTGGTAGTTTCTCACTGCTCACTATATTATCTTTGAGTGAAAGGCGGAGAGAAGAGATCTTTGTACCAACACGCACCAATTGAGTTGACCTCGCTTACCGCCCCCTTAAGTCGAGTCACATTGTTTTATTTACTTCAATTTCAACGCAATGTCAATTTTGAATTGTTTCGCATTCACACATTTTCGATCTATACCGCAACCTCGTGTATTTCACACTTATTGTGAAAGTGAAAGTCTATCTTCCTCACAAGCCCGTCTTCGCAACAATGCCTCCCAAAGACACAGCAGTGCAGACCAGAAAGCGCGAGCTCATTGATCTGGTTGGAGATGTCGAGACACCCGATCAAATAATCAAAGCCTCCCATTGGCTCGACCATATTCAATGTGATGACGCGAGTGAGGTGAAAGACAAGGCATGGATGTCGCACATCAACCAGAGCAAGAAGCGGTTCTTTCGAATCTGGGATGAGCTTTCATTCTACCGAATCATTGGTGAACCGACCGCTTTCATCGTTCCTGGATGGGATCCTACCGACAGAGGTTTTGATGAGCTATGTCTCCTAGGAGAACGGTGGGTATTCTTGGCTGCAGAGGGTGCGCTGTGGCGCTTGGAATCTCATGAATGGTGCCAGAAGGTGAAGCAGAGTGGTGGTTCTCTCGCCGAGCGATTGAAGGCTTATTTGGAGGCATATCGGGAGACCGAAGGTTTTGGTGAATGGACGGAGTATCACATCAACAATGCTAGGTTCCGTGTCGTCAGAGTCTATGAAGAGTTTTTCCGGGCAAAGGGAAGACCAGTGTTTAATCCAGGTATGCACCTACCTAAAACTCAGATCAATATTCCATTCACTTACAATGATTTAGGGCCCCAAGAGGACCGACTATCTATATCAGCTCAGGTACCTAACGAGAATGTGCTACAAACAGTGGTAGATTCTCCTACCTGGACTTTAGAGGCTTTCAATGCCGAATTGGAATGTATGACTGCCCTCTTTGGAAAGATCACTACCGATGAACAGATTGCAATAGCTTCCAAATACGCAGATCCGGTAGCCAAAGGCCACAGAGGCAACCTCCAAAAAGCCGTTTTCGAAAAATACACACGAGATAACTGTGACTTCAAAAGAGTTCACGCGGAAATGGATATTTACAAGTTGACAGCTGGCAAATGCTCCACTTTCTTTAACATGGGTGAGGTAGATGTTCTTACTATAGAAGAACTCAGCTATACCGTCCGCGACTGGATCGCTCTGGAAGCTGGAGGATTGACGAGGCTGCTGGTGGACGATATGAACACCGATTCCGCACCGGCCCGGCTGAAGGCCTACATGGAGATCTACAAGAGCCAGAAGGGATTCGACAACTGGAACGACTACCACCTCAACTATATGCGGTACAGCATTTGCCAAGCTATGGTCTATTCATCCAGGGAAAATCGCGAGGTCGGAGGTCAGAGGGAGCCCGAAATATCTAGTAAGCTTTGACACAGTTATTGACCATTTACCATCTCTCACATCCCACAGAACAATATTCTTCAAAGCGATCTCGAGATACCACCCCCACGACCCCAAGCCCATCAAAGAAGTTCAGAGAAGCATACACCCCAACCTCAATGCTCTCCCACCTGAACCTCAACGACAACACGCCCCATACCCGCAAATCCCAGCGACAGGTACGTATAAAAACGCCCATCCGCTTCGGTGATCCCCTCTCCGCCATCGACCAAACACCACTCCCACTCCCACCACCCACACCCAACGATAAAAGCTCCATCGCCACCTGCCGCACTCGCATCAACGACCTCCTGCGCAAACACAAAGAATCTGAAAAATCTGTCACCACCGCGCAGAGAGTGCTCGACGCCGCCCGCACCCGCGCCGACACAGCCAGACAGCTGCTCTTTAGCCACACCAACGAAGTGACTGCCATTTCCAAGGAATTCGTGGATGGGAACCAGGCGCAGAATTTGGGATACGAGCGTATTGCGGGGTTCTTGGATCGGACGAGCCAGTTGCAGAAGGAGATCGAGCAGTTGAAGGAGGTGCTTGGGAGGGAGAGGGTGGCGAAGGAGGGACGGGATGAGGTTAGGGAGAAGCATAGGGTGTGGGAGAGGAAGATGGAGGCGTTGGAGTTGGTGCTTGATGATCCGGATGCGGGGGAGTGAGATTTATTGCTTGACACCGATACTTGTTGTGGCGATCCTAGCTTGTTGATGATGATTTGAATGTCCTGGATATGTGGCACTTTGCTCTGCATAGATGGATATATTATAATTGCTGCCTGTTACGCGGCTAATATAAATATATTCAATACCAAATTAGTTTACATCATGCCATTTAGTATATATTACTATGCACTCATCCACACACCTTCCCCCCCACAAACACTACACCATTACTCGCATCACATATCAGGATAACACCCATACCTCTCATCCGTCGCCTCCCACCCAATACACCCAAAGCACGTCAGCAGATTCCCCGGATCAAGCTCCTTCTTAATACTGAGCAGCCTCTCATACTTCGCCTCGCCCCAAAACGTACCCACCGGATCCTTCTCAAACGTATCCGCCTCGTTCAAGTACGCGCCGCCGTCCGGAATCAGGGCCCGCAGTACGTCCGTCGTGTCCGTCGCGATCTGGAACGCCGTCTTGATGTCGGCCGCGCTCGCGCTGTTGGAGAACGGCACGTTCAACACCATGTGCCAGACGGCCTCGCGCCACGCTGGATGCACGGCCGAGGTGTCGTTGGCAGCCGTCGTCGGGTAGTTGCTCGGTGTTGTGACGAGGATCTGGAATGGCACGCCGTATGATAATAGCAGGGTATCGTTGCTGCGCGTGGGATACGTAACCATATTCTGCACCTCCAGCAACGCGTCCAGCAGTGCGGTTTGGTTCGCTGGCGTTGCGAACTGCGATTCGGGAATCAGACGGCTGCCCAGCGCGGTTCCCAGACCTAGCTTCTCGCCGCCGGGCTCTAGGTATACTTTGTACATTTCGTTGTAGCCTTCGACTTCGTCGATACCGTAGCTGTAGACGGTATTCCCGCTCGTGTAAGCTAAGTCGAAGAGCGGCGTCATGGCGGCGACGGCTTGGGCGTTGGTGAGGAGGGGTGTCATGAGGATGAGACTGTGGTATTGTTTGGAATATGCGCCGGGTGAGAGGTAGCCGCCCCAGCCTTCTGCAGCCCATTGGGTAGCGCTTTGAATCATTAGGGACAAGAGATCTGCGCTGGAGTTTGGGTCGGGAGAGTAGTAGCTGATATACGCAATCTGAGCGGGAAACCGTTAGCAAGCATGACTTTTGAAAACATGAGAGAACCTCGTACCTGAAGTGTTATCTTGGGATGCGCACGTGTTGTCATCTCAAAGTTGACACCGAACGTACTTCCACCACCCCCTCTGAGCGCAAACCACAGATCCTGATTCTGGCACTCGTTCGCAGTGACATAGGTTCCGTTGGGCAGAACTGTCCGGATTTGCAGGACATTGTCAACTCCCAATCCAAACACATTCGTCACAGCACTGTGTCCACCACCCGTAATCCAACCCCCAGCTGGCCCACAGATCCAGAGGCACCGCCTACAACAGTAATATTGTTATCATCAGCGAATTGGTAAAGGCCCGCAAACTGCTGTCCAGCACCCATGGTCACCCCGTCACCAACCGGCCCACTGCACCCATCAGGAATGAAGCCCTGAGTGTAAGTCATCTCGGGCTGCACGTTATGGGTCCACAATGCAAGGGAACCAGGTGCGGAACTTCGGCCCGTATAATCATGTCCAGTGTTCTTGACACTCAAAGGCACACCGGTTTCGTTGGCAAACGTGAGCCCGGCTTGGATATCCGAGACCTCCTGGACTTCGATATAGAAAGGCGACACGCTTCCTTGGTAGCACGTCTGTCCAGGAGCGTAAACCGTAGGATCAGACGGCGAGTTCCAATCGAGGGGACATCCTTCGCCTGTCCTTTGACATGTGCCCCAGTTAGTCTGTATATGTTAGTGCTGTTGAAAGAGTAATATCGAAGCCTGTAATTACATTCATGAACCCGCCGTAGTGGTCTGAAATATAGGCATTTGCTGTGTAATTCGACTGTACCGCACTGCACGCCGCGGCATCAGGTGTTGTTGCAGTACCATTGTACGAGCTGTAGCATGACTGCGCTAGAGGGACACCGGCGAACAATCGCCCACTAACTGTTTGGTTCAAGGCAGCCCATTGTGCTGCTGTAGGTGTTGCAGCTTGGGAACGAGTGACGAGAGAAAAAGCAAAGAGCAGACCGGAAAAGAGCTGACCATGGGAAATCATATTGAGAAGAGAGTTATGTATAATGCTGGCATACCAAAGAGAAGTTATACACAGAATTATCAACTTATATATACTTAGCCACCCGAGACTCAGAAAACGAGACAGTACGATTAGTGGGCTGCCACGATATTAAACTTATAGAGAGTGCGTATGCAACGCACAGGATTGAAAGCACTTGCCTAGCTCGGCATGCATATAAGTGAGCGGATAAAGGAAATCGTGCGCTCTATGCTTGAAAACGAATGCTTATATTCAGCACTTCTGCAAACTACCGGCAGTCGGCGTTTTTCGTTTGCCCAAAAGTTCCGATCGTGGAAGGCAAGCAGCTCGGGTATTATGTACAGTGCCGATCCCATAGATCTAAAAGTTTATTGTGGAAGGCAGCAAAGGAGACAGGCCAATGGTGTGTTGAAGTCTTTGACCTATTTGAGAAATTGAAGGCCCGGATAATGTAATTCTCTTCGGAAAGGAACGGGGGTTAATCCGGGATCCTGCCAAGGTAATATGTAGCCCGCTTGTGACTGGCTGATTTCTTATCTGGACATGCATCCATGCAATACGGAGAATATTGACACTAGAGGTTGATCTCATGTATTTTTGCATATGAAAGAAGTCTGCAAGGCGCGGATAGCTAAGCCCACAGAATTTGAGTCGTTGAGGAGCTGAAAGAGGTATTTTCAGGCTAATGAATTATTAACCTACTGAATCGTTACTAGACGACGTCACACCAAGGTACTTGATATGTACCAAATTGAAAACGTTTGGATTCCTTCAGTGCTTCTGATATGAATGATGATTGACATATTAAATGGTGTTTGATTGAGACAATAGAATACCAAAGACGCGTACAACCTTCCAAACATGGCAGTGACCAACCTAGAACACGCCTTGAAATATGCATAGCAGTATGTCACTGTATGTGTTTCCCGAAAACGAACAATACATGGGACCATGGCTTTTCGGGGTCCAGACTTGGCTGCATATGAAGACTACGCTGAAAAGCGTATAGTCCATCTACCACAGTGGAAGGATTTCTCATCTATTGGCTATCTTTCAATGCTACAATCCCATCAAAACTTTCAGCAGAACCGGAAAGTTTGGGGTACTACAAAAGGTCAGCATACTCCAAGCACTGGAAATCGAGAAACGCTTACCCAAGTCCTGTAACCGGATCCCAGCCCTTGGCAGCAGGGAAACCAGTCGAGCCGCATCCAGGGTTACTACCGACTGTGATATCGTTAAAAGCCTCGGGGTGTTGATACTGCAGGTCTCAAAGTCAGCATTCAGTCTAGTACTAGAGCAGTCGAGGAACTTTACGAGTACAGGATGTATGAATCCTACAGTGCTCTTGCCAGCCGCAATGCGAGCTTCGTTGGCAAGAGTCAAGACCGCACCGAACACAGGCGCAGACAACGAAGTTCCACCCACGAGCCACCATGACCCATTGTTATACACAACCTGACGATCACCCACAGCCCCTACATCAGGGTAGGCACGTCCTCCATGATGATACACACCGCCCGTAACACTGCTAAAATTTCCGTCTGTAACAAAATGATGGTATCCGTCGAAACCTAGGGTAGACTCAACCTGATCAAAGTACGCAGAAACGGCATCGCGTTGGTAGTCTGGGACACCGAAAACGTTGGAGAAGCCACCTCCGCTCGGGAAACGCTTGGTCGCAACCTCATTCAGCTTTTTACCTGGTGTTGGAGTAGTTGTATTATCGAAACTATCCCACTCCGTACTGCCGACAGAGAGGACATATGGGCACGAGGATGCGAAGTCGACTTCGAAGATCTTGCCAGAATCACCGAGACATGTAGCGCCCCCGACACCAGCATCGCCGGAAGACATAACAATAGTCGTGCCTTGCAGAGCCAGCTTCATCCATTCGTTGCATTGTCGTTTCATATAATAGTCAGGCCACCCGTACTCGCCTGCTCCGTATGATATTGAAATAACGTTTGTGGGCTTATAGACGCCGCATTGTAATTGACCTGTGTAGCCACCTGGGTTGGGGTCGGGATATGAAGGATCAAAACACTCCTCAGCGGTACAGTCACCGGTCTCACCGAATGCGCTATAGGTGCAGTAACTTCCGTCTATAGCATCAAGGAACGCTAGGACAGTTAGCACAGATTAAATGTCATGAATTACTAAATTATACTCACTGTTCCAGAAACCATTGAAGGCTCCTGTTGACTCATAATATTCATCGTCTTCTTGAAATAGCACAAGTCCCTGGGGATAGATGAGTGGCGATGAAGAGTCAAAATCCAAGGGAGCCTCTAGATCAGTGGGCACATATTCGGTTGTGTCTTCAGTTGCTCCGATAGCCCCATCAATCAGACGCTCCTCGGGATAGGTGCCGTTAGGTATATTACTTAAAAACTGTTAAAAAGAGCCCAAGTAAATAATGTGAATTTCCTTACGGGTAGAGAGTGCTGTAGAAAATGTCGAGGTCCTTCCTACTATAGTGAACGTCAAGACTCTCATAAATCCCGAGCTCGTTCCCAGGAGCAGCAGTGGTGGCATTTGGAATGCCGTACTGGACTAACGTGCACAACATTTAGATCAAGATAAATACTCGAGCACAAGGTAGGAAGAACATACCTCTCGTGCATTCAGCCGTAACATATGTATCACAGGTACTGGAATTGGGGAACGGAAACCCAGGAAGCTTTGTAATCATCGGTTGCGGTTTGTTGAAATTCGCAGCCCGTTTATTCTTGACGTTTCTGGGCCGGAGTCTGGTACCGGGAGTCACATAGTCAATGTGCTCCCGGATATGGGTAGGAAGATGATATCCTTCGCTTGAAATATCATGACTCCCAGATAGGTGATCCCAGACGTAGTACTCGGCAAAGAGTAGCTCTTCGACTTCGGCGGCTGTTGCATCGAATTGGATCCACTAAGTCCCAAGAAGTCAGCAATCATGGAATGAAATGAGATAAATATCATAGCAACTTCGAAGAGGAGAAATACCTGTTTATTTACAGATAGCGCAAAGCGGTCAGGGCTGATTCCGGATGAAACAAGCCATTCAGTGACGGCATCGGTAGTAGACTGTTGTGGAGCGAAGAAGTCAACAACTTCTTCCGCAGTCATATGATTTCCGTAATTGGAAGATCCCGGAGTCGAGCTGTACTGAGAGTTAGCAGCGTATTCTGCGTCGAAGCTCTTTTCATGCTTACAGATCCATGAGTTTGTCATGACCTTCTTCAAGGTTGGACTGCTTCAGGCCAATGCGCATAGGCAAGATCTGAGTATCGGGCACCTTGGACCTCTTCGTCCATTGCGACTCCCAGTGAGGCAAGTGACGCTCGTGAAGGCTGTGCGAAGAAGGAACTACACGCTTTGTCTTTGCTCCAGCATAATCATGGGACAGAGGACCGGCAAAGGCACCGAGCACGAGGCCACTGGCCAAACTTGCCACGAGAGTATTGAGCAACATGATGCTTGAAGAACTGAAAGGAAGTGCGGGGCATCATTGTACAAGTACTTTGCTAACATATTGTGCCTAGACATATGATCCGCATCAGCATCAGCACAGACTACGAATGAAAAGGTTGATATCCGTCTTCTCGCAGTGAGTTTCTTGACCCTCGCAAGGAACAGGAAGGAAGACAAGCTTGTTTAGGAAAGTGGGTTGGCCATCATAGCACTAGTAATCTGTACCTGCAGCAGTCAGGGATATTTGCATATAAGTAACCCTTGCACACCTGCCACATTGAGCTAAGATCGCCTTGTGAATTCAAGAGTTTCTTGGGACCTGGTGGACACTTCCCAGGTCCTATCCTCAACATGCCTGATCGTATGCTTATCTCCCAGATTTCCACGGGAGCGGGGTACCTTTGGCGTCGTGCAACCACGAAGTAGTACAGTAAATTTACTATGCGCTGTTGAGTACCCCTCATCTCCACCAACCACCAGGCGAGGGGCGAGCCGTCGTCAGATAGGCATATAATGCCGTGCTTCCGGACTGGCTCTGGCTCAAATGAAATGGCTTTCTAATGGGCCCGAGCTGTGACTGACTGAACTTGATTCGGCAACCAGCAGCCCTTTCGTGGCCGCTAGCTTGATCAAGGGTTTCTCAACTCTTCTCATCATACGGCTGTACTACTCGTAGTAGTTACGGCAGGAAGTTCTTGTTGTTGTGAAAGGGCCCATCAAGGACTGCAGGTGGCATAAGCTTTCAAGAGGTGTCAGGAGTCCTTGTGCTCGCTCCACAAGTCCTACGGGCAAGTGCAAAATCATACGCGGGTACTTCCGCAGAAGCATCGATCCGTTGTTCCATCGTACCAGGTACGAAGTATCGTTCTGGAACATATGCATTATCGATGATTCATTATATATACGGAGGATGGCGAGAAAGGTTTCTTGAGAATTGAGAGAGGAAAGGAAGACGCGGCTGCGGCCCGCGAGACCTTCATACCCCAAGGGGGAAACGCGCTTGTCAAAATAGGCTTAGCGCACTATACTTAAGCTCAAGCCGAAATCTTTATTTCAACCCCCTCCCCCTTCCTTCTCCTTCATCCTGGAGTCAGAAACTTCAGAACTGAATCTGAAAACCAATGCTTTGGACTTGTTCCTGGTTATACCTTCGAAGCCTGTGATTTGACTGCAATGTGCCACGTGACCACGCGGGGAAATCTTATCACTATCTTCCTTCCTTTTTCACTCAAGCCTGAGAGTTCCTGCATGTGACTGCAGTACGCGTGCGCGCGTCGCGTGTGTTCTTCTGTACACTCTACAGGGGCGATCATCTCAAGCGAGAAAGCAGGTGGTGTCTTTCGATCAAAAATGACTTTCGGAAGCACGAAAGAGGGGTTGCGCAAGGTACATTGCCACTTTGGTCCAGGGTCTATGTGTAGCCCTGAAAGTACCGAAAGTCTAATCTTCGCAATCAAGTGATTGCTGTGTGATTAGGATAGTAAGAAACCCTCCATCTCATATAAATATGCCAAGACTTTCTTTCACAAACCCCCATTTGTGTTTCTACCCACTCTTCAAACGACTTTGAGAACTATTGCAATTATGATTACAAAGTCTCTCTTCCGTTTCCTATCCTTGTTGTCACTTCTTTCAGTGCAAGCCTTCGCAACGCGGCCAACTATCGTTCCAGTAGGCGAAGGGGAAACCAATACAACTCTCAGTAGCACTCAGAGCACACTTATTACTACAGCACCAGTTACCATCGCAAGCACTTCGATATCGTTGTCGTTATCAGGGTATTTGAATGGAACTAACGCGACGACATCATCCACCTCCGCCACTCCCACAAGCAATGCGACTTTGCCGGCATGCAAATCGATACAGTATGCATTCCCGTCAGGCACAGGAGGCAACGCGACCCGTGCCGGTGCTGTTAAGAATGCATACCGATATGCCTGGAATGCCTATGTCGAGTATGCCTCGGGCTACGATGAGCTGCAACCACTATCGAAAAAAGGAACCAATGACTGGTATGGCTGGGGTGTCACAATCGTAGATGGAATCGACACGGCCATCATCATGGAGCTGACGGATGTCGTCTCCAAGATGCTTGAATGGATCCAATCCATTGACTTCACTACAACTCCAGACGGCAATGTTGAAGTCTTCGACACTACTATCCGCTACCTGGGCGGCCTGCTGTCAGCTTACGACCTTCTTAAGAGTGGGCAAGTTTATAACGATTACCCCGCGGATCAGATCGAGGCTCTCCTAACGCAAGCGAAGATCTTGGCGGACAAACTTGCATATGCTTTTTTGACGCCCAGTGGTATGTCAGCTGTCAACGTTGACTTTAGCACCAACACCCCCGTGGAAGGTAGCTATACAGCCCCCGATGGCAAAACCTATAATTCGACCAACACGGCCTCTGCCGGCTCGTTTCTGATCGAATGGTACCGCCTGGCCGCGCTGACGGGTAACACAACGTATCGCTCGCTTGTTGACACTGGAGAACAATACCTCACCCATCCTTCTCCCGCGCCCGTATACCCCGGTCTAGTCGGCACCCAATTCGATACCACCGGAGGCGGGATGCTTAACTTTGCCGGCGGCTGGCACTCCGAGGTGGACTCATTCCTCGAGTATCTGATCAAGATATACCACTATAAGGCTGACAATATTACCCAAGGGTACGCCGATTTCTGGCTCAGCGCCACCAATAGTACCGTCGAACATATTGCGTTGCATCCCTATGGGTTTGAAGACCTGACGTTCATTAGTGGGTTGGACGACAACGGCACGTTGACTTATACGATGGACGACTATGCCTGTTTCGCCGGTGGTAACTTCTTGCTGGGGTGCAAAGTCTTGGGCATAGACTCTCTCTGCGACCTGGGCATCGCCGCCGCCGATGGATGCCACCAAACGTACAACACAACTGTTACAGGGCTCGGCCCACTATACTGGGGTTGGTTCGATAGCACGAGCAATACTTTCCCGCCTGACGCAGCGGTCGACATCGATAGCGGTTACCGGCGGCAAGGAACCGCAAACGGCGAGTTCATCGTCAGTGGAGACGAGGTATATGCGTCATTCCCGGAATCAGTGGAGAGTTGGTGGTACGCCTACCGTATTACCGGAGATCCCCGATGGGCTGAATATGCGTGGGACATGTTCCTCTCCATCAACGAGACGGCGCGGAACAGCGTGGCGTTCGCAACCGTCAACAACGTCGACATGCCTTTTGGCGGAAGTCAGAGTGACAGTCTTGATAGCTTCTTTTTCGCCGAGGTGCTGAAGTATCAGTATCTGACGTTTGCGGACCCTAGCACCATTGATCTGGGGCAATGGGTCTTCAATACCGAGTCTCATCCGGTACGCGTACAGTGCACTCCTTAGGGTCTGATAGCAGGATAATCAATCACCAATAAACATGAGTCTTGAAAATCCTTGTTCCTACTGAAACCCATCATGTGTCCCTGACCGTCTCTGGAATTTCGTTCTGCGGCGTAGATGCGACTTTGTTAATCATAGAATGGGTACAGTATCGAGAAAAGGACTCCATGGGCTTGACGTTTGAATTAAATTAACCCTATGATGTATCTTAGACCTCGCTACATGCGCCCGAGATGGGATGACAATCGGACTTGTAGTATCTCTTCCGAATTTTCAATTAGAAAGACAAAGCAAAGGGGGCTTTAGCGAGACTAACCACGTGACATTCAGAAGCTCTATGGAATGTCCCCTGGAAGCAGGCGCTGTGATAAGCTACTCGGTCGTTTAAATCTTAGAGTCTACTTCTCACCTCGCCTTGATCCGTCCAAATCATTGGATCCAATAACAAAAATCGATGTGTTATAAGGGCAATACTGGATAAGGCACCCAGATTGATTTTAACTATGCTATTCACAGTCTTCTCGACTGTCCAACACAGTAGGATCCAGGAACCTTAATAGATTAAGTGCACACTTATTTAATACGTGATGCTAAGAACCTAATCATTTGCTAGTGAAGTCCACCGGAACTACAACCGTTGATTTTTATAGCAGCGGTATAGTAGGAAAGAAATTTTGCTGGAGGTAGTAGGTTTCAGATAAAAGACAGCCATAGGGAAGATTCTGGTTTTCTTTATAGCTCATCAAAGATGTCTTGAAATCCTAGGTCAATCTATACCGCGCACTACTGGACATCAAACAAATAAAACCACCATCAACCTCCTCTTTCATCAATATTCACTATATCCGGAAGAAGTCACTGCCGGAAGGAATTAGTGGTTGGGTGGACGGGTTTTGTAGATAAACTAGACTTTGCAAGATATGCAGACGTTCTAGTTAGTAGATTTGATATATGACTCTGTTGTATTCCCACTGCCACTCGACCATTTCCAACAAAACAGCTAATCTATAACTTGTCATCCATTGATACATCTTCAATTGTGTTTTCCAATCTTTCCAGCACTCGGTACCTACTTCTGACTCAAGAGCGCTAGCGTACCAGAAGGGATGATCTGATTATCCTACGTTACAGCCCATTAAACTTAAACCTAACCCCCAACCCATCAAACGCCCGTTCAACCAAATACCGCCCAAGAACCCTCCGATACTCCTCCTCAATCCCCTCCATCATCTCCCCCGCCTCCCTCGCACTCCTCCTCATCTCCCAACCCACGCCCTCACACACCCCAACCTCCCCCAACGCCCTTTTCCAAAACCCCCAATTCTCCACCGTGAAACCTCTCAGTGGCGGCTCACGCATATCTCCTCTAGGCACAGAATCCCCGTCTTCCTCCACTACTTTTTTGTATAACTGTTTTCCTGCGATGGAGATCCAGACCGGTGCTACGTGCTGGCTGGAACGGAAATGGTTCATGGTATGATTATCTAGCTTGCGTTGTGTGTCTTCGAGGTCCCTCCGGAAGGCCATCAGCGCCCAGTACGACCAGTCCATATCGGTGTCCGCTACGCATGCGTCGCGCGTTAAACGGGCTATGAATGCTGAGGTGTTTATACATTGTCGAGTTCCCCACGCGTGCTCTATGATTACTTATTAGATTAATTAATTCCAGACATGATTTGTACTCGCAAGTTGTAAAGCGGTGTGTGATATGAGAGTCATATATATACTAACCTTCTATCTTCCTATTCCCAATCCCACTATACCCAGCCCAGTTCCTCCACGCCGGCGATATATCTCGCAGGGCCTTCACCAGCGCAACGAGAGTTTCTTGCTGTGGGCCGGTGGACGGAAGGTGCGATGCGAGTTTAAACACTAGTTCCCAGAACTCGGTCAGAAAGGATCTGGTTACCTCTTCCTCTGCCTTCTTTTTCAGGCTTTGATACGTGGAATATAAGGTGTGGATGTTTTGGGCTACGGTTTGTGCAGTGGTGGTTGAGGCTGGATGGAGGGGTTCCTTTATTATGTCGAATAACTGGGTGCCGATATCCCAGCCTGAGATACGGGTGATTTCAAGTAGTACATATGACATGTTTTATGATTTGCGGCTGGGTTTTGGCCCGGGTCTGTTGGAGTGTTTAATTTGTCCTTTGGATAAGGAAATGAAATGAAATAAAATTCTTGAAGTGTGGGATATCGTAAGGTATAACGCTAGTTTTTTGGGTTCCGTTTGGTAATTTGGATTTAGGGTTGTAATTCTGATGTCAAGATTTACTAATTAGGGGTTCGTTTGGTTTGACTCTTTAGCCTGAAAATCGATTCCTTTAATGAAGATTACGGTGCTGCGGTTACCGTGGCCGCTGTCGCCAATGGGGCGGAAGGACGACATAGCGCATTCGAGAAGAGAAATTAGAGGGATGAAAGCCGGAGGGTGAATTTTAGTTTGGCTCCTGATTGATTCATTAGCATTGTTGTCTGGAACTGAAATGTTTCCTTTGGCGGGGAAAAGTCTTGACAATTAAGGACGTACAGATCATGTTGTGTTTGTAAGAGATGAAGTGGGATGAGGCTGCTCCACACTTCCAACTTGGATGTCTAGTGGTGACATATTGAAGATAAGTTTGAGTATGTTTTTCTTGTGATTGTTGTCTCAAGCTAATTTTGAAGTTCTATAAATTATGGTACCAAGATATTGCTTGATACTCGTCCGGAGATGTGGGATTGTTAGTGAAGCGGCTGGGCTGTCGGAGGTCTCGGGTATTAATACGGCTTTTGAGTTCATGAGTCGTATGAGAGAAGTCGAGGTTGAAGTTTTGGACTACTTTTTGACCCAGCTGAACAAAAGGTGCGAAAGTGAGAAAATGGTTGTTTTCCCCAGAGGTAACAACCAACTTAGTGGTGATTCCTAAGCATGACCATGCTCGGTCGGGCTGCTCGACCTTGTAACATATATATGAATGTCGAAATACAGCCATAAAGAACATGGAGATTGAATGTTTGAGTCCGGTGGCTGTGCCTTCGACGATGAGGAGAAAACGGAGGACTCGGATAATGGTAGACCGCCGAGTCGACGGACCTTAACCAAAGTCTTTTAATCACCTTTGAATCGAAGTAGAAGTTGGCACGTCTGCTCTGCTATGGCAAACCACATACCAATCAACTAGCCGTCGAGTTCTCCGTATGCACAGAAGTGGAGGAAGGGTCCGACCCAGACCCAACGGTAGCTGTAGAAGACCCGCCACCAAACTCAAGCTGCTGCTCCGTCCTCTGAACCTGTGTCTCAAGAGCAGCGCCCTCTTTCCCCTTGCCTTTATCATCCATCTCTTTCCCAGCGTCATCATCAAGCTTCCTCGTCGTAGCTTCAGCCGCTCCATCCATATCCACATCCCCCCTCCCCATCCACCCCCTTCGTCAAAATATCACCCACCTCACTCTCCGTCTCCCAACTCCCCTCACTCCCGCTCTCACTTCCACTCCACTCATCTCTCCCCCCGTTAGCCAACCGAATCGTCTCCCCCAACACCAAGAAATCCCTCTCCAACACCTCCGCCCAATTTTGCACATTGCCTAACTCCTTAACCTTGCGCGCCCCCTCCCCCGCAACCTTCCCCAAGCGCTCCGTCTCCTTCTTCAACCGCGCAGTCTCCTTCAGCAGATCCTTTTCCTGCTTCGCTAGCGCTGCGGAGTTGGAGTGAAGAGTTTGAGCGCGGGACTTTAGGGACGTGTCGAGGCTGGAGCCGATATTGGTCATGGATGCTTCGAGCGCGATGCGCGCTTCTGCTATTTGGCGTTGCGTTTCGGGGGAGTGGGGGAGCGCAGAGGTGGAGGAGGATGTGGTGGATGGGGGGTTGGATTTTTGACTTGATTTTGTATTGGATTTGGATGATGGGGGAGGGGGGTGAGAGCGTATGGGTGGTTGGAAAGGGGGGATGTTGGAGGGCCCTGAGGTTGTGGATACTGGGGCGGACATGGTGGGCTGTGGTTGTGATGAGAGGTTTAGATGTGGGTTATGGTTGATGCTTTGTTGAATAACAAGTGATTGTGTTTCTATATGTAGTGGAAATGGTCTTTGCGTGATTTATTGTTAGGATTTATCAAAGTATGGGTTCGCGCGGTTGCGGGGAATAGAAGCAGTGTTGGAGGGGTGCATGTGATGCGGGGTTTTGGTCGAAAGCTTGGCAATCAAAAGGTCCCAGATCAACCAACGAATCATAAATCTTTATAAAGTCATGCAAAGTATTTTGGTATTGCTTTTCAATTGTTCAGATGCATTCTTCAGAGTTCATTCTAGGAAGTAATTGCAAATGCCAACTCCATGCCATGAAATCCACAGAAGTACACGCCAATACCAAAGCCCAGCAAGAGTTTTCTCTACTTGCGCAATTGTCTCTGGTAGAAAGCCAACTCCTCTCCCTCCAAAATGTAACCGTCAACACGTCCGCTCTGTCCTGGACGGGATGAAATAACAGCGTAAAGACGACCAGCCTCGAACTGCTTCTCCAAAGCGGGCTCAACCTTTCCTTGGGCCTTGAACCGGAGCTCCTGCTTGGTCTCTACACCCTTGCTCTTCTTCTCGGGCTCGGCATGCTCTTGTCCAGCTTTTTGTTGGCGCCTGCGACCGAGGTTCTGGCCGTAGTGTGCCTCGTACCATTGACGGAAAGGAGCGGCATCGACTTGAACGACGGCGGATTTGGTGAGAGAGTTGGTTCGGACCAACTCGTTGTTGGAAGGATGGAAAGCGACGACGATCACACGGACCTTGCGGGCGATACCCTCAGAGGCCCATGAGAAGTTACCGGCCTCGAGACGGAGGGCACGGAATTTGCGGTTGCCACCACGGGTTCGGACTAGATGGATTCTCTTGGTTCCGATACGGGTGTTGGACTCTTGTCGTCCGGCTTCAAAAGCGCGCTTCTTCCCTGCAAATTTTTAGTTTTCAGGTTGGAACACATGTCAGAGACATATGGGCTTTTTACTACGCACGGTAATATGCTCGCTTGGCACCAGAGGCGGAGCGCTTGTGTCTAGAATCACGGCTGATACCCATGATTGCGGTTTCTGGTTGATGAATAGACGTTAGCAAGGGACTGTAAAGGTGGGTGAAGGGATTGTAGGCCAGCCGTCAGCCTCGAACAACCGCAAGATCTTTCCAGCAACCAGAATATAGGCGCACAGCAGAGTATATCGTAGCAGAGAAGATGGATTCGATAGATGAGCATTCGCGGATCCTGCAGCAAAATGGGATTGCTGAGATGCTGCATGCGACCCAAATCGAGGTTTCCAACGTCTGCTATTTAACACCCCCAATTCTCTATTCTGGTTGCCGATTGACGATGCGATTGATCGATGATGACGATGGATGCAAGGGCGAGGTAGAAATGTTCGTACTGACCTGATGATTTAGAAGGTCACCAGTGCAATCGTTGTGGTTGTCGTTGAGAGTTGTCGTTGGGCGTCGTGAAAAAGTTTCCGAGATCGAAATTCTAGTATGTGGGAAGTTGACCCACGCTAATTCTGAATAAGCGAGGCGAGGCTTTGGATCATGTGCACGTGCATAGATCCACCGGTACATCACGTGCATGCGCCATTATTTCTGTACTTCGTCTTCACCACCTTAGCTCTTGTCACCTTGGGCATTGACATGGAAAAAATAAGCCATGGAGTGAAACCTACAATCGATCAACAGTTACGAATTATTCCCTATCTAGGCCTTTCCTGTACCCCAGCACAATCCTCAGCCCTCTCTTAGATATGCATGCCATGACCTTTTCATAGGCACTCTGCAATTAAGGGGATGTGAAGATGACAGGAAATCTTTATTTTCGGCCTAAAAGGGTAATTCTCATTGAGGCTTGGGTATCCACCACCACCTTATTTTCCCCCGCATTATTAAGGCTTACTCAGAAGCTGGTGCAAGCTTTAAAGATAACAATTGATTCTTGCCATAACAAAGCTCGATTCGTGTGTTTAGGTTAGCCTATCCAACATTTCTACAGGAGAGAATCCGGTGATTTCGGCAATTTCGGTATAGCTTCGTATTGCTGCCTGCACTCAGCCGCCACGACCACGCAAGCCGTCCTTCTCGTCCTTTTTAAGCCTGACAATAACGGGGGTAATACTTGTTCTATGTTACTCAATCATCAACTGTCATCTTTCAGAAAAAGCGAGTAAGCACTTATCCATTCTTCCTCCCCCCACATTAGCTGCACCTGTAAGGGCCCTTCATGGATTGCGGGTAAAGCTTAGCAATGAAGCTTAAAGTACTCGAAGGTGTGATTCGGGCATGTAGTTGTGCCGTATCTGGTGAGTAAATGTAGTCTTCTAAAGGCAGAAGCCGATGTGATAGGTCAATCCACAATCCGCAGTGCTGTCGATTACCTTGTCACAAGATCCGGCAGTGCAAATTTACAAGCCTCTTCTTGTATGACTCTCGTTTCATGAGAAGTCTGTGGTAGCCTTTAAATCTTCATCTCATTCAAGATACTCTAATGTTAATCATTCCCTTGGGTCCCCATTCTTCTCTATATCTCGTTTTCCTTAAACACACTCAGATCGGAACCTCGTTCAGCATCACTCTTCGATGAACAGATAGATCAACTTTATTCGGCTTCGGATTCAGAGCATAAGGGACGATTCATGAAGCGGGACCTTTAATTCATGATTCACAGGGGTAAGATTCATATTCAGAAGGGTGTTCTTAGGGTCGCTCTGAATCATCGATCCATTCTCGACTGAGGATTTCTTAAAGAGACCAGAGAACTCAAGGGAACTGTCCTTTTGTTTTCTATCTGATAGTTCACCCCAGTCTAATCTCGTCGATCCGTTTGCAAGGTCAACCACCCACCCAAGTTCACCGAGCCATATCCTCGTATCGTCGCTACATCCACATTCTTAAGCAACAGTCATAATGGCGGATCCACCATGTATTCAAGACCCTACGCAGGTCAAACTCAACAATAAAGCAAAGAAAGCAAAGAAGGATGCAACCAAGAAAGCTTCTCGCTCGTCCGCACCCAAACCGCCTGCAGAAATCAAGCTAAGCTTCTCGGAGCAACTCGGCAGTGACCTTGCAAATGGCCTGGTGCAAGACCCATACTCTCTGAAAGAGTCGTTGAACTTGATTGACAGAGTTACATTCGTCAAATTGCCATCACCCAACATCACCAACCCCATTACAGATTCAACGGATGCCTCAATTGAACAAGAACTTACTGTTCTCTCTCGAATACCATCTTTGTTAACCAACGACAGCGGTTCGGCTGATACGTCAACTTCTTCCGATGTCGTCCAGCACCACCCCAAAACGACAATTCGAGAGATCTTTGATCTAAACGACTTCACCGCTCTTGCTTCCCTTCAAGAACTCATTGGACGTTATGGAAGAGTCTCACACATGGGGGTCCTCGACCCGAGTTACACATTCTACATCACGAAAGACCGAACGGCCGCTCTCTACTACAAAGCGAAGAATAAGATTGCAGTCGTGGGAGGAGATCCACTTTGTCCACCAAGTCTCTTCCCCAAAATCCTCACCGAGTTTGAAAAGTTCCGGAAGAAAGCAGGTCTAGGAATTGCATTCATGGGAGCCGGCGAGACATTTGTCGAATACATCAGAACGCAGAAATGGACTACAATGTGCTTCGCCACGGAACGAGTCCTGAACCCCATGAACAATCCCGTTCTCCACGGCAACGCTGGCAAGTCCATAACACGAACAAGCCGCAATCTCCTCGATCCCAAGAAAGAAGGCCTTACCCTCAAAGTCTACACGCCTCTCCTGGGCAAAAACGCCGCGCTTCAACAACAGCTCGTAAACGTTTACGAAGAATGGCGCGACCATCGCAATGACTCCAAGCTCCCACAAGCATACATCACCGTCTACAATCCCTTCGCCATGCCAGAACTCATGACATACATCTACACCAAAGACCGCAACGGGGTCCCCAACGGCTTTGCCGCGCTGCGCATCCTCGGCTCCAACAAAGGCTACCACCTCGACCCCTATGTGGCCTCCCCGGGTGCCCCAAGAGGCATCAGCGAGCTCCTCCTCTACGGCGCCATGGCCCTTCTCAACACCGCCAAGATCTCCTACCTGAGTCTCGGCTACGAGCCTCTCAACGACTTGGGCGAGATCCACGGCATGCCGAAGTCCCTGAAGAGCATATCGCGGAAAGTGCACAAGATGATATTCCAGGGCCTGCATGTAGCAGGGAAGAAAGACTTCCATGATAAATTCCATCCCGACGAGGCGCAGAGTTCAAAGCTGTATCTAGTGTTCCCGCCTGGGATCCCGAGTCTGAGGCATATGCAAAGCGTTGTGCACGTGGCGAATATTAAGATGAGGGATGCGATTTTCAAGGGCGCGAAGGTTAAGGGGGGGGAGAGGAAGAGCGCAGAGGGAGAAACAGAGAGAGAGAAACAGGAGGGGAAGCCTAGTGGGCTGTTGGTTGCTTCTGAAAGATTGTTCAGCAAGTCGAGGGAGAAGCTGCATGTTTCTTCACTGGTCACTCCGAAGAGTCAGGAGGTATAGGGATATACAATCAGCAAGAAGTTATACATGCATCATCTTGTCTTTAAAAATATCTGTAATTACCTCGATATGCATCAAAATACGTCCTGTTGGATTGCAAGTGCAACTCGTTCTATTGAATTTCCTGTTTCAAAATCCTCTGGGTTGGTTATAACAGCCACTCCTTTAGGGCTAGACACTAAGATTCGCACGGAGTACTAGTGGTACCTCGAAAGTTTGTCACCGAACGATATTAATTCCGATGCGTCTGTCGTATAAGCAGCCAGTGAACGATAAAATAGATCGCCATTAGTACCCCTGATGACCAACTTTCCAGTAGTACGAGCCTTTAACTCTTGAACGGAATTCCCGTCTCCGACTTTTGCTCATCGGAATGCCTGACTTTCACTCCGTCGGAGTCCGTCCCCATATCAATATTACTTGTATTACAAATTATGTACGTTGTTGAGATACATAAAGAAATGGCATTCCCCTTTTTCTAAACACCGGGTTGCAATTATCACCATACCAACACTTATAGTATTGACAACAAGTAAGTGATCGAGCAACCCCACAACAATGTCCACACAACGCGCCCTCCTCCTAACCTCAAAAACATCCCCCCTCTCCCTCCGCACGATACCCATCCCCGCCGCCGTCCCGGGGTCCGTGGTCGTAAAAGTCCTCAGCACCTACATCCTCTCCTACCTCACCTCCGTCCTCGACGGCACAGCGCCCTACGCACACTCCCTGCCGCTCGTCCCCGGCGCCAACACCATCGGTCGCGTGCACGCCGTCGGCAGCGACGCCACGGTGCTGAGTGAGGGCCAGTTGGTGTTCTGCGACATCACGGTCCGCGCGCGCGATGATCCGGATGTGGGCATCCTGATGGGCATGCATGGCGGGGATGCCCAGGCTATGAAACTCATGCAGGGCGAGTGGAGGAATGGCTCGTTTGCCGAGTACGCGAGGTTTCCGCTGGAGAATTGCTTTGTGCTTGATGAGGGGCTGCTGTGTGGGGAGATGGGGTATAGTGTTGAGGATTTATGTGCAATTCCCGGTATGTACTTTATGATACCACGTCAAGTACCACTTCAAGATAAGAAAAGGAAAAGGAAAAAACAGAAACGGAAACGTAAATGAAATATGATGGGAGGGATTGCAAACTGATCAGAATACCCAGCTTATCTAACCCCGTTTGGCGGCCTTGCGGAAATTAATCTCCTGCCAGGAGAAACTATCATCATCGCCCCAGCCACCGGTCGTTTCGGAGGCGGTGCTGTCACGACAGCCCTCGCAATGGGCGCTACAGTCGTAGCATGCGGTCGCAATGAAGCCACACTCTCAGCCCTAAAGAAAACATTCGCTCACACCGGACGCATTGAAACAATAATCCTAGCAGGGGATAAAGAAACCGACACCCGAGCCATGATCGCCGCGTCCCGCAACAAAGGCAAAGGCGCCGACGCATTCCTCGACTTCTCACCCGCCGCCGCCGCCAAATCCACACACATCGCCGCCGTCATGGCCGCGCTGCGACCCTTTGGGCGGGCTTGTTTCGCGGGGGGCATTTATGGGAGTGTGGAGATTGATTATCTGGGGTTGATGATGCGGAGCTTGAGGATCCAGGGATGGCTGATGTATAGTCGGGAGATGGTGGGGAGGCTTATCAAGATGGTGGAGAAGGGGAACCTGAAGCTGGGGGAGCGGGAGTCGGGGATGAGGACGGTGGGGCGGTTTGGGTTGGAGGGTGTGGAGGAGGGGATGGAGATGGCGAGGAGGGAGAGGGGGTGGGGGAAACAGGTGCTTTTGATGCCGTAGGTTATGGGTTTGGATGAAAGGATGGAATCTGGTGATGTATGGGTGAGTAGTCTGTAAAGTAGACGCGAAGGAATTTTATGACTAAACATACTTTACTATTACTATATTCCATATCAATCCTACTATGGTACCTATCTACTTGGTGAGCTAAACACTCCATTTCAGTTAGAGCAGAGGAAGTAAAGTCAAGTCGAGCTCTTATGCAACAAGAGATATATCTGGATGATAGCTGCCGGAAGTTTATGTGGTCGGTGAGCGGCGATGTTTTAACCCCAAGGGAGGGAAATCCGTGGTGTTGAAATAAAGTAAATTGAAGTGAAATGTTAGTGAAGTTCGGGTTCGGGATGTGTCTTGTGTGGAAGTGTTTATTTGTTAAATGGATGGGTAATATTGCAGGGAGGTAGAATTGGTGTGAGATATATGGTTCCAGGATGTACTCTGTTTACGTGGATATGGTCAGGCCAGTGCCTCTGCGACTTGATAAACCAGAATTGGTCCGGAGGTAGGTGACAGAGCTAGAGAATAGATGACCATAGTTGCTGTTCCCACGGAGATTTTTATATCTTCAAATCGCCACCCTTCTTTTCGCAAGCACATCGCATCCTTGAGGTTGCTTCCAAATTTCTGTTCCCAAAGACTTTCCGCGTGATCTGCTGTGCACATGAGAACGAGGCCCCGGAGGTTCCTAAATGAGGAGAACGTTTCGCATAAGTTGGGCAAATAATCCTAACCAAGTTGCATGAGTAATTGCATTGTTTTAATACAATATCGTCGGGGCTTACCTCATTAGCTGTTTCTTCACGTAGAAAATGTAAACAAAGAAACAAGCTCTCCAGAAGAGGACATGAGCTTTGAATCTTTCGAAGTCCCTCGGGGCCAATCCACGAATCAAAGTTACCTCCACTAGACAGTTTCAGGTGTCGCAAGCTTTTCTGGTGCTTCAGGGAATCTCCTATATAAGTTTGGAGAATATCTGTGAATTCGAGTGTTTCTAGGTGAGGAATGTCTTGTATGAACTTTGAGATGTCCTTCGCCGTTTGGATATCAGCTGCCTGGGTTGGAACTCTCAGTCTGATAGAGAGCTTTCGAAGAGAAACTAATGATTTTGGTAGAACAGTTTTGGCAAAAGATCGAGCTTCAAAACTCATCAATCGTAGGTCATGTAATTGCGAGAAATCCCAAATCTCAACAACTTGTTCGGATGTGTATGGCCACTCATGGTCAGGTGTCGATGACTTCTCCTGCTGTAGGATCAGAAGCTTTATCGGAGGCATTCGTCCGTGGATAGCGGAGAAATGCCACCCAGGACGCATACAAAGCTCCTCGAGATTCTTTGATGAGACCAATAGAGCATTGAGCTTAGCAGTAATCCGCGAATCCAGTGGGTATTTATGGAATACGAGCGACGCGAGGTTCATAGGCGGTATTGACTCCAACACTGCAAGGGTTTTCTTCATGGTTTGGAGATCAGCGTATTGGGTAGAAAAGTGTAGCCGAACATTGTGCCATGTTTGACGGAGGGCAACTTGTACCGCAGTAGGTAGGGGGTCGCCTGGAGATATCAGATCCATTCTAAAATGATATGTCAGAAGCATGAAATGAGAAGTAAGACAGACTCAACACAACGCTGCTTTACGTACTTCAATTTCAATCGTTGAAGTTGATTGCATTCAGAAAGGAATTTCACAACTCGATACCAGTTCAATGGCTGAATAATCGAGATAACCCTCGTGTGTGCTTTAATATGAGCAACTACCCGTGAAGCGATAGGGCCTGGCCGACTAGTTATGAGTTGACTCGAAAGCTGAGGGTAGTCTCGATAAAGAAGTGGCGTAGTAAGGGCATGAAATCGCTGAGATACTAGGCGTATACCTTTACCCAACGACAAGTCGCTCTTCTATACAAAGCATATGGGATTAGCGAAGCTTTCAAGATAACAAAGGTGCGTCATGTTATTAATCGAAGAGGCGAGCTTCAAACACCCAAGGCGGAAAGCGGGATATTCGAGACAGGATAGTAGGGAGAGAAAGGACCTACCAAGCTTTCAAATATGATAGTCCACAGCTCCGAGCTCAACATCTCTCCAAATTTTGGCTTTTCTGGAACCAGTGGAACCGCCAACTCTGGTTTCAGCTCTGCTTTTGGGGCTTTTCTGCGGCTAGAACGACGAGAAACCGGCATACTCATGATGAAGAGGGCAATAGAAACGACTCTGAAGAGCAAAGGCAAAGCCGGGGGTGAATTGAAGGTGGTGGTGCAGGACCCACGAGCAGCGTCTCGAGATGTATGAGAACGATAGCAATAGACGGTGGAAAGCCTTGAGTATCTACCAGAATTGTTCTGGGTTTGCGATTGGTAGTACGGAGTGGCGTCGTACTCGAAGCTTTGGGAGACACTGATGCTGATGTCAAAATTGCAGGTTGAAATTTGGAAAGAAGTAGGTTGGGATTCAATATACAATACTCCAAATGTCTCTAGCGTTAGTCAGCGACACATACAACGACGACACATGACACGTGCGACTGGTCAGTGAATGGTAGGATGAAATACACACCATATGGAAGAAAATTCATTCAATTGAATTGTAGATAAGGCGTTATTATGTTCTCTTCTAGTTTCGGAGACTGCAGATACCTCGAAAATCATATCCAAATACAACACATGACTACTCAGATCTCTAACCTCAGAGTCAGGCACCCTACAAACAATCGAAAATCCCAAAGGCATGGACCCCAAAACGCAAACCACTGCTGCTCCTATCAAGGGAACTCTACACCACACCATAACACCCCAACTCCAAGCTCTAAGCTTTTATATATGAAGATATATCTGCTAACACTTAGCTAATTTATAGAACCAAGACCAAGACCCATTACATACCCCTTCACCCCCACACTCTCCTTCCAAGCCCGATACTATAGCCCTCATCTGGCAGCAGCTGGCAGCTCTAGAGCAGGACATGGCACAGAACACGGCAAGACTGGGTCGTGATATGGCAAGGCATGGACATGAGATGGCTATCCTAGAGCAGCAGGTAGATGACCTGGCGCGAGGTAGGATATGGACGGAGGGATGGGGTGCAGTATTTGGTGCTGGAGAAACTATGACTGTAGATTCAATCAGGTGGCAGAGGATGAAATGAAGAAATGATATAATACGTCGATGCATCAATGAATAAATTAGGAGAGACCCATTGAGTAGTGTGGAGTGATTGATGGTTGTGACATACAGGTACCATGTGTTTGTTCGTGCAGCAGATGATTATTGTAAGGAACGTAAATGAGGGATGTAGAGAGGTAACAAGGGGAGATGTATGTGTCGATACATCGCAAAGTATTAAAAAAGGCTGCTTCGAAACCGAATCCGAGATTCTACCATCCCATTACCTACTTTCCAAAGCTCCCTCCCAAATCCCCACCAACGGCCCCCCAACCCCAAACACAGGATCACTATCCGGCACCGGAACAGTCCTGGCGTTCCGCGCCTTCTGCATCGTTTCTTCTTTGCCCGCTCTACAGAAGTTGTTGTCCCAATGCGGACTGCCCTATTATTTTCAGGATCAGATCAGATCCCCTCCATTCAGGCCCAACAAGGCAACAGGCAAGTGAGTAAGTAACACACCTCAGGATACAATCCCACATACTCATAATCCTTCGAACTCTCCAAAGAACAGTGCGCCACTCCAGCCGGTAGCACAATAGCATCGCCTTCCGCTACTTCCACAACCAGCCCATCCTCACCCTTATCACCATCTACATCTAACGGTCCTTGCCCAAGCAATAGTTTCGAATGCCCTTTAAACACAGCATAACATTCATGCGTGACGGAATGGAAATGATGCGTGGGGTAGTGCTTGAATATCCCGCCTTTAAGCCAGTGGTGCGGCTCGATCGTTGAGCATACTAGCGCGGGGCTGGCTGGGAGGGGGATGGCGGAGCGGTAGATTAGTACGGGAAGGGGAGAGTTGGGGACGTGGGGGGTGGGATGGGGGACATGGTGTTGTTCGGGTGGTGAGATGGGCATCTTTGGCTTTATCGTGTTTGCTGGGGAGGAGAAGTGAGGTGTGAAGAAGGCATGGAGGGGTAAGGGGGTACACCCCCACTGTCGATCTAACCGCCACCACCATCACCACGACCATACCTATTGGAAGAGCCTCAACTGTAATGTGGGAGGCTCAAATAGAATCTCCTACAGCCCAAGTCCCGACTGGTTCCGGTCGAGTGGAAAACAGAATCTTGTGCTTGATAATCTCCACAATCTCTAACTCATCGCTCTGCTGTCCCTCCTCCATGTCTAGATCCATCTGCTGGCCCGACCCGTCTATACGCTTCCTGATAACCGCAATGGCTTTCGGAAGCTTCTTGACTTCTCCCGTGAGCCTTTGATGCTTTCCCACGTAGAGATAGACGCGCTTCATCCATGCTGTGTTCGACGCGTCTTTAGGATCGTAATCTGGGAATACGAGACGCCCGATAGGCGTTTGCTGGCATCCTGGCAATTGAGATTCCGTAGATTCTTCAGGTTGATCGGGAAGATTGATTGTTCCTTGGAGTTCCAGCAGTGCCAGGCCGGAGGGGGTTTGGAGCAGTTGAGGGAGAGTATTTCGAGATGAGTTTTCGGGAAGAAGGGAGACTAAAGGCGACGCGTGCAAAGGGACTGAACTCATCGTGAAAGGATCTTTACAAGTTTGCAAATTTAAAGGACACTTATTTAAAACGATGAAAAACTGCCTTTTGTGAAGATTATTTCTCAATCAGATCCATGTGAAGGTAAATTAATCACATGACCGAGATTATACTTGGTCCTGGTCATGTGCTCGGTAACCTTAAATCGTTAGCGTGCACGACCAGGTAAAAATTCCCACATTTGAAATTTACACGAAATCGGATTGAACAACCTACGACAACGACAACAACGCAACCATGAAGTTGGTAAGTACTCCTAATACAATACAACCTGCCATTACAATCGAGATAATAGCTAACATATTCGCATAGAACATCTCCTTCGTAAGCTCCCTCTCCTTCTCCACTCGATTCGACTCCATTCCGAACCTCACGAATGAATAATAAACTAACAATCCCCAGCCTGCCAATGGCAGCCAGAAGCTGGTAGAGATCGAAGATGAGAAGAAATTGCGCATCTTCATGGACAAGAGGTACGCTACGCTACGCGCTTCGTCGCAAAAGCCATACGATGAGGCAGGGCTGATATATTCTACAGAATGGGCGCCGAAGTCCCAGGAGACAGCGTTGGCGACGAGTTCAAGGGCTACATCTTCAGAATCACCGGCGGCAACGACAAGCAAGGTTTCCCCATGAAGCAAGGAGTCATGCACCCTACGCGTGTCCGTCTCCTGCTCTCCGACGGCCACTCCTGCTACCGCCCCCGCCGCACTGGTGAGCGCAAGCGCAAGTCTGTCCGTGGCTGCATCGTCGCCATGGATCTGTCCGTGCTGGCTCTCAGCATCGCCAAGCAAGGCGACGCCGACATTCCCGGCTTGACAGACGTCGTGCACCCCAAGCGTCTTGGTCCCAAGCGGGCCACCAAGATCCGAAAGTTCTTCGGCCTCACCAAGGATGACGATGTACGTACCAACCCGTATATCCTCATCGCCTGCGCTTTGCGCAGAGTGTGAGATGAGTACTTTGCTGACGAAGTGCTGTCAAAATTTAGGTCCGCAAGTTCGTTATCCGTCGCGAGGTCCAGCCAAAGGGTGAGGGCAAGAAGCCATACACCAAGGCCCCTAAGATTCAGCGTCTGGTTACTCCCCAGCGTCTGCAACACAAGCGTCACCGTATCGCCCTCAAGCGTCGTAACGCTGAGAAGACCAAGGATGCTGCCGTATGTCCTACCTTCCCTACCATATTAATTCAACTCTAAAATTTCTACAGAACGAATACGCCGCCATCCTCGCCAAGCGTGTCTCCGAGACCAAGGCCCACAAGGCCGATGCCCGCAAGCGTCGTGCTTCATCCATGCGCAAGTAGATACTCGACCTGGGCTTTTGGCTTTCGGTCTGATGTAGGTTTGATTTTTCCGGCATAAGCATAAGCATACCATCATGAAATAAAGGGGTTATGGGATGGGATAAACCAGATCTCGCTTCTGCTTCTCCCAAGGTCTGCACTTTTTTGATGCCCATGTTACCTAGCTAGGCGTCTATCCACGAAGAAAGAAAAGTAAAATTGAATTGACCAACCTATAAGCCCTCACTCGAATTGCCCTTTGTGTTGTATGTGACTTTAGGATTGAAAGTCTCATGCTATCTATCGGGTAACCTGGCGTGACGATCTGGTTTGATGTGAGGTGAAGACTTCTATTCATCTGCGCTATGATTCGGCATTGTAATTTCCCTCCGCAATACAACCTTGGTACGTTAAGCAGAGCTATATCCAGATGTGAAAATCAAGTGCTACTATATGAGCATTTTCTTTCCAGACTAATTGCTATCTATCAAATACTGCTTTTTTGCATGTGTGTACCTAAGTACGATAGCTGAACCGCGAAATATTTACCGCCCCGCAATGTACACCAAACGCCCTCGCTTTCTCTCTCTCCTTTTCTTTCCCCCCACCTCGCCCCCCTTTCTTACCAACCCCCTCAGCTCCCACCTACAACCTAGCTAAGGCGCATTCGTAAAAAGGAAACTCACACTCTCCCCATTATGCGTCCTCCTAATCGCCTCCGCCAACGTCGCACTAATATCCATAACCCTTAACAACTTACAACTCTCCGCTTTCTCGCCCAGTGGCACCGTATTCGTAACCACAACCCTGCTCAGTCCACTCTTATTCAGCGTCTCGATCGCATTCCCGCTCAAAATCCCGTGCGTGACAATGGCAACCACTTCCTTCGCGCCGTGCGACAGCAACGTCTCGGCAGCTTTGACCAAAGTGCCGCATGTGTCGGCCATGTCGTCTACGAGGATCGCGACCCGCGAGGATACGGAGCCGACGAGCACCATGCGCGATACTTCGTTGGGGCGCGCGCGCTCTTTGTGGATGAGCGCGAAAGGGAGGTCCAGGCGGTCTGCTATTGATGTTGCGCTGGGAGGGGGTGTTAGTGAGTTTCTTGGTTGGTGGATTCTTACTCCTTCACTTCCATTTCCACATGAACATATGCAACCAGAAGAAAACGAAAAGAAAAGGCGTGATAATAAAAACCAAGAAACCGATCCACAAACAGCAAAAAGACTAACCGTTTCGCACCCCCAGCATCCGGACTAACAATCACACAGTCCGCCACATTCAGATTCTCCCTAATCCATCTCAGCGTACTAGGTTCCGCATACAGATTATCTACCGGCACATTAAAGAAGCCCTGGATCTGACTCGCATGCAGATCCATCGTGATAACATGGTTCGTCCCCGCGATCTGCAGCATATTGGCAATCAGCTTCGCGGAAATCGGAGCACGCGATTTGTCTTTCTTGTCCTGGCGCGCGTAGGGGAAGTTCGGGAGTACGGCTGTGATGCGGCGTGCCGAGGCGGTTTTGCAGGCGTTTATCATGATTAGGAGTTCCATGAGCCCGTCGTTTATGTCGCCCGGGGCCGTGGATTGGAGGATGAATACTGGGGGAAGCTGTTAGCTTCTTTCTTTTTCTTCTTCCTTTTCTTCTTGCTTCCTTTCCTTTCCTTTCCTTTTGTGACGTGGAGGAATTGGGGCGTGGAATGGGATGGGATATAGAGCAATTGAAAGGGAATGCCAACATACCATCTTCATCCCTGACACTCTCTCCGACCGTAACGCTAGTCTCTTTATTCGAATAATTCAGACTCATCGTCTTCGCGAGATCAATGCCCAACCTGTAATTCTTGTATCAGCTATGCTTCCTTCCATTCCCCTTCCCTCTTTTCCCAACCCTCCACATCCACACGCCCCAAAATACCATAGAAAAAGAAGAAAAAAAGAACCCACCTCGCAGCAACCTGCTTCGCCAACTGCGGATGGCTATTGCCCGTAAGCAACTTGATCGAATTCGTCGCCATTACTCCGTCTGTATTCCTTCCTTCCTTCCTTCTCTCCTCTCTTTTCCTTTATCCCGACTTTCTTTCCCTTTGTGGCGGGCAGAAGAAGAAGATATCGTGGAATAGGCAGAATATAGGTACAACTAGCACTTATGAGATATGGTGGTGTGAGGTGAGGTGGGAAAAGTGTAGGCTGTCGGTTTAAATGATACTCGAGTCCGCTGCCATAAAAAGTTTTAGCGGGGTGGCACTACGGTTTTTGAGACGCTATGCCAAAAGCGGGTGTGGGGTTGCTTGGTTAGTCAGCTGTCCGATCGAGTAAGGTTACATTGTCTGACTTCGCTCGCTCGCTCGCTCACCTTCACCAAAGTCCAGCATACAATAAATACTTTTAATTTAGAAGCAATTAGTCTTGCCATCTCCTCGATATTGCCAATGCATCAATTTATGATGGCATTATTATCTATTTTTTACAAACATCCATTCCTCCATCGCATCCCGTTCCTTCCATTCCCCAGCCTATTAGCATTCAGAAGAATCAACAAAGGACCTGCACTTCCTCGATGAAACCCCCAAGAAGCAACGCACTTATGCACACCTGAATTGAATGAATGAAGGAACACCCAACCAGTTAATCTGATCGCAAATACATGTCGAGAAGTAAAAACTTTGTATCAATAGGACGCCGTTCGAAAATGCTTATCAAGGCCTGCCAATGCATGATGTTCGTTATGATGAAAAGGGTGTTGTGAAATGTTGAAATCTGATACTTGTCTATGCGAAACCAAAGTACTCGCTTCCCGCGGTGATGGCCGTGAGGACATGCGAGCGGAGTGACTCGTAGCTTTCATATTCAGGAAGATCAAGTTCTGCAGAATGAATGTTAGTATGTGATGACAGGAGACGGCGAGGGAAACTTACGGTTAAAGCATGTATGCGAACTTGGCAGCCTTTCCTTACTACCATAATCACGATGGATGTTGAATCGACTGAAGCCATTCATACCCTCCAACTCCCTGAAACCGTTCAGCGGTACCTTGCTAGTTCCTGTAACGAACTGCAGCAGCTTGGCACGCTCTTCCTTATCATATGAACGAACGGCTCGCCAGAACCATTGGATCTGCGGAGAGGATGCTGAGTAGTTGTGGTATTCAGTGTTACTCTTCCAGTCGTCAACTTCGATTTCGGGTAATCCGGAGATCAACAGCTCCAATTCTTGCTCGTTGAAGATTGCGATGAGCTCAGCGGGGATGATATCATGGAAACCTTGAAAGAAATTAGTAGAGGATACAGGATGATAGCAAAATCAACTTACCCTTCAAGAACTCGTCCAACTGCTCTTTAACAGAACCAGTGAGCTTCCACTCCACCATCAAGCGAATGTACTCGTGCTTATTCTCCTCAGTGACAGGAATGTTGCGGCCATTTTCTATAAAGTCAATGGTCTCAACAACACCAAACTTGTCGTTGTCAACAGAGAAGGTCTCCGTGATGATGTCAGTGATATCATTCTCAAGCATCCAGACAAGAGACTTGTAGTATTCAGGATCAAGAGACTCCATATCCTTCACTGAGACAGGTTTGCCCAAAATGCGCTTGTACACAGCACGACTGAAATGGCAGTCCAAGACACGACCCTCGTAAAGAGCCTTGCCAATGATGCGACCGATGAACTTGAAGAACATGAGATGCTCCTCGTTGATGCTACTCAGCTGATTGGGGTGAAATGTGGTTCGGTCAGATGACACAGGAATGAACAGAGCGTATCCTGGGTCAAACATTTGTCTCGAAAGCACTTGGAACCATTCGCGAGTAACACCACCTGCATCAACACCCTCTTCACCGTGGAATCGAATACTTAACTTGCCGTACTTCATCTGATCGCCGGTTTGAAAGTAGAGAGACTTGAAGGAATCATGGAAGACCTGGTCTCGGCGAACAGACAGCTGAAGCGGAGGATGTGATTGACGACCGTTGGGGGCCTTGGCATGAATGCTACGAGTGAAGTAGTTGCGCTTGTTGTCAAACTCGAGAACCTTGGGGTTCTTGACTAAGAGAGAGAAAGTACCCGACATGAGCTTCGGTGTATGCCGTACGAGGTCGTTGAGAATTTTCCGGTGCTCCTCGGTGAAAGTAAAGAACAAGCTCTCCATTCGCGATTCTGGTGGGGGACTGGTCAACAACATCTCCTTGCTAGTCTGTGAGCTCTTCTCCTTAAGTGTGGTGTTTTTGCAAACCACCATTAATGCTTCAATGAGCGGAAGAAGGATAGTGGCAACATTGAGCATATGCTCACGTTGTCGAATAGCACGTAAACACTCGCTGAGCTTCTCCCACATCGGTCCAAAGGTAGAATTCTCGTAGAGAGAAGACAAGAGGTCCTGCTTCTCACTCAATTGAGATGATTCACCTTCACTATCAACCTCAGATGCATCCTTCCTGTCACGCTTGGGGTCGAAAAGATGGTCAAGTGCGGTAAGGACGCGAAGCAACTTGTTTTGATCTGAGCCACCTGGTGAAAACTTGGCGAGTGCTACACCCTGGATCTCAGTGCCTGTTGTGGCCTTCTCGATTTGTGGAAGAAGATCTTGAAGATCGACAAGGATGATCTCTCCAAGTCCTTGAGCCTTTGAGATGAGTTCTCGTCCAAAGACGGCCTTAGCGTCTGGAATGGCAGAAAGGTTCTTGATTGTTGACAGAGTCTCTCTGAATGTTTTTGAACTGCATTCACGAGCAACAAAGATGTTGATCACCAATTGCAGATTATGTTCTGGGACGACTGGAGGGACCATTTGGCGTTGTAGCTTCTTCTCGGGCTCCTTTGCGGCTTCCTTAGAAGTTGATTCTGACGGAGCAGCTGGGGTTTCCGTAGAAGTCGATGGCTCAGCGCCTTCATCAGGAGGCAGTGTTGGAGATGACTCGGCTTCAGCGAGAAGTCTGTCCATTGTCGGATCTGACTGTGCATCATAATGTTGCTCATCGCTTGTCGTAGGCTCCGGTGTAGTGACAGACACCGCCGTATCAGCAGCTGTGGGAACTGCCTCTGCTGTCTCCTCCTTCTTGCCCTCTCCAGCCGCCTCTTTCTGTCTTCGTTGTAAAGCCTGAAGTGGGGTAGTTGTCATGTTAAGTAGTGTTGACAATGACTCCATAACAGAAGAGCTCTCCATTATCAACTCGCGATCGAGTAATGTCAACAATGAATTAAGAGGATATCTCGAGGCCTTGTTCTCCTTTCCCTTGCCCTTGCGGCTCAAGCTGCGCTTAAGACCACCAGTAGGCTCGTGTTCGGTAAGGAAGAATGCTGGAATATGAGGGTTGGCACTCGTGAGGAAAACCAGAGATAACAGACATTGTTGAACCACCATCAGCGGAGATGCCTCAAAATTGGTCGGAGTGACTGAACTCGTGGTGCTGGGACCAGTGAGGGTTCGCTTGAGTGGTGTGGGGGTCTTGGGGTCCTTTTCCTTCAATGACGGTTGCTTTGCTCTCAATGAAAGCTGAGTAAAGCTTCGTTCAACCGCAGACATATCAAAGCTACCATCCTGGAGGATATGAAGAATCGTGCCGAGTACCTCATTCCGGTTGTGTCGATTGTGTGAGATGTTTTGGAGAACCGTGTTCAGAGTATTTCGTAGACTGCCTTGTTGGAAAATGAACATCAGACGTAAGAGGGTAGCGATTCCTGGCTTGTCAAGCATCTGCACCACCACTCGTCGAGGTTGTCGTTCGGCATTGGCGTCTTGACCGGCAACAGGAGGAGCTGCACGTCGAGCAAATCCACCTGGAACTCTTCCTTGATGAGCAGGATGATCTCTCTGGGCAGCACGTGCTTGATCAGCAATATCTGCAGGAAGTAAGGCAAGCATGTCCTCGTCTTGCTCCATCAAAACTTGTTGACGCAATGCCGGAGGTAACGTAGCTAGAATGCTTGCAGCATCCATCTCACCAGCACTGGGAGCTCCACCATTGGCAACGGTGGCTTGGCGATTACGCTCCTCTCGCTCACGGCGACGGCGGTCTTGTCGTTCTTGTGCCATGATCTCCTCTCTGATATCAGCGGGCAAGGCATCTAAAAACTCTTGTTCGATATCCGATGGTTGAGCGCCAGTTGCTGCAGCTGCTGAACGTCGCTCGCTAACAGCCGACATGATGACTTCCTCCCGAATCTCTTCTGGTAGCTCGGCAAGGAATTCGGGATCAATCCCAAGATCTGTGATGTCGTAAGGGTTACCGCGAATGACAGTCGTAACTCGCGGACGATCTGCTGCTGGGGTCTCCTCGCCCTGTGTGCCTTGACCTTCTGGGGTAGTCTCGGCATTTTCGGTCTCTACGCCCTCCATTGCCTCAGCAGCCTCTTGAACTGAATTAGCCTCCTGCTCTGACTCGGGGCCTCGCGCAGCAAGTGCTTCAGCAGCAGCTCTCTCGGCGGTCTCCCGTTCCTCGGCCTCCTTCTTTTCTCTCTCGGCCTTTTCCTCAGCCTCCTTTGCTTCACGAACAATCCTCTCCTCTTCAGCCTTCTTCTTAGCTTCCTCTTCTGACTTACGCTTTTCTTCAGCTTCCGCGGCCTTGATGGCCTTGTCGGCTTCAATGGCAGGAGGAACTAAGACAGCTTGGATGGCATTGTAGAGATCTGCAGCCTTCTCAGCAACGGTGGGACCGAATAGCAGCTTGGCTTCCTCGTCCCATCTAACCTTCGTAGAGAGAGGTGTGAAGAAAGCCGAATTTCCAGGGTCCGTAGCGTGACGACCGTCGTATCGTGGGCTAGGTCGCATACCGAACATGGCCTGTATGTCTCGTGGTAGTTCATGGCCAGGCCCGGTCGTGATATGAAATTGGAGGGCTTGCCCGTTGCGTGCGATAGTACCTGGAATGACTGGTAAGGATCTTATTGCTTCTTGAAAAAGTGCTCGTTCGGCCTCACCAAAAGGACGACCGCTGATTCCGATATCCAATATTTCATTGGGTCCTCCGATACCTTGAATGAAACTGCCTAATGTGTGGCGACCACTGGAGCCAATGTCTCCTCTCATAGGTGCAGAGCTGTTTCGTTGGAGTAAAGGGTTGACACCATCATTGCCAGAGCGAGCTGGAGCACCTGGTCTATGCGATCTGCCGTATGAGGGTACTGAAAGAGCATTAGCACTGATCTCTCCCGCCAATTCCCGTAGTCGCAATGTGAGCCTTGTGATGTTCGCATTTGCTAGTTCAAGCCGCATAGCAGGGCTGGCAAGAATTGGCGGTCGCGAATGTTCGGGTAACTCACCACCTAGCGGGTCACGGCCACCAGGAAAGAATGGAAATGGGGGGAAGCCTCCAGGACGAGGGTGTCGGCGAAGACCACCCATAGCAGGCTCAACTTCACCCTCCCACCCAAACGGACCCCGTCCTGGGCCATCCACTGATATATTGTCAGAGAGCACCAGGGAGCAAGGACTGCAAACTTACAAGGATAGTTTCCCTGGAATAATATATCGTCTTCATCCGCCTCATCATCGTCATCCTCGTCGTCGACTTGCAATAGTTAGTCTGTCTGAGCCAAGCTGCTAGGCTAGGAACGATTATGGAATTAACACTTACCGTCGTTATCATCTTCTTCAATATATTCGCCGGCAATGCGATCCTCGTCATCCCCTGGATCGATGCCATCGGCCTCCATCTGCTGCTCCATCTGCTCGATCATGTCTTCGGCATCTTCGCCTCCAAGGGCACGAACAAGGTGGCCGAGTTGACCGCTGGCCATGTCCATTGCGTTCATCTCATGGAGCTCCTGTTCTTCTTCATCAGCAGCTTGACCTTCATAGTCTTCCTCTTCGCCATCATCATCCTGATCGTCGCTCTCCCAGTCCTCCATATCATCTTCGCCTAGCTCTTGGACGTTTCCAGCCTCATCAATGATTTCAACGCGAGCATCGTCATCTTCTAAATCAGACCCGGAATCACCAGAATCATCATCGCTATTTGATTCACCTTCATCGTCGTCTTCGCCATCGTCATCTTCCATAATGACCTCGACGTCGAGGCCATGATCGCCGGAGAGGCCTTCCATCGGACCCATGCCTTCGACTTCCTCGTCCTCGTCGCTGATGTTGTCTTCACCGCCGCCGATGTCTTCCTCATACTCCATTTCATCATCATATTCGCCCTCGTACATCTCTTCGTCATCTAAGTAAAGTTAGCTAAAAGGAAGGAGTAAAAACTTCATAACATACCATCTTCGGAATCATCAGACGAGTCGCCTTCTCTACCAGGCTCAAACATGCCCAGGGTAGAGTTACGAAACAGATCTGGAGTCTCCTCGCGGTCATCCTCTATCTCAGACGCCGAGCTAGCGGATTCGATCTCGTCTGCGTCATTATTGTCAGGAGCGGTAGAGATGAGACCGAGTTCACTGAGGCTGAGAGCAGTAGAAGACAGGGTCTTGAGAGGTCGCAGGATGTATTTGACAGCACGTCTGGCGCCGGGGAAGTTCAAATCGATCTCAGCGATTGATTGTGTCAATGCCGTCATAAACCCCTTTTCGTACATGATCCGCCGAAGTTGCTTCTGAGAAACATTGGCAAGATTGACTTCCGCAGGTGGTGCGTTCTCCTTGCCACTCATTATATGAGACATGAGGTCGGATAGCGCAAGCATGCGAGCGTACTTGACATCAAGAGGTTCGGTTGAGGCGCTTGCTTGTCCGAATGCTCTCAAGATGTTCTCAAGAACATATTTACGAACATGTAGCAGATCTGGCTCGTCATCGCTGTCATACTGTTCCCGCTTCATATCGACAGGCCGCTCACCAGTTTTACTAACGAGTGCACACAATACCGAGTCTGCCCAGCCTGATGTCACAAGCTGCTTGCGCAAATCGATTGTCTCTGGATGTTCCAAGGTACCAATCGGAAGGAGGTCGTATAAAAGGTAGTTGACGGCCGTTGAGCGAGGCTTGGATGGGGTCATGGCCTTGACTGGTTTGTGTTTATGCCAATTGATGAATTCAACCTTGGTCGAATTGTAAGACGCAAGAAGTTCGGTCAAACATTGGAGAATGAAACATCTGTGAATATACATTGGATGTTCTTCGGACTTGAATTCTTGCTTGGGGGTCTGTTTGGCGTCCTTGGTTTCTTGGGAAACTCCTTCTGGAGTAGAAGATCCAATCATTGGTGTATCAACACTGCTTGGGCCAGCATTAGACTTATCGGCTGTGATGGTTGGAATCGTAGGCGCAGGAATTGCAGGACCATCTGAGACATCTTTATAAGTAATGAGCTCACAAAGTAGGTAATGAATGATTCCATCTGGGTGAGCGACAACAGGGAGTTTGCTCTCAGTAGCAGCAGGCTTTGCGACGTCTGGCATCTCACTATCTCCTTCTGTAGATGTTTTGACATCTTGAATAGTGAGATCTTCCGTAGCGTGAACTGTTGGCGAGACTGGATCATCAGAAGCTCCATTCGAAAGTTCTGTGACAGGTGTCTCCTTCAAGACCAAAGACATGTGACGACTAGGAGTTTCGCCTGGGGGTGTATACGCCCAGCGATTGTACTTGACCATCTCGTTTGTCACCTCCACGAATAGTTCTGGTTGCCGAACTGCCGAATTGCAAAGGTTTTGTAGGTATACTGAAGTAATGACGGTCCGCTGCTGACGCGGACCCTCAAACCAAGCCTTGATTTCCGCTCGCATAATCTGCTTGATTGTTTCATCGTCTTCGATACAGTGCCGCAGAATGAGCATCAATGGGCCTTGGATACGAGAGGAACCAACACCCGCCAACTGCTTTGCCATGACAAACAGACGCTGAATATTCTTCTTGTCACTCAGAGCTTGAGCCACGGGCCGCGAACGGGTTAGAATAACCAGAACTCGGAGCACAGCAAGCGCAAGCCCCTCGTCCTTGCCAATTCTTGGAAGGATATCCAAGATCTTGTCAAAGAGTTCTGTACGTTCAGCTTCGGGCACGGAAGGTTCAGCTGTCTCCAGCACTGGCCCTTCAATGGTTTCATCTTCACTGCTTGGCGTTATCCATCTCGTCTTGCGAGGGCGAGCATCTTCGCAAAGCAGCATCTCAATAACAAGCAAAATTTGGGGAATCCAAGGCGACTCATCTTCCGATGTGTGATTATTCGAAAACCTAATGAAGCTCAGCAATGTCGAGAGGTTTTCCTTCAGGTCTCCAAGAGTCTCGGTATAAAATAATTTATCCTGAAGCATGAGAGCTAGTAGATTGGCGTAAGCGGCAATTTTTTTCCCAACTGCTTGAAGATCTTCCTCGCCAGCAAACGACATCAGTGCTATAACAAGAGTGGTGCCAACATTCCTTCGTTGCCCAGGAGGATCACCTGACTTGTTGATCACAGTCTTTATTAGGTCAGCAACCTCGAAGGTCACCTCGCCGTGGGCATTAATAACGTCGAGACATTTATCAATCAAGTCCTCTCGGAGAGCCTCGCGTTCCTCGTTCAAGTCATCTACCGTGACTTGTTTTGTTTTGGATTCTTCGACTGCTGGAAGTGATTCCTTAGGAGCCGGTGCCGCTGATGAGCCTGGTCGTGATGCGACCTCTGTATTTTGAGAAAATTGATTCAGCAAGTTATCAAAGTTTTGAGGCGCGGCTGGCTCATCATTGCCGGACGGTGTGACAATTTGATTCAAGGAGTCGACGATGGTTGGGATATTGGCACGTGAATCAGCCGCCGAAGCTTGGTATAGGCTATCTGGAGTGTTTGTTCCAGTAGAGCCTCCGGTACGAGGCCTGGATGCTTCGGTGGGGTCGGGGTTAGGGGCAATGTCGCCTTCGGGAACGGGGTTTCGTCTGCCCTCGCCCTGAACAATTTCGCGGCAATATTCCGATGCAGATGTAAGGTTATTATTACAACGGTACAGAGCCTCGATTGCGAGTTCACGGTCATAAGTGTGTCCCTCTACCAAAGCAGATAAGTGGTCGTCTGAGCTCTTGAAGGTCTTAGGAGGGACTTTAGAGGGTGGGACAATCTTGTCAGAGCGTCTCAATGCGTTTGCTTCACTGTCCGCGCCAGCGATGATTCGAATCACTTCAATGAGTCTTTCGCATGTCGAGTCTGGAGCTCTCTCAATAAACTCCGATGACTGCCAAAGACGGCGAGTCACTGGTAAAACCGCCATTCGTAACTCGACTAGAAATTGGGGAGGTGAGAAGTTATCGACACGAGTACGGTCTCGCTCATTTCGGGTGGCTATGGCAACAGTTTGCTGAGCCTCGGTGACATTCTTGCCAGTCACAAGCTGGCTATACAATGAGAGAATATCGCCTGTTCCCATTCTGGAGAACCCCAATACGCTTTCCTTATCCTGGCTATTAGGCTTGACAGGTGGACGTGATTGAATCTCCGCAGTAAAGGTCTCAAGAATTTGATTGACTGATTCAAAGCCTTCACGTTCTTTAAAAGCTTGAAGGACAAGGGTAATAGTCTGAGTTGGTCGCTCGGCGTGGCGAGATGCTAACAATAGTTAGCAATGCACAGAACCCGTAAACGTTGTACTTACTATCTACCAGCATCTCTTTCAATACAGCAAGGATTCTAATCCAATACTTGAAATTCTCAATAGATGGCGAATTGTCCGATCGGCTCAACTGAAGTAGCATGGTCTCGGCCAGCGCATCCGCAATAGCCATATGGCTCTGCTTCTGGAAAGCATCGGGGTTTCGTTTGGTGACTAAAGCTTTGCCAAGTGTTTGGAAGAATGTTGAAATACTCCTAGTCTTCAACATGCTGTTAATTGTCCGATAGTTCTGGAAGAATGGGTTTTTCTGCTCCGACTTCGCGGGCACCTTTTCCTCATCAACAGACTTCGGAACATCGTTCACGACGAGTTCTGACGAGTCTCCGTTGATCGGATTGGTGGAGAGAGAAGTTTCGGATGTATCAAGCTCTGCTGGTTCGGGGGCAGGTGATGGCAGTTCGGTGCCTAAGATGTTCTCCGAAGTAGGCTCGCCAAAGCCAGGATCCTTGATTAGTAAAGCCTCGGGATTCTTCCAGTGAGCAGGTACTATGTTTTTAAGAATGATATCCTCCTGAATGCAAGCTCCCAGTAAAGGCCCAAGGCTGCGAACTAAGTGCACATAGTAATCTCCAACATTGATTTGGATGAAGCTAGTGCTAGTAGTTCTATGATGACTGAAATGCGATGCAGTTTGGAAGCATGCGTGCAGGATTCTAAGCAGAGAGTGGAGATTGACGAAAGCCTTAGCGTAGGTCGTGCCCTTTGAGATAAACTCAGCGTCCGCAGTCTGGCTCAATTCAGCATTTACGAATGGTGCGAAGAACGCTTCAGAATCTGTATGGCCGGCGAAAGGAGCAAGAACATCTGCAGCTGATTGGACTCTTCTCAGCAAGGAAGGAATCGTGAGATGAGGTTTGTGCTCTGCCAATACGCCGATCACACTCTGGAGATTCTTGCTTGCATGACTATCGGCAAACCCCGTGTAAAGGCATGGCGAATTTGCGAGATCAAGAACATACTCAATACCTCCTCTCGAGCAGAATTCAGAGCGTATCGACGAATTCGCTAATATGGCGTTTAGGAAGGTCGAGACTGCGGAAATGTAGGGGGTATTGGAAGCATTCGGGGTGGTATTTTCCGATGACAACTCCTCTGTTGCGACGTCAACTAGTTCTTGGCCAGCATCCTGCATCTCTACATCGCCGCCATCATCAATGACCTTTCCTTTACCCTTGCCCAAATTCACAGCGGGGACCAAATTAGCATCAGCAATGGCCACCCTGCCAGAAGAATCTATGGCAAATAGCTTGGTACCGATCTTCTTGTTCTCGGCATCCATCTTGCAGAGGTACCCAACTCTTGCTACCATTTCAATAACGGCATTGAGGATAGCAGTCTTTAGAGGGGGGTGATGGCGAGCCAGTTCATCAAAGGTGGCACCGAGAGTATTGGGTAACTCGGGGTTGGTGATCATGCACTTGACATGGTCTCGGCTTTCGAATACCTCAAAGAAGGTCTCGAGGGCACGGGAATGCTGAAACATCTTCATGCCGGCATTGTTGAGACATATAGCGCCGAAAGCTTGAGGTACAATACTGATGGTGTCGGGTGTCGGCATAACTCCCTTGGCAAGCGGTCCTTGGCGTGGAGCCTGGAGCTTTTCTGATGAGGGCCGTTGTGGTGTAGGAGCTTCATCGTCACTGCTCTCGTCGTCGTCGTCATCATCATCGTCGTCGGATCCGGCTGCTGGAGAACTCTGCTCTGCAGACGGTTGTACCGTCTCTTCGGCCTCCACTTGATGTTTCTTCGTCTCTGATGGCATGACTATCTCGGTCCCTGTAATAGCCTCGAGGAAGCCCTTACTTAGACCTGCCTCAGCGATGACAGCAAAACTCGTTGGCTCATTATTGATAAAGTCGTTGAGAATGCTGACTGCGTTGGTCCAAACGATAGATCCAAAGCAATGGGAGTTTCCAATAATCTGACGAAGGCTTCCCAGGAGCTGAGACGAGTCAATCAAATTTCGCAGGAGACGGTCAAAATTTCCACCATAGCCGCCCGCTGTAGACATCATATGATGAATGAACTTAAAGAGGATTCGTAGGGTCTGCTGCTTGTAGAATGGGATATCGTAGTCAACAGCGAGCGAGTGAAGCTCTGGCGGTGTTCCCTTGCCAGTTGCTGCATTTTCCGCGGCGGTCTTGACCTCAAAGACGATCAAATCAGAGACAGCGTCAAGGCCGTCCGCACTGACCAGAGTCTGAAATGCGTCTCGAGCGCTGTACATGATGGTATCGAGAATTTTCAAGACCTCTATTTGATAACGCTCAGCGGTGTTGGTCCGCAAAGTCAAGACTTCAACGAAGATTGGAATAAGGCCAGCTGTAACCAAGTCGCCTGAGGTGCGTGGGTTATTGGAGAGACCAGCGGTACCCAGCAGGTAAAACAAGGCATTACGCCATCGATCCTCCTCCGTCAACTTGTTGTCAGAATCATCGTTGCAGCCCATTCCCGCAACAGCCTTTCTGACAACGTAGAGGAGGACGCCATGGTTAACATTGGTATTTAGTGCAGCACAGACATCATTGTACTTGCTGGGATGTTCTAATATCGAAGTAAGTGCAGACAACGCCAAAGTTTGCAGTGACAGTGGAACTGCAACATCGCCTTCTGGGGGTGGGTGGACCAATTCTGCTAGCTGGTACACAAGCTGTAATCGACGAGGTTCGTCACTGTCCTGCTTCAAGACGCTGTCAATAAAGGTTGTCTCAGAATGAACATATGCGAGGTTGGTGATTGCTAAAAGGCGAACGGATAGAATTTGTCTTCGAGTCTCTAAGGATGTAGTCAAGGCAGATGCTATTCGCAACTTAGACAAAAGTTCATACTGCTTATCTTGCGGCATGCCAGATACGTTTTCACCTAGAAGCTTGTGCAGGCTAGTGGATGCAAGCATCGAAGAAGATATCTCGACAGCTTTACAACTTGGCTGGGGAGTATCATCCGTGGGGAAGGTAGACGAGCGCGCTATAGGAGTGGGAGATCCGTCAGAGCTGCTTTGTCTGTTGTTACGAGAATTGGGACCCAAATTGGAACGTCTGGTTGGTGTAGGTGTACCGACGCCAAAACTCGGGAGCCTTGGATTCGTAGCATCACTTCGTGGTTTGACAGGTGGTAGATCTGAGTCTGGAGCGGGCTTTGGATAATATGTAACCTTTACGTCTCCCCATTGTTCCCAGCTAATTTCGGAAGCTATAGAGACAGCGGATGTTCCATTGCCAGGGCCTTTTGGGCTGCTGGTAACACCGCTCCCTCCTTTGACGAAGGAGACTAAGTCCGTAGCAGATACTGTGCATGATACAGCTTTCTGAGCAGGGGTACTGAAGTGTGCCTTTTCCTTGCCTTTGGCATTGGGTGTCACAGGTGTGGTGCCATGGGTGGATTCGGCAGGAGCAACGATCGTCTTTGTAAATGGGAGAGCTAGTTGGAGTACTCTGTCCATGTCGATATTGTAGTGGTTCTTCAGAAGATCCTTGCTAGTATGTCGAACGGCCCCTCGTTTCAAAGCAGTACTATATCTCAGCGCCAGTTCTAAGGCGACGTGAAGGGTGCTTTCGAGGATAGAAAGGGACGTGGAGTTCAGAAGGCTGTTTAGATGCGGGCTGCTTGCGTAGATACTGCGATTGCTACAATTTTGCAGGAGAATTTGTGAGAAAGCAAGAATCGACTCTACCAACTGTCTGTCTCCATCTTTTCCATAGCCAAGATTCCTGAGATCCTCATCGTTGCTTTCTTCCGACCCATCGGTATTAGTTGCAAGTATCTGGCAAGTGAAATCCATTGTCTGGGGTCCTTCATCTAACTTGTACGTCTTGCAGAATCTCTCGAGGATGACATCGAATCTATTCAATAGAGATACCCAGTGATACAGATCAGCGTGAGGGAACGGCCATCTTGTGGGGAAGGTTGCGAGAAATTGGGGGAGGAGGGGTAGAGAAGTTGCACACGCCGTGCTGCGGAACTCATCGATCCATAGCGACTGCACACATGTGTTAGCATATTCGCGGCGGCAGATTTATATATGACTCACCATTGTCTCCTTGTGCTTTTCAAGCACAGGTCTAGTGATGCGAACCATCGTGACGGCGGGAAGCGGCGAACCCGCAGAATCCTAGGTTTCAACCCCCTCCACTACCAGCACACTGGAGGTAGCTGGCGACAGCTTGGCTAATCAATTACGGAGTGTCCACGAAGAGACAGTCCGGGTCGATGGTGGAATGAACCAAGTTGGTGTTGCCGGGGCAGGGCTGGTCAAATGCAGATAGGGCTACAGGATGTGCAGATCGGAAGATGTCCGAGGCGCTGCTTATCAGCTCGCAGGTGATACTGCACGTTGTACTGTCGATGAAGGAGCGTCGGGAAGTGCAAATATCGCGTGCGGTCGCCGTTTGGAGGGAAGATGTGGCGGGATGGTTTGGTGAATGGGCGAGGGTGTGGAGGAACGGTGCAGGCGCCTCTGTGATCTCGGTCCAAGGGGAGAGAGTGGAAGGGAGGATATTGTGATTCCGTGCGATAGCTGGTGTGCAGTGCCAGCTGTCAAGAAAAGACAAAAATGGGGTGTTTTTGTGAGGTGAGGTTGATGAATGTGGTGGGTTTGGTTGAGGAGAAACAGAATTGAGGGAATCGCGAATTATTTCCAAGTGGAACTGGCAAGGCGTCCGAGCTTGAGAAGCTCTTGCGCGCTAGTTCTGCGCAACGTCACGGCAAAACCGTGAATGTGAGCTGGCAACGTCGAGTATATTCATCGAGCATAGGGATATTTAATAATGAATGGTATGCGTGTAGGAAAGACAAGTTCCGCTTTGATGGTTGCAGTTTACTTTGTATCAGAATGTAAACATTACATGTGTATTCTCAAGCTGCAGTTCTCCATTGCAATAGAGGGGATTGATTTTCTTTGCTCCAAAATGTTTCTTTTTACGCAAATCCAGGTCTTATGCGCAGAAGCTTATGCTTGGTAAACGGAACGAAGCTTGAACGTACTAGAAAGGCGAATATCACTTCCTATTCCGTCTCTTTCTTTCTTCATATCATATAGGCTCTTTCTGCTTACTTCTGACTGAAATGAAATCTGCAGCATACCGTCGCTCCATGCGTCTGCATGTTCGGCTTCGGCTTTTCTCACTCGTCCACTGAGCAACTAATTGACTGATGTATCTTTGATAAGTATGCCAAACTATATTGCCTTGGAATCAAAAATATTGTCACTTAGCATGGCATGGGAGCATTGGATACAGACTCGGTTCGTGTGTGTTACCATTAAAGAACGATCTTCGCATTACATTTCCGTCATTCGAAGAAACATGACTGCAGGGGATTTGGAAAGAAGATGTCTGTTTCTTACTTCTTAATTAATGCTTGTTCTTTCCTATAGGGATGTCTATATTCTTCTATGCCTCTTTCTATCGAAATGTATAACCCATAAATACTGATTTAGTCCAGACTCTATAAACGTCATTTTCTACCTTTGGTACGTTTGATAAGCAAGACACAGCCTCGTGGGAAGGCTGCGTGCATCAGCCTTGGCGGGTTCCACCACGAAGATCGTCTATAACTTCCAAGAGAAATACTCTGTAACAGCCACAGAAGAATGCTATTTAATCAAGAAGAGGGCTTTAATAACTTTCCTACTGCAAGTCATCTGGGTATTAGAAAATATATTAATAAAATGATAAAGACTGCGATCTTGATGACTTGAACTCCAAGTTCCTCAACTTCCCGTAAGTGACCCCAACTTACCATTCTAGGTTGATACCCATAGCAGATATAGATAGCACTAGATTAATCATTCAACCTAAGCTTACCAGCTTACCATCAATCATACCGGTAATTTGTACATTCGACACCCTCAGCCTTTACCAAGAACGTGCACGACTTTCCACCTCGGACACGGTCACGGGATCTCTCCATGCCATTTTTTAGTTTTTTTTTTTTTTCTTTTTTGGGAACAGCGATGGTTCCGTTTCAAGAACGGACTACCCGGCTCGATCCATTTGATTGGTCCAATGCGTTTGTGTGGCTTCCGCCTTCCTTTTCACAACGGCGACGGCGCGCTCGAGCTTTGAAGCTTCGAAGCGACTAAATAATAGCTAAGTAATTCCCCTTCCCCTGCCCCTGCCCCTTTTTCCTCTTCACTCGGATCTCTGACCGGAGCATCCTTATTAGCCACTACTAGAGCTGTACCGAATAGATTGATCCATCCTCATTGGCTGCTGCGGAGGAATTTACGTGCATGTGATTGACGACTATCTGGCAACAATAACTGCAGTAAGGTCAGCCAAGGTGATGTTACTCGGAATCTGTGAGATAGATTATTGTATCTCGATTACCACAACAGTCACCGACTCACAATCCCCATGAATAACAGCGCCGAAAATCATCTACATAAATGTCATGTTTGCATCTGCATTCATATCAAATTTTAAATCCCTCCAGGCCTTCCTTGCACTCACCTTGTCTTGCCTTACTTTTGCCTTGTCTCAGCCCAGCACGCGTTACCCCTACCCCTGGTGGTCAAACGAAATAAATCCTACCTACTCCGTACACCAACAATTTACTGCTTTTCAGGTACCAGTACAACCACCAACCAAACAACGTCACTCAATTCCATCTTCGACTCTTCGATAGTAATATAGTACAGCTCCCACCGCACTCCATAACAAGAGCATCCCATCCTCACCACTGCATCTGTTCCTGCGGGTACCCGCGTCTCCCCTTTGATGGCATCTTGAAGATATCGACCACCTCTCTTCCCAGCCGCATTGCATTCCACCACCCCCAAATTAGAAGAGGAAACCCCACACCATGTCCGACCAGGAGCATGAAGAGGCTGCAGAGCATGTCTCTGCGAAGGATATCAAGAATGCCCTGGCCGACGTCTCGGACCGTGAAGATGTACGTTTCTCTCTATCTATGCAATCCTTCGAGTGGTTTGTCTCCAGGGAACCCGACCTGCCCTGCATTTCAGTACCACCGAGAGCTTCACTAATCCTAAATTCTTCTTGGTAGGACGAATTCGAGGATGCGAATGACACGGCAGCCATCGAATCTGCTCAAGCTGCCACCCTCGTCAGGACCCGATCTCTCACCAAACGCAGATCGTCTTCAGATAAGAGCGAGAACAGCGCACAAGAAACAAAGACCGACCTCCCTTCTAGTCCCTCCGCCCCAGAAGTGAAAACAAACGGCGATACGAATCATGACGAAAATGCTCACAAGCCCGAAGTCCCCCCACCCAATTCTCCCCTTTTGACCTCCCACCGTCTCTCAACTACATCTCTCGATAATGTCAATCTGGATGAAGAAGGGACTATTTTAGAACAAGAGAAGCCTTTAGAAGAAGCTGAGCCGAAGCGTACGTATTCGAACTATAAACAATCCATGTCAGGCAGCTCAACTAAAGACTTTCCATATAGCCGTAGAAGAATCAAAGCCAGCTCTCAATCTCAAAAAGTCATCCTTCCAAGGCCTCTCTGGGAAATTACCAGCAGTACCATGGTCACCTCCTCCACACCCACCTGCCACCGCACCACATTCAGCAGCTCAAGCAGCTCCACCACGAAAATTAACAAGCCCATTTTCCTGGCTCTCTCGAAATACAACGTCGAAAGAACATGTCCCACAACCTCTTCCCTCACCAAAGAACGAAAGAAGAAATACTGCTTCCTCGATAGCCACGGTTAATACAATGGGAAGCAACTCTGAGCTGATGCTGAGCAAGTTAGAAGAGGGCAACGAATCAGATAGCACAAATGGCAGCAGGCCCATAAGAAACAGTTTAAAGGACCGGTTCAAACTTCTGCGGATGCGAGAAGAAGCCGGTATCGCCGAGTTGCCCGAAGATGACAAGTCTGGAGGGGCACTGACGGGACTGATAAGACAAAGTACAAACCTTGGATTTGGAATAGCTAGTCCGACAGCAGAAGATAAAGAATTATCATATCCGCCAGTATCACCAAACCCCTCGAGTCCGAACCCAGCGTCCGTCAACCCTGCATTGGCTCCTGGTACAGCATCTGGAGTTTCTGCAGGGCCTTCTGCAATGGGTGATCCCTCGGCTCCCGTGGATTGGGACTTGTGGCAATCGGTTGTATACGAGGGTCCGGCAGCAGTTGCAAGAACGAGTGCTGAAGAGCTCAATCGGGCTATTGCAACTGGTATTCCAAATGCTATTCGAGGGGTGGTATGGCAGGTTCTAGCACAAAGCAAGAACGAGGAGCTAGAGAGTGTTTACAGAGACCTTGTCACACGTGGGACAGACAAGGATAAAGACAGAATGAGCGGATCTAGTGGAGCTACATCCCTTAGTAGCAAAGAGAAAGAGAAAGAAGAAGCCAGGTCTTCAGCTTCTTCAATACACTCAGATCAATCTACCCCAACGACAAATGGACTGCGGTCACCCTCACCACCAAAAGATCCCGAAGTATTGGCAAGAGCTCATGCTGCTGCGCTAGCTGAGAAGAAGGCAAAGGCGAAAGAGGATGCGGTTTCGTTGAATAAGCTCGAGAAAGCTATTCGAAGGGATCTGGGAGCACGGACGAGTTATTCAAAATTCGCTGCCAGTGCCGGCATGCAAGAGGGTCTCTTTGGGGTGTGTAAAGCATATGCACTATTTGATGAGGGGGTGGGGTATGCACAAGGAATGAACTTTCTTGTCATGCCCTTATTATTCAACGTAAGCAGGTTTTATTGGTTTAAACGCAGTCACTAATGATTTTTAGATGCCCGAAGAAGAAGCTTTCTGCCTTCTAGTTCGCATGATGAACCAATATCACCTACGGGACTTGTTCATTAATGATATGCCTGGATTGCATATGCATCTTTATCAGTTCGAGCGTTTATTAGAGGATTTCGAACCTGCTCTGTATTGTCATCTCCACCGTCGTCAAGTGACACCACACTTATACGCCACGCAATGGTTTCTTACCCTATTCGCCTACCGCTTCCCCCTCCAACTCGTTCTACGAATCTACGACCTCATCCTCAGCGAAGGCCTAGAAGCAATTCTTAAATTCGGCATTGTCCTTATGCAAAAGAATGCCGCAACCCTCCTCGGCATGAACGACATGGGCGCCCTAACTACTTTCTTAAAAGACAAACTCTTCGACGTCTATATCGACAAGGATCCTTCTTCCGGTTCCATCCTGGAATCTGGCTTCTTTGGAAATTCAGGCGCAAGTATCGACAAAGAAGTCTATCGCGCAGATCACCTGATCCAAGACGCATGCGCCATAAAAATCACACCTGAAACTATCAAAACCTATACACTTGAATGGGAAGAAAAGACGCGTTCGGAGAAAGACCGAGAGGCCGAACTCGATGGTCTAAAATCGTCAAATCACTCTCTATCCCTTAAAGTCCGACGACTTGAAGAACGTGTAGAGTCACATGACACCGAACATGCTGCACTCGCCACGGAACTCGTGCGCACGAAAGTGGAAAACGAAGAACTGAAAGACGAGAATGAAGGATTGAAAGGGCAGGTGGCGGAGCTGCATGACGTGGTAGAGAAACAGCCAGAGGAGGTTGAAGCGCGGCTGAAGAGCGAAATGGATAGGTTGATGAAGCGGAATCAGGAGGTGCATGAGGAGAATACGAGGTTGGAGGAGGATATGAGTGAGATGGAGAAGACGCTGGTGGAGACCAAGATGATGTATGCTGAAGTATGTTCAATCCCCTTTCCAGAATCAAATTCGGAATCAAAATATTAACAACGAATAGATCCAAGAATCCCACGAAGCGCTTACGCGCAAATGGACCGATCTCCGCAAAGCCCTTGATTAATAAATACATCATTCGCACACCATCTCCATCCATACGTCCTCTACTTGCACCTGCCACCTCCCATTTGTACAACACCACCGGATCCATCAATCCATTACTCCTTTTGGCATAAATAGAAACGCAGCGTATTCCCACAGAGACAGAGATTAAAGCCCCGCTTCCTTGCTTGCTTGCTTGCACCTATGATATCCCAAATTTCCTTTTATCTTTCTTTCCTTCCTTGTGCTCTCTTTTTTTCCCTCTTTCGTTGATATTGATGCATGGCATGGCAGGGCGGGATGAAAGGTAGAAGGGTTAATGTATTTTATGTATGATTAGACAGGGGCTTGTCAATGGGAAGATATGCGAGGGGAGAAGAGAGAAGAAGGTGAAGGGGGGAAGGGGGGGAGGTGAAAGAAAGGAGGGGTGGAAAGGAAGGGGATAAAAGGGAGATTTGTATATACATAGTGTTTAGTGGTAGAGAAGAGAGAAAGAAAAAGAAGAATATGAATATGAATGGAGTATGGATTTGGAATGGCATTGATTGGCATTGGGATTGTAATTAAAGGAATACAATGCAATGGAATGGTTATAGGTCTGTTTATGACCTTTATCTTTGACTGTCTTATCTTGCCTTGCCTTGCATTTACATTTGCATATAAGCATAAGTTTACATCTAAGGTAGCATTTACATCAGGAGTATTTGATATTCCTTTCTAAAGTCTCCCTCCCTTCCTCACAATCTCACCCACAATCTCCAGCCATCCAGCCATCCAGCCATCCACCTACCCAACCTCAAACACCTTACATCACACTACATTACATTTCAAGCTCCCTCACAAACTCACAATCCAAAATCCCTCTCAGTGGTTCAACTTCAGAAATGTTTAAAGTCCCTCATGTTTATATGATGCGTTGCGTTGCGTCATACGTGGTACAGAGGTACGTGACCCTACTATGTATGTCGTGTCAGGTCGTATTGGGTTATTCCTGTTCTTCGTACATGCATGCGTGCATGCGGCTGAGGGACGGGCGCGGGCGCGGGTCACTACATGTATATCTCGTATTCGAATCCAATTGAGGATCATTTGCTGGGTGGGGGGTACGAGGAAGGGGGGGGTGTGTAACG